GGTTTAAGGGGAGCCCCGAAACTACCTCGTAGACAATGGGACCATTTCCTTTGATCCGTGATGACACCCATCCTCTCGCATTTGCTGCACCCACTTTTGAAACCGAAATGAGATGACATGAGCCCATTCCCAAGCCCGCGTGTGTGGGAATGACCATATAGACTCAGGCGGACGCTTCAAATCTCTTGGCATTATATGGTGGTAATCCACGAACCCTGGCCATTCCCCGTCGCATCGGTGTGGTCAAGTTGCGGGACCGACGGGATCGGGCATCTAGATTTTTTGATGATATATGGGCACCCAGAACCACAACTTTGTTCAAGGGCGTCCACAAAAGAAAGACTCGTCCATGTTGTTGATCCCGGTGATCTTTGCGCATCTTCGTCTTTTCCGATTAATTGCCTTCATATACATTATTTCGCTGGCCCATCGGGATCGCGGCTCTTTATCTACTTAGACAACATGCCTGTTCTCGATACGCGGCTTATCCAGGAGGGGATGATGGAAGTTGGACACGAGATCATGAAAAGAAGCGTCGACCACACCGTACTAGAGACACTGGCAGTAGGTAAGTCGACTTGTACCGGAGTGGCGACTTTGAAACGAAACTTTGGCTGACTTATATGCACAGCTGGCACATGTATATTCGGTGTCGGCGGCTTCATTTACTGGATTAACCATAGGTGATTGACCAATCATAATGAAAGAGGTAAAGACACCTTTCCAAACGAGCAGTCCACGAGATAGCCGAAGCTAATTATTTGCAACATTAGGTTGAAATACCACACCCGCCATCAACATCACCCAAGACCACGAACGCCGAAGCAGAGACACCGCCAGCGTGCGACACTTCACAACTAATACATACATCAGAATATGTTGCAGGACACCCAGCGATATTGCTCGAGATGGCATAATTGAGGAGCTACTCCTGTTGGTCTCGACAGGCGCATAGCAATGCTGCGGCCTCCTCTAGCTCACGCCAGTATATCATACCGACCCGCCTGATATCAGAAGCATTAACGAGATGCACCCTCACAGCGATCAGATATCGAGATCATTTGGCTATACAAACATTTGTAATTTAGAGGCCGCCATTCCGTTTTGATACCCTACCAATTCATTATATGCGTTCGAATCACACAATCCTAGTTTTGATGGGAGACGTTAGGCGAAAGGGAGACACTTCTCAACATGGTGTTGGCATTTGCTTACCTGGGTTTCATGGCTTAAGTTGAAAGATGTTTTGTTTGACGTCGAACAGATTTCTTCCTTGCTACTGCGATGTCATTGTAGTTGAGCCCTTGCATTACCCTCGTCTGACTGACTTGTAGTTGAGATCATTCCTCAACTCGTGACATTGTCATTGCCAAATGGCCCATGCGCTAGATATCTGCCTTTAGGCTTTGGCTACGATGGTTTCCATTGTAACATCCTATTCCATACCGGATCCCTTAAATTCAAGGCTACCCTTCTGAATGTTTTGGAATTGTTCTGATGCACTAATACTGGGATAAAAGGTCCTGCCATATTCTTGCAATCCCAAGCACCCTACATGTCATGTCATTGACTCCAACATTCAGACACCGGTTCAAATACAGGTCCACCTTCAACCGGTTCAAATGGCAAAGGCACACTTGGCAGGCGGATGAGCGAGAGTCTATAAAAAATTCGGGTAAGGCCATCTAGTTTCTGATTCACGATTACCAAGTAGACAGTCTCTTGTTGTATGTAAACGGCGCACCTCACTCTGCCAGTATCAGGCCACCGTTGTGGAGCAATTATACATCATCTGGGATCTCAACTCGGTGATTCGTTCATACCTTCAACTTGCAAGACTATTGTAGGTGCTTCTAGTCAGAGGCCATCCTGCCCACTCTAGAATGAATGTCAAGGTACTGGACAGGGTCAATTAGGCATTGGGTCTTGCTTTACGTAGGCAAAAATGAAAAAGATGGAAACAAATATTTGTATCTCAAACTTGTGTGATTGATTGCCTTTCAATTTTCTTTCTACCATCAATTTTGATTTTCTGAATATGATTCGAGATGCAGGATACATATTTCTGAGGCTAGCACATCTGTAAACCCCAGCAGGACTACCAAAGCCTCTTTTTCAGCATCCGCTGAACAAGAGGGACCTTTCATGATGAAACTCTTAAACCACGTATGCTTCCAAGAATAGCTCTATATACATTTTGGTTGATCTTGAATCCAGGAGGCCTGTTGCGCACTATATATGTCTGCCTTATTGCAAGCCCGTGACTGAACTGAGTGTGAAAACTAGCTTTGAGCGGGCTGCACCTGTTCAACAGTCCACCGGACCCAAGTGGGGCCGTTCACCCGGCCCCAAACCCGGAAGAAAGAACCTCATCCGTAAAGTGCTACTATATCTTAGCACCATGATCATCATCCCTATGCAATTTAAAAAACAAAGAATTCATATATGCTTCTGGTTACCATGACGAAACTTAGCCTTAGTTCACATCCTGAGAATTGAAACAGCGGGTACCTTCCATCGCCAGGTCAACAAACTTAGCATCTTCTTCCCTCTCCCCAGATCTCTTTCCTTTCTCCCACCTTTTTCCTTCTCATCCTGTCAATCCTCTCCATCCTCTACATCTTTTACTCATCACCAAGGCTCGAGAAATCTTCTTCTCCGAAACAGATCATCTTCAAACCATGTTTGCAACCTAGTAAGTCTTTCCCTCCCCTCCCTACTCCACCAAAGTTTTCCCCAGCTCTTCATGATGATAACGCAGGACTGGTGAGGCCAACGAGTCCATGATGCATGAATCGCGAATAATGTTCTGATTGAGCTTCCTGTCTCTATCCCCGTCTTCTCCTCTCCTACTACTCGGCGCTCCTTCATTTTGCTAATTCATCACCACGACGCAGACTGCGGTACCGCCATGTTCCAATTCGCAAATCCTTCTCCTCGAGCTCTCGAGGCGTTTGGTAAGCTTACCATTTCTATTTTTTATCCTACCACCAGCAAGCTGTCAAGCCTTTGTGGCGTTTCCATTCTTCATGATGATACAACCAGGCAACTGAGATCCATTGGTCTCTGAGCGATTATACAGAGGTGATCTGATCGAATGTTTCTTCTCTTTTCTCCGTCTCCTTCCATTTTGTCGCTCCGAGTTTTCACACTTTCCTAATCCATTATCATGACGCAGGAATACAGTATCTCCATCTTCTGGTTCGCCAATCCTTCTTCTCGGCGCGTGCGGCAAGTTCAAGTCCCAAGGTCATTTCTTACCCTGCCAGTACCACTTGCAAGCCATGATGGCTTTTGAATTGGTTCCATTCCATGTGATGACAAAAATCCTGCATCCGAGATCTATTGGTTTCTGAGCAATCACCCCGAGAGACAGACGTTTGATGGGTCTGAGGGTTTTCTTCTCTTACCCTCTCCATGTCCATCGAGAGCTCATTTCTACTTTTTCCTTCCATCTCGCAGTGCCAGAATTTCTCTCAGACAGCAATACCTCGTCTTGAAGCTCTAAGTAAGTTCCCAAATTCACATCTACTCTCTGAATTCCACCTCTCCAATATCTCTTCCATATCTCTGCCCCTCTCTTTTGAAAACCAGAAGCTGACACCACATCTTTCAGAACTCACACCAAGACACCAAAGATTCTCACCTCAACAATGTAAGCCCAAGCTCACCCTCCCCCGACCCCCACGCCGCAGAGAGAGTCGTCACCAGCCTCATGATGATGTCAACCGTGTTGCACCGAGAGCACTTCAATGAGCAATAGAACATTCTGAGTCCGACATGAGCCCCCCCTCTTTCCATCGGCTTCTTGCTGCAATGACACAAAGCTGACCATATCCACATCACCTAGGCCTCAAAAGTTGGACTCTTAATCGTCTCCTCATCGCATGGTGGTAAGTTTATGCCCATTTCCCCCTGTCCCATACTCACGCAGCGGAAAACTTTATCTCCTGCCTCATTATGATGACGACATTAGTGTACCATGAACCCTTCATTGAGTGACACGTCGTAAGGTGTCTGAAATGAGCATCCCAATCCCCTCTGATTATCTTCTTGAATGGACCTGATCAAATTTACTGACAATCTTCTCATCTACCAGGTCTCAAAATCCGTCTACAGGCCGTGTCCCCTTTCCTTGAAGCCATTTCACTACAAGTAAGGAAGCTCCGTCCTGGTACAAGCTCTTTGCGTTTATCGAACTTTGGCTAGCTAGCGAGACGAAGATATGTTTTCGAACTACTGGTCTTTCGATGCTCTCCCTAATTCTTGCTTATTTACGACCTGCCATCTGGCATCTGCGTCACGAGTTGGAGCGCATATCAGCAAACAGCATTAATAGGAATAGATGCTTGATGCCATTATACAGAAGAGTGGAAGGGAACAAGATACTTTTATTTACAAGACACGATGCAGGAGAACTCGGGAGACCCTTGTGATGAGGCAGATGTGAATAGGCATCTAGCCCTATGTAGAACAGCCTGTCGTGATAAATATACTCCTCCCACAAGACTCGCATCATTGGCCTAATCGAATTCCTTTGGCGCACCATAGAATAAAATAAGAAGCTGCAGGAAATGTTCTCTTGGCTATTTCTAGCACAGAAGGTTTGATATCTCTCTGTAAAAGGGCTCCCATGACTGAAGAGAGGTGATTGGCTATATGAAGTGGTGGTAGTCGGAGCATATTCGATTCCGCGTTTGCACGTCAACAGGGCTAGGTAAGGTAGTTCACAAGCATCGAGGGTGGTGGATCATGGGAGAAAATGGTTCACTGCAAAGTTGCGAAACATATCGGCATTTATTCTATTAGAGGACAAGTATTATCAACAGAGCCGCATGATGGAGGGTTTTCTCAATTTTTGTAAGGTACGACTATCGCTATGAACATGCATTACGTGTCCCATATCCACATTGGTGTCGTGTGAACGTTGTTTCCCATCAAATTATACATTGAACAAAAAAACTCGCTTGAAAGTCAACAATCCAGGCGCATGGCTGATTTTAGAGTAGAGCAGCAACTACAACGCCAGCGGCCGCGGCGAAGACACCGGAGCCGAGACGATTAGCAGCGTTGGTGACTTGGACTGGAGGCGTCGTGGTCTTGCTGGGAGAGGTGACGAATGTGGTGGCGGCGGGAGGAGTTCCTGCGGGAGCAGAAGTTGAAGGAGGAGAAGAGCCGGCAGGCGGGGCAGAAGGGGTACCAGCCGGAGGGGGCACGGCGGTGCCAGCGGGGGGGAAACCAGCGGGAGGAGCAAGGGGGCTGCTAGCAGGCGGGGCGGGAGGAATGCCAGCTGGGGGTGTACCAGCGGGAGGTGCCGGGTGAGTACTGGCAGGAGGAGCAGGGGGATTTCCAGCAGGAGGAGTGCCAGCAGGAGGAGTGCCAGCAGGAGGAGGGCCGGCGGGAGGAGTTCCAGCTGGGTGTGTACCAGCGGGAGGGGCAGGAGGAGTTCCAGCGGGAGGAGTGCCGGCGGGAGGAGTGCCAGCAGGAGGAGTGCCGGCGGGAGGAGTGCCAGCGGGAGGAGTTCCAGCTGGGGGTGCACCAGCGGGAGGTGCCGGGTAAGTACTGGCAGGAGGAGCAGGAGGAGTTCCAGCGGGAGGAGTGCCAGCAGGAGGAGTGCCGGCGGTCGGCGCAGCAGGCTGGCTGCTAGGAAGTGGGAGTACAGTGGTGAAAGTGTGAGGCACGCTCTCGGTGACGGGGCAGATGGTGGTGGAGACAGGAATGGTCTCAGTGGTGGTGTGAGGTCCCTCGGGGCAGTCGGGAACACTGGGAGGACACCTGGTGATGGTGTAAACCTTTGTGGTGTAGACTGTAGAGGTTGTCCAGGTCGTCGGCGGAGGAGCGGGTTGGGTGGGAGCGGGCGTAGAGGACTCTTCCGTGACGGGACAGATGGTCGTCAAGATGGCGACAGTCTTGGTTGTGATGATGGGGGTGTGAGGGCAGTTCGTGACGCTCGGAGGGCATCTCGTCACGGTCTCGACTATCGTGGTGTAGACGGTGGACGTGGTCAGCTCAGTGGTGCTGGTCTCAGTGTAAAGAGGCTTCTCGCTTGTCGTATTGGCGTATGGAGTCGTCACGGGAGGAGGAGAGACCCAGGTGGAAGGCTTGCTGGAGTGAGGGTGATGACTCTTGGTTGTGCTCTCTCCCTTGATGCTGCTGACAGCAGTCTCGGTGGTACAGTCCTCAGTAGTGGTGGGAGCGGGAGGGACGTGAGTCAAGGGCTTGCTGGAGTGCGAGTGATGGCTCTTGGTGCTGCTCACGGTCGTCTCGGTGGTGCAGTCCTCGCTGGTTGTGCTGTAAACTTCAGTGCTGCTGACCGCAGTGGAAGTGGTGCAGTCCTCGGTAGCAGGGGTCGTGGTGTTTTGGTACTCTGTGATGCTCACGATCTCGCTCGTCGAGGTTGAGATGCCCTTGATGCTGCTGACGACAGTTGAGGTAGTGCAGTCTTCCGAGAAAGTAGTTGTGCTGTGGACCTCGGTGCTGCTGACGGCGGTGGAAGAGGTAGTGCAATCTTCGGAGGAGGTGGAGGTGCTGTACTCCTTGGCAGAGCTGACACTCGTGGACGAAGTCGTGCAGTCCTCAGAAGAGGTGGAGGTGCTGTAAACCTTGGTGCTGCTAACCCAGGTGGACAATGTGCTCGCCTCCGATGTGACGGGAGTAGAGGTAGGAACGTCCTCGGATGTGCTCGTGGAGACCACCTCACTGGAGGACCAGGTAGTCTTGGTGGCCTCGGTAGTGCTGACGGTGATCGGGGGAGTAGTGGTACTGGTAGTCGAGGGGGCAGAGGTGCTGGTGGTGACAGGGGCCGTTGTGCTCAAGCTGTAGGTGATGCATGAGCAGGCAGAGGAGACAGCCTTCACATCTCCGTTGCAGTTGTTGAAGTCCGTAGGGATGGCAGCGGCAGCAGTAGTAGTTCCGTGGAGGAACTCCACACAGAAGCCCTCGGCCTCCTCCGCGAAGCGCTCGTCGACGAGGTTCCGGTAGCACCCATCTTGCTCCTGTGATGGGTCAGTCAAAAGTTCTCATCGTTACATTCAGTTGTTCGTGTACGGTACATCTCATCTGGCGGAGAATGGACAGACAGATGAGACGAAATTAGGATGACTGTACGGAACAGACAAAGAAGACAGGGGGAGAAGCAGACGTACGCAAAAGGGGTATTCCCAGGCATTGACGGACGCCAGGGCAATGGCGCCGAGTCCCATGTAGAGGCCGCGCATCTTTGGTTTTGTTGGAAGCGAATGACAGTGACTCTGAAAGTCTACTAGTTGATTAGAGCGAGAGGACGACTTATTCGTAGCGACCGTGGGTGAGGAGAGAAGGAGGAAACTTCAACCGTACTCTCGGCGCAGCGAAGCGGACTTTATCAGAATAAGACGAAGGTGTGGGTGGTTGCCGGTTGCTGGTAGCCATGCCGGGCTACGGCGGGGAGTGATACATCCGTCATCCATCCATCCATCCATCCATCCATCCATCCATCCATCCCATTCGGGCGGGCTATCCAGCATCCAGCAGAATACGAGCAGGAGCTGCAGTCCGGCTCGTGGTTGATCTCTTGGTTTCCCTTAAGCCATGTTCCCACCCAACCATCCCACAAGATGAGGCACCATGTCGACATGCAAGGTAGCAGTAGTGCCCACGTTGGCAGGCCGGGCTACATCATGGCAAAGGTGCCAGTCAGTGGAAGGTTGCGCCGGTGCTCTGCTAGCGAGCCCGAGTCTGCTTACACCACGTAGGGCGAGTTGAGGTCGGCCAGTCCCCGGTGAACCACCGGCGGTTTGTCAAATTCGGGCACATGGCGCATGGGCGATGGCGGCGTCCGTCAGGTCGTACCGGTGCCTAGTGTGGTGTTCTGTCATGACTTCAATGTTCCAGGGACACGGCACTGGGCAAAGACATGCGGCAGTTGACGGCGGGACACGGTCGTCATGGTAAAGCAAGCCACACGGAGGGCAGCGAGTGTCGCAGAGATGGGACTGACTGTGGATGGGGAGGAGGAATGATGGGCCCGGTATCCCGCCGGTGATCTCACCAGGTGGAAACGGCGCCAGGAATACGGTGGATGACTTGTTGGAAGAATCCGGAGGTTTTTGGAGTAGATGGAGCATGAAGAGAAGCGGAGTCGACAGAGAAGGCGTGTTGAGCTGTCAACCCTTGCGTTGCTCCGGTTATTGGGCGGTTGTTTCGACGTCTGTCGACGGCGCACAAGCCAGCTCCACAAGGGGCAGTTGTAAGTGGGGTTGGGCGATGAGCCTCTTCGAACGCTTGCAAAGTCTGTTTCTTCTCTCCCGTGTCCAACGCCTTGCCCAACGGTGCGGTTGGAATGACAACTCGCGTGGGAGAAGAGAGTACAGAGAGGAAGCGGAAAATCCAAAAGGTCCATCTCCTTCATCCCCCTGCTTAAGGTAGTGGCTTTCGCTTAGCGTACTCTAGCCAGGGGTAGCCTAGCCTCTCTCGAACGATCGAGACAACCGATCGAAAGCCAATCAGTGATGGGCTTGGCCGGATTGGGACAGGCGAATGGGGCATCGCCAGCTCTCAGGTGGTAGGCATCGCTGCCTCGCTGGGCAACTCCAAACAAAGCAACATCGCGCCTTCCTTAGGTAGGAGCACAGCTCGGCTAAGGCGGAAGGACGGAATTGCTCTGGGCGACTGCCAACTGTTCTTGCCTTCCCTCAATTTTCTAAAAGCAACTACTTTATCCCCCGACACCATCTGCCTGCCTCCTGGAAAGGAAGGCAAGATGGGTAACTACATATCTTGGATTTATGCAAGTCCTCGTCTTCTTCAGTTTGCTTCCGCGGGGCTTCTCCTTCTGCCACCCGCATTCCTCTGCAAGACATCCAATTCCCAGCTCCACCCTCTTGACCTCGACTACGTACGGATACCTATCCGTATCTTACCTTACCATCATCAACGGCATCTAAGCTTAATGCTAGTCGTTCTTATACGATGGGACAATAATATCACCATTTTCCAGACTACCCGTCCATCGTTCACTTGACAACTCTTCATCAGGTGGCAACCGGCCGTTTCCTGAGTCGCTAACCCCAATGAGGACACGACAAAGGCGCTCGCTTGAACGCTCAACTTGTTTCCAGGTTGGCCTCGCTCACACACTCTCGTCTCCCGATCGACTGACTGCTGGACTGGCTTGATTGATCCCTTTTGATACCCTAGCCGCTGCTAATGCACATTGCAGCACCCCGTCGCCTTACTCGCCCGTCCCTTTCCGTCTTCTCTTCCTTGCAGCTCGCCGCTTCTTAGCTCGCATTTCCCCTCACGCCGCCGCATCATCCGTCGCTAGGAGGGTTGCTACGCAGCCTCTTGTCATTACTTCACTCCGCGTCCTCAGTGGGAAAAGTCCTTTGGCATAGCGAGAGGACGAGTGTGCCAGTGAGGCAATTTCGCGCGGATTTTCACCCCGCCATCTCACCACCCTCTATCTGTACGGATCCTTACACTCGACCCGCCTCTCCCCAGACTGTCGGCACTTTGCAGCAGCAACCCACCCACCATCACTGGGCTACCCTATGGAAAGGTCCATCGTCGCTTGCCTTCGCCCGACCAACAAACCACCTGGCCAGGTCACCTTGTTGCGGCACAGCGCTGCATCGTCACATCGTCTACTGACCTAAATCTCACGATGGATACGAGAATCTCCTCACCTCCGGCGAGGGCCGCGGGGTCCCCGCCACTCTCCATGACATCGCGTCGCCCAAGTGCTTACCGACCTCACTGGGCCAAAACAAGCTCTTGACTCACACACTTGGAGTATACCGTATCGTTCGCATGACGACTTTTACCGCTAGTCAATCATGTCTTCAACGCAGTCCGGCGGCTTGTCCATTCTCTGCGAGGTTGAGGTATGATTATCCACGTCTCCAAGCGGCACGTATCTCGACGCTCGGCGTGCATTCTATCGCACTAGTCTGATTGAGATCTGGGGTAAGTTAGGCGGCAGAAGATTTCGTCCCATTTCCACGACCGAGTTCAAGAATGTCGATCAAGCCTCACCTAACCCTCGCACGTGCTTCTGATTCCTGACGCAGTCATCAATAAACCCCTGGCTGGCTGCAGTCTGTAGGAAGTACTTGGTGACTGCATAGTCAACTCCAGCTGGCAGCTGGATCAAGCCACTCCCTTGTACCTGGGTAAATACGAGACTCAGCGAGGATACGCTTCCTTCGCTTCCAAAACGCAGTCTAGTTTCCGGACACCTGGGGTTTGCGTTCTCGATGATGCCCTCCTCTTAACCAAGAAAGTTTCTCATTGTCAAAATAACGATGCTCGAATCAGATTATGGAACTGGGATTGTCTCGTGACGTTGAGTCGCCTTTTTACCACCGATGGCGCTCCGCTACGCTAAATCACCTCGGCCCATCGGGACTTCCTCCAGGAATGCCAAGCGGGTCAAGGCTAAGAGACCTCGAAGCATTCCAGCTTTTGCCCATACACCATTGACAGCTCGAGATTTTGATACACGCCCGAGCACCGGCCAGCGCGACCTTCAGCGCCTGACTCGATGCGCCCTCGCCTCCGCCGCGCCGGCGCGCCGCTGCCGTTCTTGCTGTGGTAGGCCGCCGTGCGCCTATCGTTCCGACACACGGCGCGGTTACCCGGGCTGTTGAGCGGCGTGTCGGAGCCGAGACCCGGGACGGAGGCGTCCTGGTCTGACCAGCTCTGGACTACTTCCTCGGATGCTCCCGCCGCTGAGACTCGCGCTCGGGCGATGGCCAAGGTGGTGGTGTCGAGCAGCTCCTGCTCGGAGAGGGAAACGGCCCGGCCCAGGCCACCCAGAGTCCCAAACCGCTGACGAGGATTTACGACGCCGAAGGGTCGAAACAGCTTGACACGGTAGTGGCACCGCATCTGGTGCAAACATCAAACTCTGTATCGACGAACGAGTCGCTAAGGGCAATCGAGACGCCAGAGATTGCGTAGTTGCCAAGACTCGGGGTTGGGGTAGTAGAAGAACTTACCTCGGGCCTTGCAAGTCCATCTCATAGGAGAGACTTCCTGGCCACCTCGAGCATCAACCTCCGCTACGGATCGGCCCTCTCAACCTCGCTGCTCGTCATGCTGAAGGAGGTGTTCAGTGCGCCTCGGTCGACACTCTCAGCGAGGAAAATAGTCGTGCTCGGTCGCCACGGTGCCCAGCTTTCCTTCGTCTGAGTGTTTGGCGTATAATTTCGAATGGGGTTTGGGGAAACGGCCGCGGGCTTCGCCCTTGGTGAGGAGGAACTCCGAGAGGTCTTGGGTAGATAGCAGACCACGGGAAGTCATGCCGCAGATAACGATTGGCATGTCCCCTTTGTCGTCGAAGCCATTGCTGGAGTGAACAGCGTGACCGTGGCTCCCTACAAGCTATACCCCGACACTGAAGAAGGGGGTCGAGCAATTTCTTTTGGGGGACTGATCTCATTGTGTTGCTGTGACTGCCTCAACCCAGAATTCGTCCAGCCATCGGAATGTTGCTAAAACACTTCCTTCTTTTGCAGGGTCAATTCACTCGCGAGGAACGAAGCCACGAGCCCAAGGCCGCCAACACCGATCATGGTGTAGATGACTGCTCTGATTGGTGTCTGATAGGCCTGCTTGATGAGCCACAACGTTTTCTCTGGGAGTTCGAGCTTCCTCAGCTCAGGGATGAATGCTACGGCGGCTGCTGTATCTCGCAAGTGCTCCGCCCAGGGCGGCCAGCGTGGTTGCGTCCAGGGCGTAGAGAAAGAGGTTGACCAGAACGGCGATTTCTTAGAAACGCTCTCCGCTCCGGTCTCTATCTCGGCCATTTCCCGTGCATATTCACACGTGGCCTTCGCGATGCCGTCAATCTGCTCTCCAGTGTTTGTCCCGTGCACGATGACGCGAATACGGCTCTGTCGCTTGCGTACCGCGGGGTAATATTCTCTTGGACCTGATGCGTGTTTATGTTAGTAAGGACTCCGGTACATTCTCTTTCTTATCGTATCCGGCTCTCATGGCCGCCACCATGGGGAAGGTAGCTGCCGTAGTGCACACGACCGATCGTCGACCGAGCAAATACAGTGAGAGCAGTTCGCACTGTAGCCCGGCCAAGACTAGCTGCTGTGAATCATTTGGTGAGTATCACAGCCCCGCGGGTTGCCACTCACCACCCGTGGAAGTCAAGCGCTGACCGCAGGTGTGAATATCAAGGGCAATCTCCTCCGTTCCGACGGTGTCACGAGTTCAGCGTCCTTGGGGCTAACGATACCGATCCCGTGGGCCTCATCGATCAAGAACTCTATGTTGCCCTTGGGGCACACTCCTTTGGCACTGTCAACGAGCTCTCGCAGCGGACAGACGTCGCCGTCTATGCAGTACACCGCCTGCAACCGCCACCAGGATGCACTGCTTGCTCTCACGAAGCACTCTCTGCCAATCGAGGACGGACTCGAAGACCTCCCGGAACGATTCGCCGTCATTGTGGCGGAACGACTGTCTGCATAGAGTGGCTCTGTCAGAGCCAAGCTGTACACCATGCCGTCCAGCGTGCTAGCGTTCACCAGCTCGTCGTATGCAAGGGCATTGCCAGGCTGCGGGAGCGCTCCAAAATGGCCCCGTCCCCCTCAAAGCCCGAGCTGACGACCAACACGGCCACGGTCCCGTGGACCTCTACAATCTCCGGCTTTACCTGCTTGCACTTGTATTTTCCGTTCCCGCGCCTTGGCTGGGGAAGAATGTGTAGAAAGAATGGCGAGGAGTAGAGACTCAGAGAGAGAGAGAGAGAGAGAAAGAGCAGCTCGAGTGATAACTATTAGCGATTGATATAATTAATTCAGTATTGGCGTTGGCGTTAGCCACCGAAAGCCACCCATGTTTCGTGACTCAGAAAAGAGAGATTTCATCAGAGACAGGCATGCTACGGTGAAGTGAGATCAATGATCTCACTGGCCGCAGAGGAAGCAATGATGTGGCTCGGTACACCTGCCTCCTCGGCCGAGATCATGAGCGAATCCTCCATGCCCTCATCCGTTTCAGCCGTTCCACCCCGTCCGGCAAGAGTACCAGCATCTTGTCTACTCACTTCCCACGCCCCATTGGAAGGGTCATACTCGAGCAGGTACGTGATCTCAAGTTTGTCCTCTCCGGAATACTCCAGGGCAATCTCCAAAACTGGCTCGCCATAGTGTCCCATAAACTCCAGGTCCACCTTCACCTCCGTCCCGGCCGACAACTCACCCCGGAACGGAATGGTAAACGGCTCGGTTCTCGCAACGCGCCTGTTGCCTTGCATCTTGACAGACTGCAAGAACGTCGCAGGCGTGCCGTCGACGTCGATGCCCCTCGCCGTCACCTGATACCTGTCCTCCGCCGTCATCTCAATCTCCATAACCAACCGGCGACGAAGCACGAATTTCGGGATGGGAATATCCAGCTTCTCCATCACCTTCACCATCAAATCGTCCGTGGTGGCCCAGACCCGCAGCTCGCTCAGGTGGTCCAGCGGCGTGCTCTGCAAGTTGCAAATCACCAACTGGCCGCCGTTGGGGCTCGTCTTGGTGCGCTTCTTCTTCCCCACGGTTTCGGGGATCGTGCAGGCCGGTGGCACGGTCAGGGACGAGCCGAGGGCGAGGCAGAGGTCTGCCTTTCTGGCATTCGCGCGGGCGAGCGCGAGAGGTTCCGCGGGGAGGTACTCGCCAAAGTTTACAATGGTGTCGAGGAGGGTGCCGTTGCAGACTGCGCACTTGCGGCCGGTCCGGTGGTCGCGGACAGTCTTTTCGTAGGTGGCGACGGCGCGGAAGTCTGGTTTGATTGTCAACCGCCATCATGATGGGTGAATGGCCCATGACATGTCAGGGAGCGAGAGCTCGAACGGAAATGCAATAGGAAAATGAGAGAGTAAAAAAACAAAGTCTTACCTCTCAGATACTCCTTGCCACAATCCTTGCAATACTCGCGGTTACTGTTACCATGAAGCTCGGAAATCTTTTCCTGAAAGCGAGGGTTACATCGTGAGCCTTTGATCGACCAACTCCTTGAATGGCGGGAATGAGAGCGAGGGACATACTGGCAATATTCCGCTCTTCCTGTGAAGGCCATCGCAGTTCTGACTGACGAGATATTTCAAGATGCCCCGTTCCTGCAGCTCTACAAGCGCCATATGGGTCTTGGTAGGGACAGCCTGAAGCGTGCTGGTTGTCTTGCCTGTTCTTTGCCGTCCCTGGGCTCTGAGTGTCCAGGCACCTTCTGGACCGCGGAAGTCGGGAATTCCTAGATCACCACCGTCAATCTCTGAAACTAAGCAAATCAATGCGTATGTGCGCTGCAGATTGGATTGTGGACGGCCCGTCTGGCATCCGCCTACGAGGTCTCCCGCGCTTCCGGGGGAAGAAGGGATGAGGAGGAAGGTTTGGAACTCACCTGCGGAGGTGGAGATACCCGCCCCAGTGAAGGCGATGAAGTGTCTACTATTCTTGATTTGCTCCGTCAATTGAGAGGCTTTCTCTTCAAGAATGTGAAGAGCCTCGCGACGCTCTGCCTCGGCTTCTCTGGGGGCGGTATCTGCCATTGTGGGATTCCAGATTCGAGATTGCAGACGATGGAATGTGTGTCAAGAGAATGAACAAGTTTTTTGAAGTGGCCACGAATAAGATAAAAGGTGTATGGCAAGAAAGATACTCAGCATGCACTTGGGTGGCTTGACAGGACTGTTTTAAAAGAAAAAGAGAGTCTCAATAGCGGATCGTCGTGTCAAAGAGATATCGAGCAACGTGATATTTGATTGGACGGGATCAATTTAAACCATGATTAGGCAACCATGGCCCTCTTCCACCCCTTGCGCGCGGTTTACAAAAAAAACCGCCCATATTCAGCATGCCTGATTTATACGCTGAGTCTGTAACATAATATCATAGAAGAAAAATTAATTTAAAGTATCAATAAGCATCTGTAGCTTATGAACACTCAAGAGGTATTTTTGAAAATATTTATTAACTATAAACTTTCTTGATCTTGTCATGTTTTGATGATGTCTTTAATTATGAGGTCACTTATACATTGAGGGTTTTTTTTTTTGGTCAACCTTGTAAGTGGTGGTGTGAGCTTTATCTTAGCGCTACTGAATGACCATGAATAAGTGTTAGCGGCAGCACGGTCACTTTATCGCTCGGGTGGGATTGCCCCACCTAGCTGCTCACCTTAAAGTTGCCGCTTTTAAGCTGGTAAAAAGATGCCTTAGGGGGTGTAGGGTGAGGACGGCCACAGCTTGCGGTGGGCTGACCCCCACATTTAAATCTTCAGAACAGTACGGCAACTGCTCCCTAAGGCCCAGGCTAGATACGAAATACCTAACTCCAGCGGCAACCCCACAAAAAGAAGAGAGCAAAGCGGTACCCGAAGACTTTGTTAAACAAAGCTCCCCTGGCGAGCTACCTTACGCGAGTTCCGCCGGTCCCAAAGCAAGTAAGTCACAATGATGACCAGTACAAGAGGCAAAGAAATCTCTAAATAAAACCAAAGTCCTGGTTGGAGATCGAACTTTAGCGCGCCTCTTTCTGATGTGATACCAATGTAACCCATATCCAGAAATCCCTGTGTTGAGCCCCGACAATGTCAGCGTCTGCCGTTACGAGAGAGATGCGATCTTCTGCACTTACAGCAACAAAGGTAGGGGGAAGAAAACATAGCGTTAGTAGAGCAATAACCCTCATAGTTTGGGCCTCAATGACCGTTCTTGCGGTCAATGTCTCCGTTGTATATGTGTTGCGGAGATTAACGAGATCGCGGACCTACCACCAACTTAGCTGCCTAAAGCTCCAATTTGACAAAAGCTCTCCAAGGTTGAGTCTAATAAAAAACTTCTCCTCCCATGGTGGTGACGGATTCCAGCTTGGCTGTAATAACTAGGACGTGGCTTCGCTGGAACGCGAGATCTCTGACCACGCTCTCAACACACTCCGAAATCCTCTTCTTCTCTCTCAAGTAAGTATCATCCCGCGCTAGATCTTGCCTAACATTTATTTCATGATACACATATTTCATGGTAGCGATATTACTCTCCAACACATGTGCTGCAGTCTGGAGCCCTCCCATGATAAAGAGTGCATTCTGCAGACTTTGTGCGTTGGCTTCTCCGATAATTGGACAGCGAGGGTCGGTAGCCGCAGCATCTGCTCGCTGAATAGCAGTTAGCAAGCCATCAACAAGTTATTCTCTACTAGCAGATTGGATCTTGACTTACGATGTTCTGTACAGCTTTGTGGATGCAAGATATGTACGACGACCAATTCATCATGAGACTCTTGAACACCAAGATTGGCATAGTCGCCCAATCATTGCTGTCGCTGCGTTTAGCAACCGCTCCACCATACTCCTCTTTGACCAAATCCCAGTGATTGATGAGAATTGCGAAGTTCCGAGTTCTCTCATCTTGTACAATATCCAGAAGATAAAAACCCTCCTTCCTCACTGACCAATGTAGAACGTCATTTGGAAGCTTAGTTGTACCTAATTCATCGTTGGGAGGGAGTCGTTTCCTGCCGTTCATCTCAAAGAATTTGAGAAGGCAGCACGACTCAAATCTAGAGGTCCCTGTTATCACTGCGGGGGGCGGGGGGTTGGAGGGCTGGTATTCAACTGGCTGTTACTTTGACCCAAACCATAGCTGAGCCTTGCCTCCCTCCCCTACCGTCCTTAGCCCCCAACACAATCCCATAACCAAAGCCACAGATGCAGCGTGGTCTTGCTACATTTCAGCTTTAGGCAGCAGCGCATACTACGACTTGTAATTTTCACGCTGGCTATTCATGTTCTTCCAATCCTGCATTACTCCCTGATTCGAAATCGTCAGGCAATCCATCAACTATTTGCAACAAGGAGTCTGCTACGTACATCTGGAATCTTGTACGGGTCCCAAACTCGATGAACACCGCTGCTTCCGAAAGTCTTCTAGGATAAGGCTTCTACCCAAGGGTGTGATGGAGTAACTATGAGCTAAAGGGTTACCTGTGTATCGAAGTCCTGAATGTCTCTGTCTTTGTCTTCATCATAACGCAAGGGATACTGCTCTTTCAGCCATGCCTCGATATCGGAACGCTTAGCGCAGTCGAACACATCTGTGTATACCCAGGTCCATAATGTGTTGATTAACACTTAGCATACCATGTTGAATGCAGCGTCATTTCGGAGAATGCAAGCAAAAACAGGTGGGCAGCGGGACGAAGAGCGCATGCTGCCTAAATACACCACGGGCACGTTATCTGCCTTGTATACATGTATATATTGACGTGGCTGACGGTGATCATTGAGGAAATCTAACCAAATCATTTCCGTTGCAACCAGCCCTCTCCCACTCGATTATAAGTTTGAGACTATGTGGTTTGAACCAAGATGGTGATTCGAGGCACATATCAGAAATTTAGAAATGAGGCAGCACTAGACCTCGTTGAGTCTCATATTGTGACATCTTTATTAGAGGATCACTGTCAGAAGTCCGAGCTTGAACTCTTGAATTCCAACCGCGAAGGGAAGTTCTCAGATGCTGCATATTGGTGCAAGAAAGACGGAGGGTTTGTATTGCGAGGGAGCGTCGCTGACACCTTGACGAAACTCGAAACTCAAGAGCAAGAGGAGACGAATCGGGTGGCCTTGAAGCTTCGCCAAATGTTCAGTATTGAACTTAAGGGGTGAGATACCATGGATTTCTGTCTTTCCGCTTTCAGAAGTGCAAAGCATAGTAATCGGCCAATGGACTAAGATGCCATGAAATACGGCTCTGAAAATTGGTCAGTGTATTACCGAAATTCTACGTTCAGCCAAGAACACCCCGCACACCTAGCCATATACCGGGATCCTCACCAATTCAGAACATATTTGGAATCTGCAATAGAATCACGACAAGAAAGTCTTTCTATTGATCTTAATGTGGAAGTGGAAGGATGCATGGGCACCTTAGGAGAGAGTGTGTGATCAGATTTCGTTTCCACCAGCTGCATTCTTTCCAACAGACGACAATAGTGAAAACAAGGACGATCACATTAAGAAGAAAGCGTTACCACGGTACAAATCAATTTTTCCTAACTACACGCTCCTCTTCACCCACATCGAGGAGTACTGGCGCTTCATCGCCCTAATAATCATACGCCAGGAACTCTGCAAAGATGCAGCTAATGGTTCAACGGATTTCAGGTTCACAGAGTGTAGTATCAAAAGCCAAAAAAAAGTGTTTCATCAGTGGTATACCCCAAGTCCAGAAACGACTCACGGAAAAAGACTACGACGAGAAATTCAAGCGGTCTTCTCCACTTACTACTATCTCATATAGACCAGATAATGAGAACAAGGTAATTGATTACACCCTGGTGCTTTGGACACAGCATGAGAAAAACCAGTTTGGACACAGCATGAGAAAAACAGGGAAAAAGTCTGTTTGGCCATTGACATCGGAGAAACTAGGTGGAAGCCCAAAGTTGAAAGGGGCTCGCCGCAGCTCATGATCCAGCTCAAACGTAAATTGGAGACTCCCTACAAGTCTCAACTGCGAGCAGCGATATACAACGAAGAAGCAGATTTCAGGGGGACCACAGATAAATACCCCTTCATACCCATTGACCCAGCGCAGTTGTATGAAGGTCTACAGAAGGGCGTCGCGGAAGACCTCAACATTCGTTTCAATTATATAGAGGGTACATTATCTACATTGACACTTTAAGTTTCTAGAAAAGAAGTTCATAGCTGACTCATGGTCCATACTTAGAGAGAGATGGCTTTCGGAGGGTTCTTCGTGACCACGATTTTTTCCGGCAATCTGCCTTAGGATCAAATCATTAGGAAAATACTGGCCGACTGGCGAGTTGTCGCAGGTTTGCACTAATGATTAAAATTGTAATACATTGTTCTCAATAAGAATGGCCGAAATTTATGACGACTTATAAACTAATTAAGAGATATTTGCAATTTTCTCAACAGTTGTCTCAGTATCCAAAGTTCATGGTCGACGAATGCGAGTGAGGACCGCTTAGCGCATACACCGTCTAAGCGCATACCGGAATGCCAAGTGCAGCTTGAATTTCTTCCGATTCTTTCCTCTCTAGTCATTGGATTGGAATGAGGAATAATTGTCATTCATGTCCAAGCTGGCATTAAATAGCGATTACGCTCAAACATGGCATATTCTAGCATAAGGAGAGAAGCTGTAGGCTCTGTGCTCGATGAGCGGAAAGGAAACTCATCTCCGAGTGGTGGAGTAGTCCTTTCATTAGATCAATTTTCAGCCCAAAGAGGTTTATATGATGGAGCTTCATTTCAATCATAGCCGAAACGATGCAATCACTTGAGTCATCGCAAGCATTGACGTAAATGGGATACAATTGGGTACGAGAGAGGTTGAGATTTTTGGATCTCTGCTAGATGTACGGATACCATCAACTACTGGCGGCACCCGGCACACCTCTTCCCGGCGGCTAAAGACTCGAGGAGAGGCTGTCCATAGCTTAGAATTCCTCTCTTCTAAAACAGCGCTGGTTTCCACCCACCTGCGATGCCTCGAGCACCACAAAATGCCACAAATGCTACCATGTACGCAGCACCCGCAAAGATGATCAAATTCCGGTAGGGCTCAGTACCGGTCCTCAATAAGAACCCCGCTAGAGGAATGCCGACGAGGGCTCCGAAGCTCGCAATGAAGTACGCCATGCCCGTCGATTTCCCATAGTCCTCAATCTTGCAGACGCGCGAGATGCACACGGGCGACAGGCTAATCGCAGCCCCGGACCAGAAACCGAACAAGGTAGTAAAGGACATGATCTTGGCATCGACGTCGCCGGCGGCAAGCCACAGTCCCAGAACCAAGACGCCGCAGCAGAGAGACGTTACGCACATTGTGTTGAAGGCGCCGACGCGGTCGGCAATGTACCCGGGCAACATGCGACCGGGTATCGCGCCTGCATTGAGCAACACGTTGAGGAGGAAGGATTTTTGCAGCCCCAGTCCCTTTGCGATGGCGTAGGATGATATGTAGGAGTACGGAATGAAGACGGCAAACTCTACAAAGAAGATGGCAATTACTGCGACACCAAACTTGAGGTTACGCAGGAGGCGGAAGTCGAGGAGGACTTTGGCCTTGCGTTTTGGCGGAAGCCGTTTGCGGAGGAAGATGTTGGTGACGACCAGGCTGCCCGTCGATAGGAAGGCGATGATACGCATGGCCCAGGGGAAACCGATGCGGGGGGCCAGGTACTGGATGATGAGAGAGAAGCCGATGCCGCCAAGGCCGCCAGCCGTGCAGGCCACGCCAGTTGCGAAGGCGCGTCGCTCGCAGAACCAGTGTCCTATGGCTGATAGGGCCGGGTTGAAGAGGCAGGCGGCGCTGATGCCGCCGCAGACACCAAACGAGAGGAGCATTTGATAGAATTCTGATGCAGCCAGGGGGAGGGTCAGTCATTCACGGGCGAAGGCATCGATGGTGCGAGGCCAGGCATGGCGACGTACCTGTAGATAGGCTGAGAAAGATCATTGAAGCAATCGTGCCGATAGAGCCTGGTATGAGCAACACACGGATATCAAAAGCGTCAAATACGGGTCCTGCGATAGTCTCGACCGTCAGTTTCGGAAGGACTGTAGTAATTGGCCGGGTATACCTACCAACTTGGGCTCCGCAGGCGGTAATGAAGAATGCGTAACATGAGAATATCCACCCTGCTTTACTTTCGGGCACGCCTTGAAGTTCATTCTGCAGTAGCCAACCTTGGAGCACAGAAATGGTGTTGAGGATGCCCATCGGTGGGATCATGGCGCACCACGCCCCGACCACCACCATCCAAGCTTGGAGCCCGCCCTCGGGATACTCGATAACATCATCGTGGAGAACATCGTCTATAATGACTTTTAAGAGGTCTCAGTCTCCTGGATTTGGAAATTTGAACTTGGCAAATTCGCTCAAACATACTCGTGTCCGACACCGCCTTTGAGGGTTGAAACGTGGCTTGGTGGGTTTGACTGGCAGGAAAAGAAGCCTCGATGTTCCCGTCTTCGCGTGGGTAGTCAATAGGATTGGCCTTGGTGGCACCGGCATACTTCGCTCGACCTGAGTCCTGATGATCCTCGCGACGCGTCTCCATCGTCGTTCATATGCCCTATTAGTCCAAAATGTGGGCTCAACTTGGTACAGAGCCGCAAGGCCGAAGTCCTATTCATAAGAGCACAAAGAGGTCAAAGGAGAGAGACAACTCGGGTTTACGGCTGAACGGCAAAGGTGATTCGTGCCATCCGGCTACCGATGCGTGGAATGAGCAATGGCCGGTCACTGAGGGATTTGGAGACCTCCGAATCGGTTCGAGTCGTTGGGAGGGGCTTGCAGTGCGGAGAGCGCCGGTTTTGATCTGCTCGGAATGACGCCCCACCTTCCCGTCATGTTTGGGGCACTTCATTAGCAGATGCCCTTTGACCTTGCTGATAAGCTAGCCCTCATGATAAGAGTCAACAAACAGGCACGAGCACTCTGCGGGTGAGGAGATGAGTATAAGTAACCTCTTCTGGAGTCCAGGGTCTTTACTTCTCAAGTTGATGAAGTCCGAACTAGGCAGTAACGTGCTCCTATATGCGAGACAATAATTCTAGGGTGTACACCTTGGAACGGGGTAAATCACAATCAGTCAGCCCAGATGGCAGTATTCTGGACTATATTTGTGAAAGGGCGATCCACTAATAAAGCCAGGTAATACAGAACTTTTTTGCTACGTGCAATTGATGGAACCATAGAGATAGCAACTAAATGAGTAGAGAACAAACGTCAAGAGAGAACGGCTCCAGATGTGACTAGACAAAAGTGGTTCAAACATCATGAATCATATCGGCTAGAAGCAACTCACGCTTACAAGCATATATTCGGAGATGCATGTTACCGCGACCCTTTCCTAGATACGATCAAAGGCTCACAATGCCAGCCAAAGTAATACGGAGTAGGCGAGACAGGCATGTTGTTTCACTCAACCGGACATCGCCGTCGGGAGAAGCCAATGTCAGGAATTCGTAACTTCATTTGGTCATATCGCCGAGGTAACAAGCTAAGCCAATTTCCATCATTAAGGACATCTTATCGTAATCATCTTAATACTATACAAGAACAATGCAAAATGCACAGCCAAAAAACAAACGCTCCTAACAAAACCCAGCGCTGGAGAATCTCGTCTCGGCGAATTATCTTTGGGAATATCATGCAAAGTAGAGAAACTCTACTGGTATCAAACTGTGCGCTGCGCGCATACATCTCCACGATGCAAAATAAAACGGGAAAAAAAACAAACAATGCAAAATATTCTCCGTCATCCAAAGAGAATCACCTAAATCAAACAGGTTGAGGCTTGATAACGCATGTCGGCTTGATCATCTTCCCCACGGACACAAAGGTCGACGTGACTTCTGGTAGGGCGGGCGTCTTTTCGTTTTCGTCGTCCGCCGGCGCGAGGCTGGCATGTACCGTGGTGACATCAACCTTCTCCGCCACCGGCACAACAGCAGGCATGGCATCCGTCAGGGCGGGCTTGTCTTCAATTCGGTCGTCCGCCGCACGAGTGGCGTGTCCCGCGATGCCATCCACCTTCTCCACAGGTACAAATGCAGACGTGACCTTGGCCAGGACAGGCTTTTCTTCGATCTCGTCGTCCGCCGCGCGGTTGGCAGCGCCCGCGATGAACTCCATCTTCTCGCGGAACGAATCATCGTAATGCGAGAAAACAGAGGAGGTGCGACAGGTGTCGAGCGACGACCGGGCGGTGGCTGGGCCGTTGTACGAGGAGAAGGTCGTGTCCGCGACAGACGAGATGCGACTCCTGGTCGAGTTGGACCGCGTGAGCGGTACCTGTTGTTGCTGCTGCTGCTGCTGCCTCTGACTCTCAAACTTGGCCAGCTTGTCCGCCACGCCGCCCTGCATGGTCCTGAGCACGGGGAGATCGCCATTGATTGTCGACTTCTTCTTCCTGCCATCCTCGAGCTCACGGATCCAGGCGAGGCGGTCCGAGGCAATGCGGGATGATGCTTTCCGACTGCTGCCGAGATCACGATCACGCCACGGGGCGGATGCGGATGGAGGTCCGGATGACGTCGGGGTCCCTGAAGCTGAAGGCACCGATGTCGGTGCCGGTTGCCAAGACCGTCTGCGATCCGTTTGGACAATCTCTGCCAAAAGAAGCTTATTCGGCGCTAGGGCCGTCGTGGTCGTGGTCGTAGTCGTCGTTGGCAACGAGGGCATTCCAGTGGGCGTTGAGTGGCGCTTGTCCGTGTTGTGCGAGAGCCGTTGCTGCCTGGCAACGGCGTCGGCATTTTGTTGGTGGGGCCTGGTGACAGGCTCTGCTGGCGTGGTAATAGGGGCGGCCCGCGACGGCACATAGGCTGGCACGAAGGCGGCGCGTCGTGGCGGCTCGTGGAGCGGCGCTCTGTTAGACTGGTTCGACGCCGAGGCGGTGGAGGAGAATTGAGTGCGGATGGGTGCTGCAGCTGTGCGAGGCGTCTCTGGCGGCGGCCATGGTTTCGAGGTGTGTGACTGAGCTTGACCGGTCGAGCCGTTGTTGATGATGATTACGCTGGCTGCAGAGCTTGGTGCGGCTGCCCTGAGCAAGGGAGCTTGACCAGGGCGGCGTGCTTCGGCCGGTTTGCTGGCGGCGGCCGATGTGAGGAGCGATGGTGACGACTTGTTGAGCGATCGTATGTCGATGGTTGCAAGCGCAGCTGTCGTGGCCTTTCTGGCAAACATGTCGGCGATGGGCGTCATGGACGAGGTCCGCGAAGAAGTCTTCTTCACCTGCTTCTGCTGCCCTGCTTGCTTGGCTGGCTCCGGCGGCGCCATGCGGAAGGCCTCGAGGGACTGCAGGTCAATCTCGAGACTCGACGTCCCAAAGTCCTGCACCTGGACCCGCGGGGAGTCCTTCATGCTCTCGTCCAGGGATGGTCGCTCGTGTCGTGATTCCCCCAAGACCGACATTGTGGTCTTCTTTGCCTTTTCCCGGCCGCGCCGCACAAAGCCCGACAGCTTCTCCCTGACGGAGGGGAGCCGTCGCGGGCCTGACCACTCACCGTTGTTCCGTTCATGTTTGCTCGACATTGTTTCCGCACTGCTTGACCCTTCCTTTGGGGGGATGAGGTAAGGTTGTCGTGTTCAAGTCTCGTAAATTCACTCCGAAGGGGGGTAAATTCAAATGAAGATCACGTGAAGTAAACAAAATTGGCCCGGAGATCGCATTGATGCAGGGGCCGCTCATACCACCCTAATTTGTCTCACGGTGACAAACTTCCCCTGACCAGGGTTCTTCACTGCAACCTCAGGACACACTACCAGTTTCAATTCCTATCCGTATTTCGGTGCAGAGTCTCAGAGCTTCAAAAATCACGGAGGTAGTATCCGTACTTGCTCAGGTTTTGAAAATTAGTGTCGTAAATTTTGGAAACATGCAGCAAAACGCGGGGTGCATTTGGTAGCTTACAGATTCAAGTCACGGATACAAGTAGTGTTCTTCATCATGTGTCAGGTTGTGCGCTAATCTGTAATGGGCTAGTGATCTGAACTCTTCAGGAATTGTGTGTTTGAACATTTTGTACAGAGTAATATGACCGAGTAATTATTTAAGCCGGACCGAGAGAATAACTCGCCCAATGCTCTTCAATCAACTGCATGTTCACGAGATCAGAAAGTCTCCCATCAGCAAGTAATTAAAGCCCAGCACTTCAAGGTCGACTATTATCTCTACAATTAGTGCAGCCATTAGACAAATACACATTCATGGGATGTTTGGCCTTCCATGTAAAGCAGTGCGCCAGAAGCTCAAGCTGACGACTTGAGTTGGATTCTAGCGCCGGGTGGACCCGTGTTTCTCAAGAAAAAGAAAAATGAGACTGCAACGTAATACGAGCCTCGGATGATGGTTCTATTCCGCAGAAATCAGAACGTTTCGAATCAATATTTTACCTGTGCATTTACATCAGCAGTGTGCATTTCGGGGGGGAGTGGGGGGTGGGAGGAAGGCTTGTGAGAGCCAAAAGCACATTTTCTTTTGCTAATTGGTGGCAGTTCTCTATTCGGATCATTAGGCGCTACAGAAAGGCGAGGCCAGAAAGAGAAGAGAAGAGAGCACCTACCTTGAAAACGTGGGTTGAATATACGTGCACCTTAGATTGTTATGCGAAGCCCAGTTGCACAACTCCAAGAGATATTATCATGCCTGAGTTCCAGGTGTTGGTCAGCTTCTTTACTGACTCCTGCGCCTCACCATCTGATCGTCCATATCATGAGCATGAATTGATTTACGCCTCATAGGTACCTATCAAAACCATTCTCTCCTCACCATTATAGCTGCTCACATGCCTCATACAGCATGTGCATATCTAGAATGATTGAGGATTGAAATTCGCCTGCCAGGCTGTTGCTGCTCCTTGCTCGAGATCGTGGCTTTCAACCCAAAATGATCTGAAATATTGCCACGAAACCGGCCGAGTATTAGCGCAGACGAGGCGGTTCGCCACGTTCTTTTCCACGTGGCCCTCAATCTGACTCAGCATAGACAGGACTTATCCCCTGTTCACTTTGCGTTAGTTCGCATTAGTATAAGCCACTTTCTACCTACTTCATATGCCCATTGCTGTGTGCTATAATTCGTGACACATATCTACCTCTTAAGGTTCTCGCCTGACGTGGGAACCTAAGATGACCGTAACGAAGTAGTCAAGTGAACAGTGAGCGAGCTCCCAGGTCGGCATTCAGCATGTAAATAGTATACAAATAGTATGTATAAGGCAAGTTCTCGTAGAATCAGGCAGCTTGGCAGCGTGAAGAAGTACCGGGGGTAAGGGGCTTCAGATTCATACTAGTCGAAGACGTCTTCCAAGTCAGAAGCATCACAGATAAACTAGAGAGATGCATCGTCAAAGGAACTGTTAGGATGAGAGCCCTGATGCTTTCGATTTAAATTTGACCCCATCTATTCCTCCGAATGCGGCATGATGTGGAAAAAGAGTCAAGGCATCACAGATTGTGCCACCTCGGAATGAATGAAATTCGCGTCCCTTATGTCACCAAAGAAAACTGCCGTCAGATTTATTTGCCTAAATTTCCTGGCGCAAAGAGGGTGCGATCCATATTGGGAAGCAAATGGTTCACATCTACTTCTAAGAAACTAGTTAGACGAACCCCGGACTACGCTGGTCTCTTCCCTCTTTGCCCTCCAACCACCCCTCCGCGCCATCTCCGGTCCTCCGATGCAACCCCCGGCTCCTGTGCGCCGTCACATTTTCTCGGTGGCAGCCGACCGAGATTTCCTAATTCTGCAGTTTACTCTTCCGATGGCGCCTCTTCGCTACCGACGTTTCAGGGCCACACATATCCTCACGCAGTCACGTCCACCATACAACTACATTGTTGGCTCCCAATCAACTCTTGTTGTGGGGAGGTACTATACCAATCGTCCAATTCAGGAATTACGGATGAATGCACTCCACCATGGCACCCCCTCTTGTTGTGCTCGTGACAGGTGCTTGCCGCGTGGTCAAGCAAGGAGGTATACAAGAAACCGCCGAAAAAGGAAGAAAATTTCAAATTCTCCTAGTCTCTTGTCTTATTTTTGATTCGGGGGACGGGGGTAGCATACTATACCGACGTGTCATTGAAACTACTTCGCGATGGCACGACGTCCGACTCTGGGCCTCGCCATCAACTAAAGAGCTTGGCTGGCTTGTCAGCTAATTAATATCCAATGCCGTGTTTCCGACAATGTCGGCATGCCATATATGACTACCAATGCACCACTATATATGCCGCGGTCCTCGTCTGTCTGGAATGCATTCTGCCTGAACGAGGCAGCGCTCATCACCCAGATTCTCGGGCAGCATCTTTGTGCAGCAATCTACAAGAGACGTCGTAGACATGGGCAATCTTCATCCTTCCTTCCTACTGCTCGCCTTGGCGGCCACCGTTACGGCCCACGGCCACGTGGACTGGCTCGTTGCCGATGGCGTCGCTTACCGCGGCTGGGACTCGCCCGCATTCACGTACTCGCCCCCGACAAGTCCCGTCGTGGGCTGGAAGATTGACGCCCCTGATAACGGCTTTGTCGAGCCTGTCAACTTCGGTACCGGCGACATCATCTGTCACAAGAACGGAAGCCCGGCGGGTGGACACGCTACCGTCGCTGCAGGGTCCAAGATCCAGCTCATATGGAACACATGGCCAGAGTCACACAAGGGACCGGTGATTGACTATCTTGCCAAGTGTACCGGAGACTGCGAGACTGTCGACAAGACCACTCTCAACTTCTTCAAGATTGACGCCGGTAGTCTGATTGACATGTCTCTCTCGAACGGCAAGTGGGCCGACGACGTCCTCATTGCCAACAACTTCACATGGACCGTGCAGATCCCCTCTACTCTGGCACCGGGAAACTATGTTCTCCGTCACGAAATCATCGCGCTTCACTCTGGCGGCAACGTCAATGGTGCGCAGGCGTACCCGCAGTGCTTCAACCTCCAGGTCACGGGAGGAGGGTCCCTGGCCCCCGCCGGCATCAAGGGCACGGCTCTGTACAAGTCTGACGACCCGGGCATCCTCTTCAACCTTTGTACGAGCCCTCTCGTCTACCCCGTGCCCGGCCCTACCCTGGTGTCGGGCCTTGCCTCGACTGTTGCTCAGAGCACCGCCCATATCACCGCGACGTCAAGCGCAACCCCTGCCGGAGGAAGCGGCGGAGGCAGCCCTACTACTCTGAGAACGACTACTGCCGCGGCGCCTGTCACCACAACCAGCGCAGGAACAACGACGACTACGGCTGCGAGTGGCGGTGGTGGAACTGTCCCCAAGTATGGTCAGTGTGGTGGACAAGGGTGGACTGGAGGGACTACTTGTGCTGCTGGATCGACCTGCACAGTTTTGAACCAATACTATTCGCAATGCAGCTAAATCGGTGTAAAGCGAAACAAATTTGTCGGAATCAATCTCGATCGCAGCCTATCATTATGTATATACATGCAATTTGCCACAAAGCCATTTATTTGCAAGACGTTTCCTAGACATTGAATATATTGCCTGCCCGAGTTATTTAACCTACAAAACCTTGCTCAGCCAAGAGTCCAGATGTTGAGACCGGTTCGATACTCTTCTCGTGATGTAGACCAGTATGTAGAGTCCCAAGGTCGGGCTTCATGAAGTTGGTCCAACTCTTCCATTATAATGAATTGCATGGGACAGCCTTGACAGTAACAGCATCGGGGTCATCACATTCCACATGTTTACACCACCTAGGGTCTTCCATTATCTAGTTGATGCCGATGTTGGGCAACTGAATACCGCACTTACTGTACTTCGCTTCGACGATTGCAAAAATATGTTGTCAGCCGGTCCGTAGTCGTTTCACTGGCAGCGTCCTTGAGAAATTAACGTGGGGTCGGGTGAGCTAGCCTGCGCTATATTGAGTTGATTGAAGCTGGTTCGTGACGCTCTCCGTTAGTGCAGCCCTGAATCTCGGGAACGCCGGATGATTTGCTTAAACACGGTTTGCTCGTCAGGCAGATGAGTTGTGCTGCTTGTTTGGTCCTTGCCGATGTCTTATACTCTACCAAATTCCACCGTCGATCTTTCAAATAGGGGTCGCTGGAGGGAACTTTTTAGCCTGATAGCACAAGTCTCAGAGACTGATTAAATTGCCTAAGACGTCCGAAATGAGGTCTTTCCGCCCATGAAAATACCTCATGACGTATATGACCAGTGGATCATAGCTGGATAAGTCGGAGCTATGACAGATGTGGCCAATGAACGAGAACAATGGGAATCAAAGGACCTAAGAGAAGCATTTTAATGCAAGGTGTTCGGTTGTGCATCTTGGGTTGCGGATGCAAACGCTGAGCAAGTAGTCTCTTATTCTGTCCTGTGAAGCCCAGTCGAGATTGAAAATTCTTGCTGAAGAATACATGTAATCTGCGCAAGCTCTTGACTAGTAGGCTCATGATGAATTGTGATAAATATGAGCATAATCATAAGATTCTAAGCGGCATGTTTTTAGCCTTGGAATTGGATACCAAATTCAGGCACCATTAGGGTGGGTTCAATGTCAGGTTATGACGTCTGGGTCTTGTAAGTGCTTTTTCTTTTGTCGATGGGATGAAAGGTTTTCATGTTTGAAGATATCGTGGCACGAGCTCCGACAGGATCGTTCATCTACCAATGAACACATGGACCTACTGATGGGCAAATAATGCCGTCGAAATTTCTTTAGGGCTGATCTAGGGTCAAGGGTGTAAATTCTGTTCATATCGCTTGAAGATGCTGCCTTCGTCCTAGTCGGCTGTTCTCTTCGGTGGCTTTAAGCTCATACCGAGTGTCAGACATCTTGGCAGATGCCGCATTCAGTAAAATAATTACAGTTCGAAGGTAGGACTAGACTTGACAAGCATCTTCTCTAGCTCTGAAGCGCCTCTACTGATCTAATGTATTTGTAGATCTAAAGTTCTCTTGTAGCCGCATGATCAAAGTATATGAAAATACTGCCCACGAAGGGTATTCTCTTCACAGAGACACAAGTTCATGATTGAAAATGACGAAGACAAGGAACAAAACGAAAGCCGACTGGAGGAGTCAGGATACCCCAGTCTTCATTAAAGCCACCCAACCCTTGTACTATCCTTCTCCTCGAACCATGTCCACCCCATCCAAACCACTGTGATCAATGAAATGGCTGTGAGCATTGAAATTGTTTGATCCAATGAAAGCTTGATAATGAAATCTCTCGGACATAGCCAAACTTCGATTGCATACGACTACGAGTTGACGAAAGTGTGTGGAGACGATGGGGAAATTTCCCCAAACTCTGCGACCAGATAAGACTAGTGCACCGACTCCTCCGGATATCCCCCACTCCTGAGTCCGGAGTTTACACAGCCAATGATCCGCGGATGTATTTTCAATTTCGTATTCTTTGTGACAGGGTTGTTTGGCAGAGAATGCTATGAACTACAACCTTAAATTCATTTTTATTGTCCCAGACTTTTGTCCTAAACGACAAACTCCTTGATGATGAAATGCCGAAGGGTATGGATGGGCACATGCTTGCTTCTGGGGATGCTGGAACACTTAATATTGAACCTTGACTTGTTTCACACAGCTGTGCACACAATCAATTCAAGCGGCCGAGGGCATTTATTGATTTGCTACTGACACTAGAGTTTTGATTGGTCGTCTTAGGTTGTCATACCAACACGATCCCGCGGTAAATAATTGTGATCGACGAGGTAAACTACATTATTTAATGCCGACAATTCATGGATGATTTGTCAAAAGGTTCTAACACGCTGGAGCTCCCATGTCCAAAAGCGAGAGTCCCTCCTTCAGGGGGCCTAGCAAGAACATAACCTAGTACGGATCAAGCTTCATACTTGAAGATACTGTAGGTTGATTCTCGTACATGTCGCTTGAGGAGCGCTTGGACTATCGCGCGTGTTCCCTCTCTCTATTTTTCGGGCCGTTTTAGCTATGATTCCGAGCCCAGCGTATTTCGTTTTCTCCCTCCTCACAAACCATTTGCCGAGCAGCAATATGCGACGACTGAGTAAAGGCAAGACGATACCGACGAATTATTTAATTCCACATTCCTTAAATGAGACTTTAGGGCCTCGAGATCGGACGTGAGAGCTCTATTGTGTCAGCTTTCCGAATGCGGGTCGACAAGGCAATCGTTGTAGCCCGTAAAAATTGGCAGGGAGTCAAATGAATGGTAGGTCCTTACTACTAGGCTATCTAGAGCAACTACCGCGTTTTCCTTGTTCCTCAACCTTGCCCTACTGTCGTTACAAAATACACTGTGAAAAGCCAGGATAAGGGGTGTGCTTGGCTGTAATCCAACTGTAGTTGGCTCCCTCTCTTAGCAGTCTCAAAGCAGTAAACAACATCTGTTCCAATAACTATTTACGTGTCTTCATATACAGTTTTTCAAACACTGAGTCACTATGCCATAAACAATTCAAGTTGAAGTTCAAGCCAAGTTCAAGCCAAGTTTGAAGGCTCCGACAGCCTCGGTAGCTGTGTGACGCAAAACGCAATACATCATTGATCTGTCTCTCAATAGCGTATCGCCATTTACGCGCTTCTGTTCCAGCGTTTTCTATCAAAAATCAGGCACATGGGGGATTGTCGTGCATGTGGCACATGCTAACAACAATTTCCCTTGCCATTCGAGGTATTGCCGAGCTCCTTTGACGTCGAAGCTTTGTTTCCCATTGTTTCCTTGATTTCTGATCGGACGGCATGCTCACCCGGGTTATGGTGTGTGTACGGCCCAGATTAAAACAACATAAGCTTCTGCCTTCCGCTACCTAGATAGGAAAGCCCTTGCTGTCCACGAGTCAAGACTACCCAACGTCATCCTATTTCGGAGTCATCAACTGCCTCCAACTGCTCCGTGTGACTCAACGTTCATCTCTTCCAGGAAGCTAGACCAAGCAGAGAGCTGGAGCGGATTTCGAGCCATGGAGCTCGAATCATGAAGCGTAGTGGCTTTCGGATCCGTCAGAGACCTTGGTGAAACGAAACATCTCCAGGGCGCTCGGCCGAAGAATTATCCCTGGAAAATGGAGTTGAGCAGGTTCGCCCTTGGTATCTTTGAAACGTCCCCTCTCTCGGCGCGAGACTAAAACCCATGGGGAGGGGAGAAAGCACATGCATTACAACGCGGCAGTTGGTTCCTGTCACACGATGACAGCGCGCACGGCTTCATTATTGCATGCAGCGCGATTGACGATGATCCGAACGCGAGAGCTGCGGCATCTTTTGAAGTCTCCGTGTACCTAGCTTACCCCCCACATCTGAACGCCCAGCCCAAGTAATCTCAACGCGCCTCAGTTCCCAAACTGGGGGGGGGGGGCTTCAGTCAAGTTGTACTTAGCCCAGATGCAAAACACGATGAGATCTGTGATCTTAACTTGCAGCCTAACCGAGCGTACCGGCATTACATCATGCGCATGCCGTCCTCGGACACTCGGGCTCAAGCGGACGGGAAGGACACGACCCGTTACCTAGCCGCCAGCACCTTGTGATAGACAATTCCCAGTGGAAACTTTGCCCAAAAGCAGCAGTTTTCATCACATGACCTGAGGAACACTCCATCCTGACCTTGGTCCGTGTCGGGAGGAGGCCAGGATATCGATCTCCCGGCTCTCTGGTTTAAAACCCTGGAGGCGCCAAGCTTGAAAGCTTGCTCGAAAGCTTGCTCGAGTCAGCCGCAGGGTCTGCCCTCTAATTTCCCTCCATTCTTCAGCTCATCTATCAGCTCTTTTCAACCCGTTAATCCTTTTGGGTTCCTCTTGCTCAACAACACAACCTACCGAAATACACGATACCTTGCCAAAATGGTCTATACGGGGAAGCCTTCGGGCGGATGCAAGTTGTGCAGGATAAGAAAGGTCAAATGCGACGAGGCAAAGCCTTTCTGCATGCGATGTACAAAGTCTAAGAGACATTGCCCCGGATACGGCCCGGTCATTCGCGATCCATCAAAGTCATATGCCGACAAACTCAAGAAGATGAGGACGAATAGCACCGACAGCACGAACAGCACCGACATGTTCTATGTCGACTCATCGACAAAACCCAAGAACGGATCACCCGGATACTGCTGCGATTGGAAGACATCAGAAAGCCCACCAACAAGACGACACTCGTCTCCATTCAAAATCGGGACTAGGGAAGGTGACCTCATCGAGTGGTTCAAAAACATACCAGGAGGATTGACAAATCCGCTCGACGAGCAAGCCTCATGTCTGTTCCTTTCCGAGTTCGTCAACGTGCCCTTGACGTCCACAGCCCGCGGCTACTACGCCTTCTTGCCACATTTCCTCGGCCGTGGCGACATCTCAGTCTGCCTCTCAATGGCCTTCAAGGCGACATCGATGGCTGCCTTGGCGATGCGACAGTCGAAAGGGGCAAGAGGACCTGCCCTACTTCGTGCACAAGAACATCACGTTGCCGCTTTGCGAGCAGTCGGTCAAGCGATTGCCGATCCAGAGGAAATCGACAGTGATCAAACGTTGGGGGCAGTCCTTATGCTGGCGTTTTATGAGGTGAGGACCCATCTTGCAGCACTCGAGACTTGATACTGACACATTGTAGGTATTAATGTCAAAGGATTCTATGAAGGAGTACATTAGCCACTTAAAGGGCGCCGCAAAAATCGTTCAGGTGCGCGGCCAGAAGTGCTTGGAGACGGACGAGGGCCGAGAAATGTTCGCCATGACACGCAACCAATGCATGTCCGTACAGAACTTCTTCAAGGAGTCTGAAATGTCCGGTTATTCATGGCTGCTATACAATGAGGCGGTTCAACGTTCAAATCGTGCCACCGTCGACATCAATCTCCTCTGCAGCCAACTTCAGCAGGGCGTGGACCGCATCATCGCCCTCGCGAGGGAGCCTACGGCCGAGTCTGTGGAAAAGATGCTGGAACTGTTAGAAAAGTGTCGAAAGATCGAACAAGAGTTCCAAAAACTCCGCGCAAACCCGAATCCGCAGTGGAAGATCGAGGTGGCCGAATGGGTGTTTGACCGGACCGACGAGGAGCTTGACACTGAGCCCACGTTCGATGGTCAAGTATACAAGTTCTTCAACCTTCCCATGGCCGTGTTACATTTGGTCACTTGGAGCTCTCATCTCAGCCTCATCACCACCATGGTCCGCGCCAGCTCATGGTTAGCCTCGGCCGGTAGGGAAGGGTTGAATGACTACGATGAGTATGGGGATCTGGTCCGGTCCGCCACCGCGCGCGTCAACGACATTGTTTCGGCGATCCCGTATTTCTGCAGCTGGAACGGCTACGGCGTCATTGTTTCTCAGTTCCCCTGCGGCACCACGAAGCCGGACGACCCGCTCAAGGGCGAAGCCGGTCTCATTGTCATGTGGCCGCTCGCAGCAGCTCTGAAGAGCGATTACACCACGCCCAGACAGAGGCGGTATCTGAGGGGTCGCCTTCGTTACATTGCAGACGTGTCTGGCATTAGCCAGGCTAGATTTTTCATGAACGAGATTTGAATACGGAGTCACTGGAGGAGCTCTGACTGTACTTGTACGCGTGTGGAATTCGGGCTTTGGCAAGACGAGGCGGCATCAGCTACTTTGAGCTTATGATTATTGGCGCACGAGAGATCACAATGCGGGAGTTGGGATACCATGGCAAGGCGGTCACAGTTGTTAGACTAATCCGAGGAGATATCATTGCTGCCGTAAATAAAATTGATTGAAATAATTATAGAACTGTTCTGATTATCTCACTACCTATATGCATCCCCCGTGCGGCTCTCCGTCCTAGTTCCCGGGTATCTCGAAAAGAAACAAGCTGCAGAATGCGCGTCCGCATCACGAGTTGATGCAATTGCATTGGAAGAATGTTGAAGTATCGACGAAATATTCTGCTCCTTATTGACTTGAAAGGGGGTGCCGAGTCCCTGAGGACACTTGAGACGGAGGTCACTGTACTCTGGGCGACGCACACATATTCTAGGTGAATTAACCTATTGCGTCGGGAGAATCCTTTCCTTTCCAAAGGCTTAGTTCACCGAAGGACGATCGCGAATTGGTTGCCGACAATCCATGCTCAGGACAGTTCTATCTGTCAGACGGCAGTATGCCGTGGTCAAAGCTGCTCTCATATTGAGCTAGGTCTCTTGTAGGGGTTTCATCCGATCATCTCTGGTATCGCCTTACGTTTCGGAGCGGGAGCCAAGTCCTGACGCCATTTAGACTTCAGATCCAACAAGCAAGTCATTGCACCCGCGAATACGAAGCGCCGACGAAGAAGTAAAACGAACCAATGTCGACATAAACTCATGGGTTGGATGACGAATTGGATCCTCTCCTTCGGTTCCTTCGCGCACGACGCGAAAATGGAGCAACACCGTATGCAAGCCCCGCGTTGCATCGTATCTTCGTAACATCAAACCATTCATGACTGGATTGGCATTAGTTCGAATGCTCGGTATTGATCGTGTTAGTATTTCTTTCGCACTAGACACACCATGGTTGACTAGACACAACCCGAATGACTCGACACATCGGGATTGAGGTCAGGATCAAGCTCTAGACTGCGTCGTCATCCGGCAGAGCCCTAAGTTCGTCACAAGCATTTCTCTGACCGGGATCCACGACGGTGATCTCAAGTTAGATCAGCCGCAGATACATAGGATGACTGGTGATCCTATGAGAGCTTGCTATGTTTCCGCTGTGCCATTGTTTCGTGCGCTCTAGCAGATGCAGGGAGTAGCTTGTGTGCAAAAACAGCGACACCTGTCCTGGGTGAAGATCAGTTGGTACGGTTCAACCCTCTACCCATAGCCCGGGCCATTATTTTGCACTGTGAGCTTCGGCTGGGACAATCAAGTGGAAATTGTCTCCAAGAGTCACGTTTCAACTGGACCGCTTCCCTTGACATAGGCGCGACATTTTGCCAGTATTTACAGTAAAGTTCGTTCGTAGGTAAAAATTTCGATAATACTCGTTCCTCCAATATCCGGCAAAAGGCACTTGGTCAATCTATGTATAACGGTCGCTAAAGCAGATGAAACAAAGGAAAAGTGCTAATACGTTCCAACTCCATATACCGCCCGCCAGTCCAAGGTCTCCCGATGCGCCTTCCAATCATCAAACGACGACGTCGCTACTTGTAGCGCTGGTACGGATGTCCCGTCCTTGTGAACCCACGTTCCGTCTCGACATCGATTCTCGTGGAGCGTCAGATGGGAGTTGAAAACATCCCGAACCACGTCACACGTAATCACCTCCCGTTTCGCCACGCTAACCTTACTCAACGGGAACTTCCAGGCCAACACACGCTCCAGCTTCTCCGGCGCGCCCCTCTTCATGTCGTACTCAATGGGGATATTCTCGCCAAAGAGGAAAAACATTCGAAAAGAAACGCGCTTGCCGTCCGAGTGGTCTCTCCTGAGGCCGAGCCCGGACATCTTTTTCTGGAGGCGCGAGGCCAGTGAGCCGTGGTGCGGGTCGAACCAGTTGCTGATCTGGAGGAGGAACTCCTCCGTGGTGATGGGGAAGTCGTAGGTGCACTCGATCATGATCAGACGGCGGCAGTGCGTCGGCTCGGTCCTGCGCGATTCGCAAAAGTGACGCTGGAAGGTTCCGTTGACGATTCTGTCTATTTTGGTCTGGATTCCGCCGAAAAGCTTGCCGACGATGGATTTCTTTGCCTCGCCTGGCGGTGCCATATTGTTGATTTTGCAGTAAAGTGAGGCGTGTTAAGGAGGAGAGGCTGTCGTGGGAGCAAAAGTTTGATTCGGGGTTGGCTTGTTTTGAAGTATGGTGTCGATTGAATTATGGGCTGTCTACCTTTGAAGATCTTCTTATGCAGAGACTTGAGTACAGTTTGGTGTCTTTACGAACGATTACGCTTAAATCCAGGCTATTTTAATCCCTCTGTCAATAGACCGTCAGTATTAACTCCATATTCTTTAACCGATTCGAAAGAAAATCGCGTCAATTGTTTCTATCAAAGGCTGCACTGAAATGCAGGAAACAGCATTGGGCTGTGTCAATATGTCACAGCTACTACAAAGAGCTCTTTATTCCTTCTGAACCGAAATATGATGACATTCCATCCCTCTTGGCAGCGTATCTATCCCTGCATAAAGCAACTTACAATGTTGTTTAAATGACAGGATAACGTGGATTCACCCTACCTTATGTTGCCACACTGTGAAAAAGAGTCAGCTTGAAATCAGAACAATACTCTTTAGGATGCTTTTTCCTACCTCGGATAATATGGAATCCCTTTTCAATTGGAGTCCTTCAAGTGACAAGCCTCAGCTCATGACCGAGTCTCATTCCTTTCCAGCCGAAGTCTGATTTCGTTCCGTGTCTGGAACCCGCGTCTTTCCCCGTAGGGAGACTCTGCTGCTCCACCATGGTTCATCAAGTTGACTACCTCAACTATACGTAACTATAGCGAATAACCAAACCAATTTGGTTTGAAGGCTTCTGTGAGGGACAATGAAAATGCTGAATCCGCGACAGTTCGTCTGCGGGAAGTGGCGACTAGACGGCAAAGCTTCCCATAGGATCGCCCTTCAAAAAGAACCTCAATAATTCATGCGTAGACGAGTTAGGATTCGTCTCTTTCTTCACCCAAAGTTTGACTATTGGAGCTTGCCTCCCCATCGCATTCGCTTGCAGTATGGGCCGAACCAACAATAGACCCATGCAGACCTTGGCAGGCAAAATTCCGGGACCCCGAGGACGGCTTCCGGCTGCCTACCGTGCTACCTCATCTTACCTCCCCGTACGTAATATCTGGGAAAAGAAAACATAGAATCAAAAATACAAGGCTGGCGACAATTTACATGACACTTGCCAAGTCAGCTTTACTGACGTGTTTCTGCAGGCCGCTCTTCACTCTGCAGGGCTACTGTCCTAGATCTACGCGCGCCAACACGGCGGTTCGCATGTGATGACTAGTAAGGTTAGTAACATGTCTCGCCTGTTTGTGGGGTAAAGTCGTCGTAAGACGGATGACCCTGCCCGCATTTGGCTGCAATGCCAACTCATCCTCACAACTGCCATGGCATTTCCCATCTCAGCTTAGGAGAGGATTTGCCACTTTTCTTAAGAGCATCCTTAATAACACATCACGAACGCCCCTTTTTGCTGGGTTTTTTTTTCATGCGACGGGACTTTGGTTCTCTCCGAAATTCGGCCTGAGCTGTTAGGGAACTGTGACGCATCAATTCGACGTGTTCGTTGTGTGTCATCGCCGAGGTCTGAGCACCGATCCAGTGGGAACGCCTCAGACCCCAACCACCGCCACATCCGACCTAGATAACCATTTCACAATCACTTTTTAGTCGACGCGGTTGAAGGTGGCACCGATTGTGTAGTCGGAAAGCTCCTTCATTGTAAATCAATCATGAGGAGTTTGTCAACATTCCTTGCGCTGCTGCGCCTAGCAGAGTGGGCGACACCGGCCCGAAGCGACGCAACGCCAACAACCCACACAGACACGAAGAACGAGCAGCAGCAGCAGCCGTGCTCCCCCGACGCCTTTAAATTCCCCACAGAGCTTCTTGAGGGCGCAGACCTCGTGGGCGTAACGGCGGCCGAGGTCAGAGATCTGACATTCAGCCCCCAGACGCCAGAGGGTCGCGCAGTCATCCCGTCGGCGGGTGTCAGCTTCTGCAATGTGACGGTTAAGTACGTTCACACGGGCTTCAACGACGAGACGCAGGTGCAGATATGGCTGCCGCCCGCTGGGGCTTGGAACAGACGGTTCGTGGGCGTCGGAGGAGGAGGGTACTCGGCCGGGCAGTTCGGGAGCGAAAAGGTCGTTGCGACGCTGGCGCAGGGGTATGCGAGTACGTCGTTTCCCGAAAATGTTTTGTCCTATGAGGAAATGATGGCTCAGTGAGCTGACGACGGAATAGCAAGCTCTACGGATGCCGGGCATGACGACACGACGTGGGAAGAAGCGCCTTGGGCGCTCAAGAAGGATGGCACGGTCAACGAGCGGTTATTCGTGAACTACGCCTACGTCTCGGTGCACGACATGACCATCATTGCAAAATCGATTGTGACGCAGTATTACTCTCAGACGCCAACGTTCTCGTACTGGAGCGGGTGTTCGACGGGGGGCCGGCAGGGCATCATCGAAGCGCAGCGGTACCCCTCCGACTACGACGGCATCCTCTCGGGCGCGCCGGCGGTGAACCAGCCGAGCCTCATCATCAGCACGTACTGGCCGCAGTTCGTGATGAATCAGAGGGGCGTGTACCCGCACATCTGCGAGCTGATTCTCATGACGCAGTTCGCGGTCGACGCGTGCGACGAGCTGGACGGCGTCAAGGACAACATCATCGCCGACCCGGATAAGTGCCCGTTTGACCCCGCAAGCGTGGTTGGAAAGGAGCTCGATTGCGGGAACAAGAAGATGGTCATGTCGGCGGACGCGGCTGAGATCGCGCGGGAGATCTGGCGAGGCCCGCACGGCGCAGACGGGAGACCGCTCTGGCTGCCAAAGGGTTATCCGGTGGGCGCTCCCTTCACGGGCCGTTTCGGGCTCGGCAACACCAACTGCAGCGTACCGGACGCACCGTGCGTCGGCCGGCCCTTCCAGATGTCCGTAGAATGGATCCGTAACTTCGTGCACAAAGACCCGGCTTATAACGTGAGCGGGATGACATTTGCCGATCTAGAGGCGGCGTACGAGACAAGCAGGCGGGAGTTTGACGCGATCATCGGGGCCAACGATCCGGACCTATCCGAGTTCAAGAGGCTGGGGCGCAAGATGATTAGCTGGCATGGTCTGGCCGACGAGTGTGTCACGATGCGAACGTCGCGGGACTACTACGACCGGGTGTTGGCGGTGGACGGGGCGGCGGATGTGTACTATCGCCATTTTGAGGCGCCGGGCGTGTATCACTGCTACGGGCTGAACGGCACGTTTTACCCGCTGAAAGGATTGGAGACGCTGCGAGCTTGGGTCGAGGAGGGAGAGACACCCGAGGTGCTGGATGGATTCAAGCTGAGTGGGGGGAACGATAGCGAGGCGCCGACGAGGCCGTTGTGCGCATATCCTTCGGCAGTGAAGTTCAATGGTGGCGATGCGGACAAGAGGGAGTCGTGGAGCTGCGAGAAGCGTCCGGAAGACTGGAAGTGGGATCGGGACGAGCTTTAACGTGGGTCATCCGTCAGGGGAAGATGGGCGTGAAAATGTCCTTTCTGGGGTTGCAGTAACTTGGATGGCGTTCTTCGTATGTAGACAAAAGAGAATGCACATGTTGTCGTGTAATGGATGAGTTGACGGATTGACGAACCATCTTACATCATTCGCCGGAGCTGCGAGGTCGCCTCCGGTGAGTTGTTCCGGAGTGAGGTCCGCCAATAGGGGGAACCTGGAAATCTTCCGCGTCGCCGGAGAGAAAGGCCCGGCTCAGTTTGCGCTTGCCTCGTTCTGGATGGCTTAGGTAAGGTCCCCCCGCTCAGAAACCCCAGCGCCCGCAAGAAAGCGTGACGGGGCTTGGAGAAGGCGTCCATTGGTCCCTCCCGTCTCCCCTAAGGCGAACCGAGGTGTAATTACCCGTCGGTGGCCCAAACTTCCAGCCAAAAAGTCGAAAAAGCGAATTTTCAGGGTCCAATCCCCCCCGCCAGCGGACCCCGTGGTCCCTTCGCCCCCCTCCCTCCGGGCCTCTGCTGACTTTGGCATCTTTGCTTTCCCCTTGTCGCCTTCGTCCTTACCAAATTCCCATGGCAAAAGCCGCAACACATTCGCCACCTCCCACAACGGCTCGGCCGACGCCAACTTTCCCTCTTAAAACCATCCGTCTTCGATCGCCTCGATCCCGATTTCTCGCTCCATGCCCGAAGATCGAGCTCCAACACCACCATCCTGGGCCACCACCACCATTTGCTCTGCACAACCCGCCTGTGCCTCTCTGCCTCTGCTGCAATCCTATCAGCCCACCGTCGTGGTCGCCCACGCTGCTGCTGCCGCTACTGGTGCCGCGCCGTACCGTCCAGGTCCATGACCTTTGCGTCGTCTGCGGATCTGCTCCGATCGCCCTGGGCCTAGACCCCCGGATCTGTTTGTTCGGCCTCCTCTTTCGGCCTTGCTTTCGTTTTGTCGTCCGGAATTACATCCCTCCCGTGCACGCTCACTCGTGCGTTCCCTCCGTCTTTGGCCGGCCTTTGGGCCACCGCTCCGTTTGATGCCTTCCGGCCCCTCCAACGCATCCGCTTCCACCCCGAGATCCGGGTCGTCACCCACTGGCACGCATGGTCCGACTGCGGCAAACATCACTGAGTCGCATATCTTTGCCGGTAATGATGGCCAAGACGATGCCGGCTCTCCTACTAGGGTCTCTTGGAATCATCTCCGCCAGGGCGAGAGTCACCAGCGCGTGAGTTTTCATCCCCCCTTCTCCTTCAGCTTCGCTCCTTATCGGGGCCCTTATCGGCCCCACCTATCCCATCCATTGGAGAAGAGGCATGACCTGGTGCACCAAATCCCGTTCATCATAAGGTACATGGCGATTCCTCCGTCTGACCTTTCTATTTCTATAGATCCGCCATGGCGCCCAGCAATTGCTTCGCCTGACCGGCAAATTTCCCACCCATAGTACCGCAGGCGAGGATGACGGCGATGAAACCGCCAACGACCACGTTCTCCCCACCGAGGACAACCTGCGCGCCATGTCACGGCTATCGCACAGCATCGCGCGCGATATACACGAGATCAGGACCCTCCGGAAGGAAGACCCCAACGCAAACAAGCGAAAGTCGGGCGAGAGCTGCGAGCAACAGCTCGCTTCCAGAAGCCATGCCGGGGACCGCGGTAGCCCCCCGGGACGCAGGAACCGCCGCAAGACGATCGATTTCTCGTGCCACAAGTGCCACCGCGTCGACACCCCGGAATGGCGACCCGGCCCGGACGGCCCCAGCACGCTCTGTAACGTGTGTGGGCTAATTTACGCCAAACGAGAGCGCAAGAAGCAGGAATCGACGATGCCCACCTTTGGATCTCGCTAATTTTTCTTGATAAATTGTTTCATTTTCCCTTTTCTTAACCCGTTCGAAATATTTCAGGTCCATGGATATAAGGGGCGGAAAGAGCAATCTTGCGATCGATTCGAAGAATGGAATTACGGGACGGCAGCAAGCCGTTGGACGCTGCTTTTAGGTATTGATATCCAACGCGATCCCAAGGGTTTTGGACTTTTTTCCTTCTTTCATTTTTCCCTACATTTTGGGGAGACACTATTTCGGCTGGAGCATGGCGCAAGCGACAGATGGATTATGAATATACCCAACCAAGAATCAAATCAAATTTACCTCCTGCCTACCTTTCAGCTCCTACAACGGCAACATTTTGCTTGAAAGAGGTGGTCAACCCGTGGCTGAGAAAACGACCACCTTACACACAAGTTGCACTGATGTTCTTGTTCTCGATGAGGCGAACAACAGGCTTTCTCAACAACTTCTCGCCCGCAGACAGCTAGGCTGAAGCAAGGCCCAATTCGTGTCTGACCACCGAAATCGAGTGTCTGTCTGACTCTGGTCATCCGCATTCGACAGACGGGAGCTGCGAGATGCTATATTAGCCTAACAAAGAGAAAATGCCCATCGTGCCCGACGCTAGCTCCCCGCGTCCACCCTTACCCGCCTCTCACGTCTTCCTGTCTGCCATGGCCGGCGCATGCTGCAGGTAAGCCAGGTTAAGCTATGCGAGCAGCTGTACGGCGGCGGCGGGCGACAACCGCAGCTCAGCAGGTTATGTCTCCGATGGGTCGCGCCGAGGATGCGGGGAAGCAAATACACCACGGCAGATCACTCACGAGGTCACTTACCCAAACAGACGCAACGCTTCACGTCAGCCCACCGGCCGCCTACCCCAGCTCCCAAGACCACCGAAAACCTGAGTGGTTGGAACGGTTCCGTGGCTGAGTATGCATGCAGTCGCCAGGCAACGTTTGAGAGAGAGAGAGAAAAAAAGCTCGTATTAAAACACGGTCAAATATCTCTCACGAGCCTCCTGACTATCGACCCAAAGTTCCCCAAGAAAGGCGGCGGCCTATCCCCACAATACCCTCGGCGTCATGAATTGATCTATTTCGCCAAGTGGCGGTTTGCAGTAGACAGCTGACGCAGTCAATCGCAGGCTCAAAGATTCAATTGTGATACTACGAGTCTAAAACGAAAGGATGGAAGTGTTTGCTACCAAAGTCAGTATGAAAAACCATGTGCTTACCACTAATAAAGCCGTTTAGCAAGATACTAAACAATTAAACAAAATAAGGTAGTAGTGTACAAAGAGCTTGCTGACATCGCGAAGCTGTGCCTACTGCGGTAAATGCCTAGGTACCGAGCTGCCGCAAATTGTTTCTTCAACCAAGAATGAGACAGATGTCTTCAGCACTGAGTTCTCGTGCGACGAGTCATCTCCAGGTACTCATTTACCGGCAAGGATAATTGTTTTTCCAACAAAGAATTCAGTAAACCAATCTGGCCAATTTACTCGGGCACAAGCGCTGACTTCTGATCTATCTGAGGCTCCTGCTCGTGATCCGCGCTCATCCCTGTGGGACATTTCCATTTTCGTTATCTCATGTCGGTGCCATCATGCTGTTGGAGGTGATCCAGACGCATGGATCGGCTCATGTGTACGCGTCGCAGTATCGGAGGTTCCTCATGAATTTTGATACCCCGAACACAAAACCCACACCAGATCCCAAAATCCCCTGGATACCACCAAGCTGTGTTAAACCCTCCCATATGACCCCCCCCCCCCCACCCAAGAGTTGGTGGCAGGCGGTAGACATATACGACGTATTGCCAATAGTTTCCACTTTCTTCCCAAGTAAAGGGCATGTTACAAAGTAATTGTTCCAGAGGGTTCGAGCCGCCTGGGCTGTTGAGATGGTCGAGCTGCCTAAGCCGCCAGAGTCGCCAGAGTTGCTTGAGCTGCTTGAGCCGCCTGAGCTTTCTGGTGACGACCTGTCCTAGTAAATCCAGCGAGTGGGTCAAAGTATGCTCTGGGCCATGTGTGCTTCTTCGCACCGCCTCCAAGCCTTTCGATCGCTTGGGAACGCGCTAGTGCAGCGGCCGCAGGTACAAGCATAGCGGGCACCATTGATATCGTGAGTTAATTCGTGGGCAATCAGATCCTCCCGGCTGTCGCATCGTTCGCCGCAATTCCCATTGTGGAAGATTGGCTGTCCGTCACTGTTTCCGTTCGTGTAGATAGCTGCGTCCATGTCCAGAAGTCCGTCTGTGTCCGAGAGAACGCTTCCGGGTCGCCAACCTGGAAGGTGGGGGGAGGGGGGCTGTTTGAGACTGAGAAGGCGTATTTAGTTTCAGAGACTTGCCCGTCTGTTGAGGAGTGACCGTTTGTGGAAGACATGATGCTTTTGGAACACCATTATTAGCATGTGCTGAACCCGCAACTATCTTAGTGGGCAAATGAGAACGACAGCTACCTTAAGATTGATTTAGAACTTAGCTTGCGGTTTGAAAAAAGTCGGATGTTAAGTTTGCAGGTTAACTATGAAGTTTGTAGAATGCTTTGACTGATAGATGCCATTGTCATTTGGAGTCCGGATAGTCTCACTCTTCATAGACTTAAATTTATGTAGATAAGAATGAGATGAATTCCTACGTGGGTCGAGATATTGACTCATGATATTCTTGATTGTCACATTCTAGTGATTCGTGAATGGTTTAGGCTGTGGTGAGGCTTTATTTTCCTCGAGTTATACGAATCAAAGTGATCTCCATGTTTGAGATAAAAACTTCGGTATAACCTGGTGAGAATGAATGCGAAGTAAATCTTGTTCTCTTCTTGGTACTTACCGCTACCAGAAAAGCTGCGCATCGTGAGATGCATCCTCAACTTGGTTTGAGGATCGTTTACGAGGCTTACCAAAGGTCAAGCTACACGACTCTTTGAATTTTCCGTGAGGAGTGACCCATGATTGGCTGGGTTATCCTGTAATGGTGCAGCTATCTAGGTACCCACGACTCAGCTTGCCTACATTAACCTTTTCCGCGGATTTGGTGGCGTTTACAGTGCTCCGGCGGTAAACGCGCCTTCGTTACTTTAGCCAGGTGACCCCGAAGACTGCCTTTGAGATCGTGTTGGGGAAGACCATTCGAAATGATGGATTATTCACCAACCCAAGGCTTCGCGGTTGGTATTGGCACGCTCAGATATACTTCACAGAAAGATAATGACGATGTCATTGTTAAAAGGCTCTCTTCTGTATAAAAGATATTTAACTAGCAGCTAGATTCTCGTATGTCCCTTTTGCTGCTCTGATTCAGTAGCCAATCGTAAGGCACAATCGCTGAATTCTGCAATATCAATCTCCTGCACCTCATCAGGGCACTCCTGCAATTGGCTTTACCCACACAAGTTTCCGATACCATCCCAACATCATATGCTTTTGGAGGTGATCCAAACGCAGCGACTGCTGTATCAAGTTGACAACGTTGGGGTTTTGTATTTCAGGATCAACGTCTTTGAACGCCTTGGGACAGAAGCCACACCAAAATCCATCGAACATAACCATGGAATTTAAGAGAAGGATGTGCACTTGATCGTCCGATAGGTTTTCGTGGTGAATTGACAAATGAACCTCGAATTCGTGAACTTCTTTAGTCCTAAAGCCTCGGTGACACGGTCTCCCAGTAGGTGTTGTTTCCGAACACACCCAGTGAAAGTCCGACTTGGCACGTGCCAATTTGTGGCTTGCTTCACAGTCTCTCCATTCTCTTGCCTTCGAGTAAGTCGCTTCGCACCAGGTACACTTAAAACCGCCGGGCCGATCATGCGTCGCTTCGTGACGAATCAGAACGCTGGGGTGTTGGAATTCAAGGCCGCAGTGACCATAGCAGCACCTGAAATGCGTCTTTTCATGCTCAAACCAAGCTGACTCATCGACGAATATTTGGGTGCAATGAGTGCACCGAAATGTGTTCTCAGGCCCCTCTGCAGACATGATGCCTTAGACGCAAAACTGTCAGTAAATGCGAAGTTTACCAACTTCTTGTGCAGAGGGAATAAGAAAGTCACTATTCACCTCGAAACAGATAAACGGTTTAAATTGCAATTTAGGAAAGCTGGTAAGCCAAGTTTCTAGGCAAACTTAATCAGGAGGTGTAGGTTGACTCGTTCTGTTGATGTTGTTGATACAGTGATAGAGATCATTTCCCCTTCCAAAGTGGACAAGGTCACCACTCAAATACTTCCAATTTGACGGTACCGTTGAATTTAATCTTCTTTTTAGACCCAGATCGGTCGACTGTCTTCAATTTTCTTTCCCTGTTTTCCCTGCTTTCCCTGTAGATTATCTGACATATTGGAAGTTGGGTGGCCGAGATGAAGCTGTTCAGAGGACTGGTATTCAGACTTTCTTTGACTTCTGTGTTGAACTACCCTATGCGGCTTGGAAGACTTCAAGGTGTGCTGGTAGAAAAACCATCTTTGTCACTTTAAACAGATGGTCCAGATTACCGCCAGCCCGCCCGTCCGCCTCTCAAATTGGCGAGCTTTCATCCTGATTGCTCCCAATCTGCCATTGATTCTTTGGCCAGTTTTCATGAGATGCCGGGTTGTGACGAACAGCCATTCTATGTCAAGACACGAAGATTCAATAATACCAAAAATCTAAAGTGAAGGGATGGATGTGTTTGCGTCGAAACGTGGTATGGGGAATCATTTGCCTACCATTAACGAAGCGGTTTGGTAAAATAGTGAACAACTGATAGAATCAAGGTACCTACCTAGTAGACAAAGAGCCTGCTGATATCGCGAAGTTTGCCTAGTGCTTGAGTTCAAGTTTTCCCACTGCGGCAAGTGCCTAGAAAGCTTGCGGGCAGACAGGTCATTGGGAATAGTCAACATGTCAGGGGCTCACTGACAAACCCGGCACGGGATCCATTCCGCCAACTGGCAAGGATGGCTGTTTCTTCAACAAAGAAACCTACAAAAGACTTCATTCATCGTGCACGACATCTCCAGCAAATACATCCCGAATACTCGGCACCCCACAGAAACAAACTCTCACCCCTCGCCCCCCATCTGTCACGGCACCCCTGCCTCACCCCCGTCCTCTCATTCAACCCCCACGCCTGGCTACTTCCATCATGAACAGTAGCCCTTCTCATATCCCTCCTAAACCGATACGCAAACTCCCAGCCCATGGCACGATGCATTGTACACGTGTTATCCTAAACAACCAAATCCCCAACATCCTCCCACTCCACCGTGACGCGGTACTTTTCCAACGTGGCGTGCTCAAAGAGTTTCTTGAACAGAGCCTTTGATGCTTCGGGGGTGAGGTTCTCGATGTGGTGGATGTGTGCTGGGAGATAGAGGTTCATCCGCCCGGAGGGTTCGTGTTTTTGGACGAGTTTGTGTCGTCCCATGGGATAATCTGCGGGCTCGATGTTTGCAAAGTGCTCCGGGGCGGCAAGTTTCTTGGAATGTAAGATGGAATGACACGCAACGTAGTCTTTCTCAGCCAACTCCGCCTTCACCCCCTCCCCAAGACCATCCCATGCAGCTCTGGTATCGCAAAACTCCGTACTTCCCCCCGTACCCCTCGGCGGCAATTAATGAGCCAGAAGAAGAGAGTGCCCCGCTCTTCGCGGATTAAAGCTCGAATCAACGTGAAAGAGAGCGTTCTCTAATCCAGCCTGGGCACGCGGGGATTTGGGGTCGATGACCGATCCATCTGCTTCGATGTTGCCTACGTCAAAGAGCTCGTCGTATTGGAGGCGGTTGGCGCGGCCTGCTTTGTTGTAGGGTTTGACGTCGTCTAGGTCGCCGAGGTGACGGGCTAGAGCGATGTGGGTTTCGTCTGTTAGGCCAGATTTGCGGATGACGAGGAAGCCGTACTGGTTAGAGTTTGTCAGGACAAAGACTTGACAAGTTCGGCAGGGGCCTCAGAACCTCACCTTTTTGACAAGGTCTTCTATTAGACGAGCGCTCTGGTCGAGTGAGGTAGGTTGAAGTGGAAAGTTATGTGCTCCGATCCCGAAGCTGGGGCTGAGCTCCTTGGTTTGCAGTTCGGTGATGACCATTGTGATATTTATGGTGGCGGCGATGCTCAAGTTCGCCTGCGACGTTAATGTTAAAGCTGTAATTACAGCTTGGAAGACAAGGTGACTGAAGGGCGGACCCAAGCGTATTTAAGAAGAGGTCATACTAAGATAACGAATACTTACTTTCTTTGGGAGATTTTGACAAAAAGGCGTGTCCAACGAAGCCCGATTATGGCTGAAGCCGTCCCTTTCCGAGGAAATGGACGGGTTATTTAATCCGGCGTGGTATTCTTCGTGATGGTAAGACGCAGGCCAAGTTGCCCCTCCATTGGCCTAAACAAACGGTAATAAGACGGGCTGCAACCTAGACCAAGATTGCTTGAATTTTTTGCATCTGCCTTGCGGAGAGAGGCAGTTTATGTGTATAATGCGGCCCGTTGCAACTAGGTAGCGGTTTGGGTAGATTCGTTGACGATCCCAAAGCCAGTATTCAGTATCCGGCACCAAAGTCCCATAGTAGGCATGGCAGACGAAGTTGAACAATACTTGAGATCTTCTGCCGTCACCGCCAGGGTAATTAGCGGGCAGTGGAACCGGCCTCATGTTGTCAGCATCAAGTAGTTGGGAAGGGGGGACACGACAAGTTGAGCGTGGTGGAGAGTATTTCTCTATTTCTAGCGCTGGATTATGATTCAAACAATATGGCAGTATCAACGCTGCGTGGGTATAGTATTATAATTCCTCCTCAATGACGTCGTGCGTCGTCTCCCTTGTCCGTGAGCCTCAAGTCGGGGCATTAAGTATGTTTAGTAGCTTTCAACCGCAGCAGACGGTAGCCTCACTGGCAGCAGAGGTGGGTCCGTCGTAAATGGTCTCTCATTGGAAACGGAAGGCGCCAATATAGGAACCGATGAAGATGCAGATGATGAGGTAACCGTTGTAGTACATGACAAGACTAGATAAAGCTATTAGTGCAATTCTCTTGGGCGAGAGAAAGTTTCATGGGACGTACAGCATTACAAAGTAAGCGACGGCGAATTGGCACATGCGGATGAGGGCGCGAACGGCCTGCTGCAGGACGTTCGGGCGGAAAGGTGGGACGACGTTGGCGGCGATAGCGGCGGAGCCGGAGGGGCCCTTGCTATGGTCGTCGGCGCTAGCGGAGCTTGGGGAGACGGCGCCGGCGTTAGCGTACTACTGCTTGTAGGCTTTAATAAGGTATCTATTATATTTTTTAATAGTACAGCGAGGGGCCTTAAGAACTATAAGTAGGACGATAATCCCGATATATATGCCGGCAAATATACTGTTGGAAGTGATCTTCCTTAATGTAGTGTTAGTGGTTTAGTATTATCGACATAAGTAGGGAGTTCGTACACTAGCTATGATTCGAACGACAAAGCTATCTGTCACGTTCTAGTTCTATAACATTTATAAAACGCTTAGTAGGCGCTATAAACAACAGACTAAAATTAGCTATGACTAGAACCTTGTAGCCGGTGCTGCTTCCTATGCTGGGCATAGCCGCCTTGGTGCTGGTGGTAGCAGCTATGCTTATAATACTAGTGGCAGTTTGTGTTCGTACTCGACATCGTGGCATCGTCACATCGGTTCGTATGTTGGACTTCCAGTCTATTCAGATATGGTGGGATGATATTTAGTCAGAGGTGATCCTGATAGAGACTCTGAGAGAGGTAAAGTCGGTGTCTCTTTAGGAAATACCGTGACATTTCCTGACCGACGCTTGTATTTGGAGACTTGGTTTCGTGCCATCGCCCGACCGCTAAGACCTTTTGTTTTTTGGTAACAGCAAATAATGGCTTACACTGGATTGTGCGAAAAAGCGGTCATCAGCTGGCTGTATAACTCATGAGGTAGGCTCGCATTACGAGTCTTCCTACTAGCATCAGCATCAGGCCCAGCCTCAAACTCATTGTATTAAGCATTATCACAAACTACACAAGTCACAAAAACCTCAAAGCCAAACCTCCAACAAATCACACCCACCAACTTTCCCAAATTACATACAAAAGAAGCCCAACAGCGTTCAAAATGCATCTCACGTCCGTCATCCCCCTGCTCGCCGCCGCAGCAACTCCCATCATGGCCCTCGGCAAAGCCACCGTCGTAAACAACTGCGCAACCGAAGTCTCCGTCTGGTCCGTCGGCGGCGACGTCCGCGCCGCGGGGCCCCTAGCCGCCAAGGGCGGCTCCTACAGCGAGACCTTTGCCCGGGACCCCGTCACGGGCGGCCGGGCCTTGAAGGTCACCCTCGCGCGCGATGGCCTGTACACGGGCGCGCCGCAGCTTGTCTACGCGTATAACCTGGACGGCGCCGATGTGTGGTACGATCTGAGCACCCTCTTCGGGGACGGGTTCAAGGGGAGCAAGATTGTTGTTGCGAGTAGGCTGGCGAGCTGTCCGGCTATTGTTTGGGAGGGCGGGGTGAGTCCCGGGGGCAGTAAGGTCAAGGTTTGTACGGCGGAGCAGGACGTTGTTTTGACGCTTTGCGCTTGAGGAAGGTTTGATGAAACCGATAGTTGGGATGTGGGGATTTGTCACTGGAGGAATGAAAACGGAGTCTTTGAGCTTCAATGAATTGGAAATACTACATTTTGATATGCCAATTCTGAAAGATAACAGAACAAGTTGGAATTCCAAACCCTGTCTTTTAATCTGCAGATTCAACACTCCCGTCGCAAAGTTATATGAGCCTCCTTGGGGATGGTCAGCTACTTCGCAACTGAGTGCCGCGTAAATATTGTAGAGACTATTGCGCCAAAGGAATTCCACTAGATTTGAAAAGCGAAACCTCCAATTTCAAAGCCGTGCGTAGCAGAGTGTTCCACTTCCCGCTCTTCCCGCCCTCTGGCTTATCAATGCCAGAAGACCAGACCACGTTGTTTGCGTTGAGAAAGGCTAAACGAGAAATGTTTTTGTTTCAGCGATGGTCCATAGAAACCACAGCGCTATGGAAGGAATGTCGTGAGCGCACCTGAAAGTTTGTCTGAGGACGATGTATCCATATTAGGTTTGACCCAAGTGTTGTAGAAGATGGTGTCTGGGAATGAAGTCAGCCAAGAGCGTGAGGACAACAAGAATTGAAGATGGAGAATAGAAAATGGGATCTCATACCGTTCAGAGTCTTTGGGTCATCGTAAACGGCTTTGGCCAATTTGGGCCATCCCTTTTCTAATGAGCCATGTCTTTCCAGAATTCATTTAGGTTTCAGCCCCAAGACTTACGTAGACGCAAGGAATCATTATGACGTGAAGATCAAACCAATCGTCGATGGACGTATGTCTCTGGAGAACGTTGGAGTATGCCAACTCGGCCACCGATCTCTCTGCTTGAGTAATTTCTTCAGGCGTCAACCGCAAGTCGTTGATAAGAGTGTTTCGCCAATCGTTGACCCAATCAACACTGCCTGCGAGGCCTTTGGCTTCTCTCTGAAGGGAGTCCCAATCGTCGCCCGGTATGGTGTTCAATCGAAGAGCTTTGAAGCCTATATAGTCGATGAGATAGAAATAGTCTTGCTGAGTTCCACTCTAGATTAGCGTGGGTGGCAACGGCAAATCAAGGATCATTATTTATTACCAGCCCATATGCTTGATAGTGTGGGAGGACTTCTGCGTCTGGGTGCTGAGCAGCATACCAAACAAAGTCGTTGGTCATGAAAGCCTTCACGAGATCCTGGTTCGTCGGGTCGTTCCAGAGTGCATCAGCAAATCCGGTGCTGCGACACGTTAGCTTTTGATGGAATCTCTACTCCATTCGACTTACCCCTCGGATCGGTCATCAAAAGTGCTCAGAATTTCTCTCGGGCTCACACCGCGATCGACATGGACAGCATCAAGGTTGATATTTGCCACTGCCAAAGCAGCCCGAGTTGATAGATGATGATTCGGCAGGTTGAACGGGGCAGAAGTCAGAGACAGGGCCATTGTGAAGTCTGGAGTCTTTTTCTGACATTGGATATCGAAGTTGAGAGCTGAAAGTACGCACCCTGGACGTTCTTCCGAGCGTACTTAAATGCATTTTCTGTTGACCTGTCGAAGAACTTTTGCAATTTGTATTGGTATTGTGGCGGGCTGAGACCATCAGTGTCGAAATACGCAAAGAACTTCAATCGTGTCGTGAAGTGAAACCGGGCGCAATTCCAGAAGCCACACCTGGAGCACTGCCGGTATCCCACCACGCGTGGGAGGCTTTCTCGATGATGAATGAGGAAAGGTGAAAAGTCTCTAGCACGTCACTTACATCTTTTGCAAGGAAAACTGACTGGTTCTAATGCGTTGGGTTGATATGAAATGGACATGGCTGACAGCGACTGTCATCTAGCCTGATTGCTGTCTTAGTGCCACACAGCGATCAAGATTTCTCACTGTCGAATGAAGTCGATGCTGAACTTCAGCTTTAGCTTTGTCTGAATATTTGTGTTACCTCGAGCCGTGTTCATTCCGTTCTCAGATGATGTTTACGTGCACGCCTGCGCTCAACCAATGACACTCGTCGGTGTGAAGGCAGCTAAGCCCCTCAAGCTCAGCATCTTTTCGCGTCGGATCATGTCTGACATTTTTGGGCAACCGGCAAATGCTCTTGACTGAGACAGCCTAGGCTTTCAGTCCAACATGGTGGCTTAAATTAAGGCCTGGCGAGACTTCAGAGGCTACTAAGACACTCTAGACTTTAAATTTAAGTTTAAATGACTAAACGCATCGTTTGCTTTCGGCCGGTCTTGAGTCAACACTACCGGGCTACGTGGGGTAACACAACGGCCATCAGCTGTTATCGCCTTCTGCAGTCAGGAAGATATTGGAATTCGCTCCCGTCATTGGATGACATGACATTAGCGCCCTGTAAGACAGCATGACATTGGCCCAAAACAGTGTTTACGTTCCCACGAAGCGAAAGATATGATCCTTAAAGTGAGGACCTTCAGGCTTTGTGTTCTTCATCTGCTAATTTCTGAGCTTCATCCCTAGGGCAAACGCGAGTTTTTACAGGTCGCTATTGCCGCATTCAGCCGTATTGTATGATTACGAACATCTTGGGTGTGATGAATCCAGTCACCCTCTGAATCATGATCTGCACGGTGTCGGCTAGAATTATACACCCACTCAACTTCTCTGAGGAGATTGTTATAGATCTAGAGGAGGATTTTTGCTTGATTTCACTGTAGTTCAAACATTTGTAGAGTCTTTGAAGGAAACAATGGTAACAGCTCGGCTGTGATGTTGTCTTACATCATGTGCGTCAGGAATGTGAGTTCTCAATACATGTAGGTTTGACTCTTCTACTGATTGCGACTTGTTTGACTCCCTGCCACGAATGGACGCTCATGACAATGTCAAGTGAGTCGGAATTCCCTTCAGCGGCGGGAATAACGCAAGCAGGCTACCGCATACAATGGCAGAGCTCACTTTGATCGCGAAACACGCGCTGCTATGGAAGAAACCACCTGAATGTGTTTGTAGTAGAAAGGCACAACCTGTCAGCAGGTCATAGACGTGAGTCCCTTGTGCTACCGTGTCCAGTGGCTCTCCTTCTCACACAGCCGCGCAGAGATGGAAGTTGTCTCTCTCCATGCCGGATATCTGTTTTTCCAATTGTCCCACCGCTTTCATTTTCATTTTCTAATCCCTTTTCGGCCTATTCGACTATTACTGCAAGAGTGGCCTAGCCCCCGATTTCTTCCTCCAACACATAGTTGCTCGTAGGTTTAAAACTATTTGGTGAAGCCCATGGACTCGCAAGACTTTGGATGCCTCGGCGTAATCATGGCGGCGATAGAGTGAAGCTGGAAGCTGAAACTGTGATTGGTGAGCGCCAGCAGACAACCAAGTAGTTCATGGTGATCAAGACCATGAGGCTTTCCGATGTATGAATGGCATCACGCTATGCCATGAACATGAGACGGTGCATTCGACAATCACGCCTTCAAGCTGTCGCAAGGGATATCGGACGGCACACCCGTCGGGTTGACAAAGTAGTCGTGGTACCAGTACACCTGATGCTCAGGCTTCGTCGACAAATTCGGCGCCGCATCAACAGACTGGGTGGTCTTGAGGACCGTGTACTGCGTCTTGTAACTGACATACAGCGGGTCAGAAAGCCTTTCCTTGTACCCTCAAGCGTGGGCGCCTTTGTGGACGATTTGATCGAGACTTACTAAATCTGCGAGCAGTTACCCGCCTTGAAGTTGTTCTCGATGCGGCCGTGTGCCTCGTAGACAGTCGCCGTGGCATTGTTCTCGGCGATAAAAGTCGTGTTGGGGAAGTGCTGCACATGTTATGAGCCACAACATGCGAACCCCTTGTGTATGCACGTTAGGGGAGGGGTAAAGGGGATCGATCACGTACAGTAAGCGACATGCTCCCATCAGTGGGCAAAAACCGCTGCTTGCACTTGGTAATGGCATCGGCGCCGACGCAATGGATGCTCAGTGTCGTCTGCATGCCGTCTGCCGTGAAGAAGTCGGTGTACGCCGTCGTGGCGGTGGGGTCTTCTGCAGGAGTTACGAGACTTCACTTTACAACGTCAACGTCTTGTGTATCGATTGAGAATTTGTATTGCCTGGTGGCATGTGTGCGACTCACGCATTGAGAAAATCTTTGAACTCGGCCTGCACGCCAGGCTGCGGGTCGTAGTCGGTGAAGTCAATCGCCGCGACGAAACGGGTGGCGAGCAGGGTGAGGAGCGCAACGGGAAGCCGCATCTTGACAATGTGTGCGGGCAGAGGTTGAAAGAGTGACTTGATGAGCGAATGTTGGAGTAATTCATTGATTCTTGAAGTTAATCGAGTGCGAATGAGACTGTCGTGGGATGTGGCAGGTGAGATTAGTAGAAACATGAAGTGTAGTCAAATGTGACAAAGTGTGGTGGGTAGGTCGTCAACGCGGGGCAATGTTTAGTATCAGTGTTTCGCACAGGATATATTCATGCGACGGAACTTTTGTGAAAACCTATAAGTGTAATAGGACAAGCGCCCAGGATACAATGTATGGAGAAAGCGAGAGGCTCTATGAGTCTCAACATGTCAACACCGCTCGGCCGCGGCGATTCGCCCCTTTGTTCGGCCCAAGTTGACCGTCCGCCCCAGACCTAAATAAACGACATCTGGAGATTAAGTGGGAACGAGAGCAAGCATCGGCATCTTCCCGCCACCAAAAGCACTGCGGAAACAGCGGAATCACCCCTGATGTACGGGGAAGGCTGGGCCCGTGACTGGGGTGTACCCTGCCCAACATGGGACGAAGGTTTCCCAGGGCCTTGCCGTTCCCGCATGCCGTCGCGCCGCCGAGCCCTTCTCCCGCTTCTCATCTTCTCGGACCATTCGGCTGGACCGGTGCCGCCGACGGAGGGTCACCGAGATACCCATGTAAGACGTGGTCCTGGACTGACTTCGATATGGACAAACAAACATGGGGTCTTTAAAGAGCTCGGGGATGCCTTGGGCGTCACGAGCTTCGATGAACCACACCAGAGGCCACAACCCCAGACCTCTGTCGACAAACCAGTCTTTATCGCCAAAGAACATAACTCTCCACTCACCAGGCCATGAAGTCCACTCCAGCCCTCCTCGCCCTCTCCGCGAGCCTGGCCAACGCAGTTGATATGGCGTCCTATGAGGCCTCCCCGGGCGTCGACGCCGCCTTTGCCAACTTTGTCTCAGAGTACTACCTCGTCTCGGAAGACAAGGCCGCCACCACCTCCTTTACCAACTTTTGGCCCTCTGACGGGAAGCTCATCCTCGCGGGGCGGACGTTTTCGGGGTACACCGCCATGCTGGCCGTCAAGCAGTCTCTCCTGCCGCCCAACGGCAACAAGTCGTGGTGGCACTTGATCCGCGGCGCCACGGTCAGCGGGGAGACGGATGCCGACAAGACTTTTGTGGCGGATATTGTGATTCAGACGACGTATGTTGGGGGGAATTGCTCCCAGGCGTAGTAAGTGTTTCTAGACTCTTTGACTGGTTGGGATTGGCGCTTTTTGAGAAATTTATTGACACTTTCCGTAGTGGTAATGCGAGCTTCACTGTTCTCAAAGATGCCCAGGGAGTACCGAGGCTGGAGCCGCATTCGGAGAGCTTGAGCGTGTATAACCTTACAGTGTCGACGACGGAGTCTCCTACAGACATTCCGTGTAGCAGTTCGTAAAGGTGTAGGCGGCAATGTGACCAAAGTGTAGCTTGAAAGCAAATCAGCTCACAATGACGTGTCCAAACTCCTGGATTTTATCGATTTCAAAATGAAAATAAAAATAAAAACTCTTTCTTGTTCATCGTGCTGTGAGTGAACATGTTCTATCGTATCATATCGTAACTAATGGATGAATGTATCGCTCTCTAATGCCGTAATGACAGGTTTTGCCCCTCCGTCCCAGTGTGCCGAACCATTCCACACGTGAATTTTTGGTGCCCCGCGCCCGAATAACGCCCCCAGAAATGACAAGAATGGTCTTTGGTGTTATGTTGTGATACCCGCCGCCCATGTTATATGTACGTACGCAGTAGAATCCGGTCGTAGAATCGTGCCAAGGAAACAGAACAAAAAGCAGAAACGCACTAAATGGTATCGTAGCTAGTAATATGGAACAGTGGAATAGAAATATATGCAAAAAAAATGAGTCTGTGAAAAGATGCAAACATGATCATGCTCGACCTTGCATGATCACTGGGCTTTCTCAACATCTCTAGTGTTGGTGGTCTCTTCAGGCTGCGTGGAGATGACAATCTCCGGTGCAGCAACCTTGGCATCGTCGGAACCCGAAGAAACGCCCGCATCCTCGGATACGGCGTCGACCTCGGGAGTCTTCTTGCGGCGTAAGGCGGCACCGATGGTGGTGAAGAACCTGCCGAGGGCGCGGTAGACGATGACGACGGGTCTGCCGACGGTCTTTGCAATCTTTTCGAACCAAGCGTCGGGGAACAGACGGATGAGGACGGCCATGGGGAGGGAGAGGGAAGCGAGGACAATGGACACGGCCCAGTGCTCGCCGCTGATGCCGCCGGATGTGATGCGGAATGCCTTGCCGCCGACAAAGATGATGGCGACCTGGGCGCCGACCATGATGCAGTTGATGACGATGAAGAAGTAGTTGCGGTGCACGCCCTCAAAGATGTTGAACTTGTTATCAAGGCGGCGGTTGTTGAACTCGTTGAAGATCTGCATCCACACAAACGTGTTGAAGAGCATGGAATCGAGCTCGAGCTGATGGTCTTCGTTGTTGGCATCGTAGCCAAAGATGGCGTTGCCGGCAAAGTGCAGGATGAGGGTCGCGGTCAGCTGGAAGATGGCTTGGCCGATGATCATTTTCCACATGTTGATGGTGATGAGGGGTGCCTTTTTGCCCTGCGGCAGGCGGTCGAGGATCTTCTCGGTCGGGGGGTCCGTGGCGAGCGCGAGGGCGGCGAAGGTGTCCATAATGAGGTTGACCCACAAGAGCTGGACGGCGGTGAGGACGGATTCCATGTTGGGATCGGAGACGGCGGTGATGAAGGCGAGGAGAACAGCGGTGATGTTGACTGTGATTTGAAACTAGATTACTTCATGTTAGCGTCGACTGGTGGAAGGGGGGCTGCTTGGTTTGACGTACCTGAAGGAATTTCTGCACGGCGTCGTTCACTGCTCTTCCCCATTTCAAGGCCGTGACAATCGAGGTGAAGTTGTCGTCCATCAAGACAATGGAAGATGCCTCCTTGGCGACCTCAGTACCAGAGATACCCATTGAGAAGCCAACATCAGCAGCCTTCAGCGCAGGCGCATCGTTGGTACCGTCGCCAGTAACAGCAACGGTCTCACCGAGAGCCTTGAGGCGGGTGACCAAGACGCGCTTATCTTCCGGTGAAGAGCGGGCAAGGACTTGCAGACGGGGTAGCGTCTCGTTCATCTGCTCGACGGAAAGCTTTCTGAAGACGGGGCCTTCCATGATGAGGCCGCCCTCCGTGAAGATGCCACATTCGGTCGCAATGGCCTGAGCAGTAACGGCATTGTCACCAGTAACCATACGAACAACGACACCAGCGTGCTGGGCCTTGCGAACAGCTTCGGGGACACCGGGGCGGACCGGGTCCTGGATACCAACAACGCCGGCAAAGACAAGGTCATGGAGGACATCGCCGAGGTCGACATGCCCCTCAATGGTTGCGTTGACGCCATGAGGAGGCCATTGAGGGAAGTCTTGGTAGATGAGGGCAATGGTGCGAAGGGACTGCTTGGCGTAGACGTCAATCGTCGCCTCGAGGTTGAGGCGATCAGACTGCTGTAGAGTCGAGATGGAGAGATCGTTGACGTTGACTTGTTGGCTGCAGTATCCGAGCAGAATCTCAGAGGCACCCTTGACCACAAGGCGGTATCCTTCGTGACCGGGTAGCTTGATGACGGCACCCATGCACTTTTTGCTGGAGTCGAAAGGCATCATCTGAGCCACTTCCTCATTGGCGCGAGTCTCGGCCAGTCCCTGCATGCCGAGGTGATCCTTGGCGAACTGAAGAAGGGCAGTCTCTGTCTTGGAACCAATGAAGGTAGCTTGACCTTCCTCCTCCCCCTCAAAGGCGGTTGAGTTGATAGCGATGGACTGAATGATGAGCTTTTTGGTAGCTGCAGGAAGTGATTGAGCAAACTCGACGGCGCTGATGGTCTTCTCTCCCTCAACTGACTTGGAAAAGCTAGCAGAGCCGAAAGTGCCGGCAACAACAGTCATCTTGTTCGTCGTCAAGGTACCAGTCTTGTCGGAGCAGATTGTCGTGGCGTTACCCATCGTCTCGCATGCCCTCAGGATACGGACCAGGTTGTTTTCCTTGAGAAGACGGGTGGTTGCAAATGCCAAAGCCAAAGTGACAGCCAACGGGAGTCCTTCAGGGACAGCAACAACGATGATCGTGATGGCGACAATCAAAATATCCATGAAGGTGGACGCCTTCTCAGCACCGGTGCTATTGTTAGAGCCGAGGCCGGCAAGGAAGCGGATGAGGAGGACGACGAATAGCAGACCAGCAGCGCTGCTTCCAAGCTTGGCAATAGCCATGGCGAGGCCCTCGAGTTTCTTTTGCAAAGGTGTCGCCTCCATCTCGGTGCGAACCGACATCATGATCTTCCCGAAGCTGGAGTTGGTGCCGACGGACGTGCAGACAAAGGTGCCAACGCCCTCCAGAACCTTGGCGCCAGAGATGATGAAAGGGTCAAGATCCTTGGATGCGTTTCCGGCCTGCAGGGCGTTGAAGACGGCATCGCCGCCAGTCTTCTTGAGGGCGTCGGATTCGCCCGTCGCCGAGGACTCGTCACACTTCAAATCATGACCGCTGATGAAGATACCGTCCACGGGAACGAGATCACCAGGTTCGAGGTGAATGACATCGCCGACCAGAATTTCTGCGATATTCAACATGAAAGACTTGCCGGATCGAATAACCTTGACCTCTCGGTCCTCCTTTTTAGCGTTGAGCTTGACAAAGGCCCGTTCCTTTTGCCAGTCATTCAAAGATCCAACCAGCGTAACGATAAGAATAGCTACGATAATCGCTACGCCTTCGACCCAATCAACCGGTTGACCATCTTTGGGGTCGTGTTCGGCGCCGAAAGTCTCATAAAGTCCAAGGGCCAGCGAAATGGCGGCGGCAACGGTAAGCAAAATGATAACTTTGTCGTTGTAGGCACCCCACATGAGCTTCCACAAGGGTGTCGCCTTCTTGGCAGGTAGGACGTTTTTGCCATAAACTCGGGTTCGGTCCGTGAAACTATTGGCATCGGCGTGGTGTGTTGTGGCTGATGGCTGTGCACCGGATGTGGCGAAGGAGGGCTCCTGGTGACCGGTGGCCTCTTGGAAGCTAACTAGACCCCGGACCCCCACCTCATCTTGGGATAGACCGGCCTTGACGTCTGTCTGTAAACCCTTTTCGATACCGCGCAGGCCGCCGAGTGCGAAGAAAGCTGCCAAAGATTTTGGGTTGAGAAGTTTGTTGAGGTGCCCAGGGCTAAAAGCAAATGGGTTGTTATCGACAACGAAGTCGCCTTCCGTCCCGGGATCGGGGTGAAGAGCACTATCCGGGTCTTCCGTCAAGGCAGTCGAATGCATACTTGTTGCAGCGCTGATTGCTGGTGTGAGAAACGGGTTTGAATGTGTCGATATCGGCGACGGGGTTATAGCGTCGTCGTTTTCATTCCCGCGGTGATTGCGGGTGTCGACGCGCAACTGGGGTGGTGCGAGAGACGCCATTAGCACCGATGCAGACAGAGCAGTCTTGAGTTGATGCTAGGACTTCTCATGAACGAGTGAAAATAGATGTTGAGGAAAGATTTTTTTGGGAAGACAGAGGTGATGCTTGTGACAATATCGAAGCCAGCAGAAAGTTGGTGTAACCTCTGGCGACCTGACAGTATTAAGAAGGGTAACACACGAGCGTATACAAGGCTGCGGGCTGTGTAGGAGGCAACTTGCGTACGGAACGGATTTCGCGTTCCTTCCAGGTAGAGCAGTGGCAGAGTCTAGGGCGTACCCGAGAATTCCAAAACGCTCAAATGTGAAGAGCGCCGTGATCCTTGGCGTCGCAGCTGCGCCTTTAGCCCCGTCGAAGAAACTTTCCGTTTCTTATGTGTACAACGACGCTGTCAAGTCAGCCTGCGTGCCTGCTTGTGAGGTGACAGTAGACGAGGCAGTGCAAAGAGGGAGAGGTGTTTCGGGCGAGAGGCGATAGTCAACTTTCCGTCTGAAGGTGAGTGGAGTTGTTGAGAGTAGGGTGGGTGAATCAACCTTGAGTAGCCGTCATGCTTGATGGCCTTGAGAGCTCCTCACACTAGACCAGACCGATGATGAGGAAGAAGAGTTTTCAAGAGCGTTGGAGGTATAGGCCGATGCTGTCTGTATTCTTGGACAACGAGACTCAAGGTGGCAGTGCTCACGACGATATGCCCTTTCTTGGCAGTCCAGAGGATATGAAGTCAACCGAGACTCCACTGAGAATGGATGGATTGGTCAGATTGAAGCAGCATGATACGTGCATGAGAGGATGGGAGAAAAAAAGGCGCGCTTGCTTCGACTATCACAGCAGCAAGCACATGTTGGTCTTGGCGGTCAAGTAGCAGAACAAAAAGTCTTGCACGATGTGATCAAGAGGGGAAGGAGCCAAAGGACAGGAGGAGCTCCGATGGAGAGAAAGAATGACGTGCCGGGGGTAATCCTCTCATCTTGGGTGAGATTAGCAAGACTCGTTGGACCACAGGGTGAGATGGAGCCTTGGAGGTAACCGCCCAAGGTCTGGGCATTGAGGCTGTGCAAGAGGAAAAAGTGCAAAAGGACCCGATGAGGCAATTAAATTGGAGCATCAAGAAGCGAGCTCTTTTCAGTGGAAGAAGGGCTTGAGTCGGGGCCATCCTAGAACCGCCGTGCAACAACGAAATGGGAATACAAACCAGGGGGGAAGAATGGAGATTGACAGCATATTATGGGTTCTTGGCAACATTGACCATGCCAATGTTTGAACCTTGGCGTTTGGTTGATGCAAGTGCCGGGACCTTATCGCCTCCCACCGGCGTTCCGAGGTATTTGTTTTCAGTCTGGCCAGACTTCCAGACGAGGCCAAAATTTACGCGGATTACCGTTGGCCGCGACACAGGTCATCTATGATAGATGGGCACGGCGTCCGAGACTTGAGTGGCGTCGCCATCCTTCGGCTTCCAGCAGGGGACGGCATCGTGCCATTCGGCCACTCGGAGGGGGTGGTGGCCACCATTAGATAGACGCCGTTGGCATCCGTACTGTTCCCGTGTCCGATCGGTGACCGGCCGTAGTCCAGATGGCGTATCGCTCTTGACCTCAGGATACTACCAAGGGAATGAGACGCACGCAAGCGTGTAGGGAAGGATCGCACTCGGGTGGTCGTCTATTGACTTCCGGTTGCTCCGCTTGCCTCCCGCACTGGCGGGGGTCATCAAGCTGCAGCCGTAGAATGGCGATGGCTTCATCAACCAGCAGGAGTGACCGACCGATGCAGCGCCCGACGGACACGGCAACGACGTGCTACTCGGTGTCAGCGGCAGGAAGTCCCGTGGAGGATGGCCGGAGAGGTTTCGGACTGGCAAAGTTTGATGACGGAATGGGTGCATGAATCGGGACATTGTCCGTCCATAGTCCAAGTCATATCTGGACTCTGTGCCCGGTACTCTATACTTTGGAATCGATACCTTGGGGGCCGTCACAAGGAGATGCGAGATCCCGCAGCGGAGTTGTTGGTTCAAGTCTCGGCGGCTGGTGCGGCTGGGTCAGCATGTCGAGGTGGGGATTTGAGCGTAATGTAAAAGGTTTGAAGCTCCGAAGCTCGAGGCGAATCAGTCGATCCGGAGAAACAATAAGCTAGCAATGATAAGCTCTTGACCAGGTTCATTCGGAGCCGTGATGAAGGAAAATAGAGACTGGGAAGGATTAGGAGAGGACCGGAGTAACAGTGGAGAAGAGGGACGGGATAAAAATCCACAAGGAACACAAGGTTTGAGGTGGGAAAAAGGAGTGTGAAGAAAAAAAGTGAAGATAATGTCAAAAGACAAAAAGAGGAGCCAAGAAATGAGGGAAAAGGGCGGTCGCGATGCACAGTCACAGTCGAATCAAGCTCGCAGAGGGGCCGCCGGGGTCGTGGGGGGCCGCACTAGTCAGCGCCAAGAGTGGCTGTGGTATGCACGTGCTAAGGGTTTCATTGGTTCGCTTAGCAAAACCAAGGTTGATGCCCCACCTCAATCCTCATCAGGTAAGCAGCTATCGGCAGGGGTGGCACGCCCCCGCTGACCCCTTATTCCCGTGCAGCTGGTGGCAACTGCTTTTGCCCGGCCAATGGAACTTTGATGTTCTGGAACTTCTTCGGGAATCCGCCTGCGTGGTTGACCAATAAGAGCTGATGTTTCCGGTACGTATCGCCAAATGAAGCTCCTTCTCAGGTGCCTCCACTGTCGGTCTGATTGCAGCCATTGCACCACAGCAGAACAGAGCAACCTGGAAACTTCAATATCCATCCTGGTCTCCCAAACAACCACCAAAAGTAGCAAAGGCGTGGTCCTAAACTCCTGGCCAGCATCACACCAATGCCTCGACTCGAGCAAGCCTTCAGAAACAATGTCATTTAGCGTTACGTGGTGTACTTCCTCTTTCTGTCTCTGTCTCCATCCCCCCAAGAGAAACCAATCTCTGCAATGTTGATAGCATCAACTATCGTGGTCACGGAAAAATGTCAACGCCACCATCCTGGCCAACGCACACCTAACGCGGGGAACGCGGGGAAGCTTGTCGTCTAAGCAGTGAATCTTGGCTATCATCCCCTTGATAAAAAGGCCTGGCTTCAACTGAACGAAAGCCATCGATGATCTATATGCGGTTTTCCGCCATTCTGTCATGTTACTCTTCAACGTAGACAGACTAGCGTCGCGTTGAGCTGTCAAGTCATTCGACGTCATGATGCCATCTATCGAACACGTCGCCATGTCGTATCTCCTCCATAAAGGAGACATTGTCGCCTTTCGCAGGTGTCATCCAGTGAATCTGCGAGGCTACCAAGGTCTTTGCCAGCGTGGCTGAATTTGCCTTCTTCCATTTCAATAACTTGCCGTGCTTGCGTAGCTCACACCTAAACCAACCTGAAATCAAACTTTCTTCTCCTTGTGGTGCCGAGGCGGACTGCGCTTTGCGCATCATTTCAAATTGCCAAGACGCAATACAAGGCTCAGTTGTACAGCTCGTTCTCGCCGCGATGCTGAGCAACTAGGCAGGATGGGTTTCAATCTCCACGCAGATGGGACAAATGACCCTGAGGAGGTGCGCAACTGGCGCAATCACATGAGAGCCGTCACCGCCTCAATGAGTGCCACTGCCAATAGGTTTCCTCGCTCCCCTTGGCCGCTTCAGCAGGAAAGCTAGACTAACACAGCCCAGTGGGTTATGACACCTCCGTCATTGGCGGCACCATGGCTCTCGACTCCTTCCGTCGCGACTTTGACCTCGCTGACAGCTCCCCGACCTTCCGTGATACTCTCCAGGGCAACATAGTCTCCACGTTCCAGGCAGGATGCTTCTTTGGCGCCCTGCTCACCTTCCTGCTCGCAGGATGGCTCGGCCGCAAGAGAGCAATCATGATCTCTGCCCTCGTCTTCCTGGTCGGTGGAACTCTCATGACCGCCTCGCTCGGCGAGATTGGACTCCTCCTTGCCGGGAGAGCCATCACCGGCTTGGGCATTGGTGCCACGTCTCTCATTGTCCCCGTTACATATCGGAAATCAACCCCCGGTCCATCCGCGGCCGCCTCGTTGGGCTTTTTAAGATGGCATCGCAGGGAGGAGGAATGAGCGGTTTCTGAGCAAACTTGGCTGTGGATCGCACACTATCAGACTCGACACAGACACAGTGGATTGTACCGCTCGGCTTGCAGTTATTGCCGGGAGTTCTCTTATTCTTTGGCATTTCCATCTGTCCCGAGTCGCCAAGGTGGTTGGCAAAGAAGGACGGGTGGGAAGACGCCAAGAAAGTCTTGGTTCATATCCGCAAGCTGCCGGCAGACCACGACTATGTCAGCACCGAGATCAATTATATCAAACGGCAAGTAGAAGACAGCAGCGTAAATCACATGAACAAGGCTCAAATGTTCAAACGCTTGTTCGAGAAAGGCTCTCGCAGTCGCATTGCCATCGGTCTGTTTCTGATGGCCTGCCAGAATCTGACAGGCGTCAACATCATCACATACCATGAGCTGGAGAAAGGGTATTCGACCTGTACGCTCTCCCACTGATTTGAGGAAATAGATTCGCCTCGCATCTTTGAGACTCTGGCCATCACAGGCATGAGCAATAAGCTTTTCGCGACGGGCTTCTACGGTATAGCAAAGACCTTGGGCATGGTCATCTTCACCGTCTGGCTCGCCGAAAAGGTCGGCCGGCGCAATGGTCTCATCTGGGCAGCCTTCATTGGATCCCTTCCAATTTGGTACATTGGTGGCTTTACATTTCTTGCAGACCCCGCTGGCCAGGCGGCTGCTGGGAATACCGACCGCAATGCGCGGGGGTATATCGCCATGCTTTGCGTGTATCTCTGTGGCTTGATCTATTGCGCCACTTGGTGAGCCCTCCTCTCTCCTACTCTAGTCTGCGAATCCGGTGAGAAGAAATCTAAACACATCCAAAGGCAAGGCATTACGTGGTTGTACTGCAGCGAGGTGTTCAGCCTAGACGTCCGCATGCTCTGCGTCGCCATCACGACCGCAGATCAGGGAGCTTCGTCGTCTCGCGGACTACGCCTTACATGATTACGTCGCTCGGCTACGGAATGTACATGTTCTTTGGAACTCTCGTGATCTTGATGGGCGTGTGGGCTTTCCTCTTCGTGCTCGAGACCAAAGTAAGACGCTCGCCGCCGCCCCTGGCGCTGCAGTTCTCGGAGTTCCATTCCCCAGCCTCCATTTACATCGTCATTTCTATGCGGCTGACACAAGGCACCTGTGCTAGGTCTCACGCTCGAGGATATGGATCTGCTCTTTATGAGGAGCATGCACACCACGGTCTGGACCGCTTTGCGAGAACGCAAGAGCGCCAAAGATGTCTTGGCGGACACTTCGCCTGCGGCGGCTGTTCATGCGCCTTACTTGGAGGAGAAGGAGGTCCGGCTGGAGTACATGGATACTGTGGAATACAAGTCTGTGACAAGATGAGGGGGAGAAAGAGGGCAACGTTGAGCTGGGTAGATTACTAGTGTCTGAAGGCGGCCTCTTTCGCAAGATCTTGTTAGAGAAATCGTTGTTTTGTTCGAGACCTCGTCTCAATCAAATGGTACTTTGAACGAGGTACTGCCCCGCAGTCTACTTGCACAGCCCAGCGCGAATATGTGCACTGCCACCGGTAATGCTGCAGTATGACGTCGTTGTGTGTTGAAAGCGCGAGTAAATATTGCCCTTTCGTAGTGACACCTGGCTTAGGGTTGGTGTGTTGATGTCTCTTTGGCTGTTCCTCGGAGGGTCTCCTGACGGTGGGGATGCGCCAAGTCTTATCTCAACGAGGCGCAGCTCACGGCTTGCTTTGCTTCGAGTGGTTGGGAGCCCAGATAGCTGCCACACCAAATCAGACAAAAGTCGCGCTATTTCCACAGGCTGATTTTGGAGTGAATCTCCCATTTAAGTTTTCCGTCGGCGTATCGCGGAAAAGAATGTCGTGCATGTGTTGATGAGATACAGGAGACACTGCAATGGTTTTTGAAGTCAACCATTGAGAAACGTGATTGGTCGCTCTAGTGTTACTTGGCGGCCCGACTTTCAAAGTTCCAACTTGGAAAAGCTTACATATGTGGTTCTCATCATGGTCGCCTTAGCGTCCGTCACATCAATTACCGGCCCGAAGCACATCGAAACATGCCTATCATCCTTTTGAGGATTCATTGGTCAGGCAGATTGGGTCATTCAACGAGCGGGCGTTCCTCCCGGCTGTGTCGTTTGCTAGCTGCCAAGCTGCTAAACTGTGAACATGTATAGGTACAAATGCAGATTGCTTCGATATTGTGCCCAGAGCAAACCGGAGCCTCGTGGTCTTTGTACCGTTGTATCGCCATTGTAAAACCGTCATTCTTGGGGATGCCTCACTTGTGGTAGCATACTGGAGGGATCGGCCTTGCGAATTCCCCGGCCCAGGACAAAGAGGCCTTGCCAAAGTCTATTCGATTCATTAGTCGACAGGCACAGCCTCCGCCGGGTTGTGCGGAGCCGGAGATTACTGCTGACCATACTTACGACTATGGGATCGAGAACGAGGTTGTTACAGATTCAATCATACAAGGTGCTTCCTGACCAAGAAGAATGAGCCAAGCTCCGGAAAGGGAAACTCGCGAGTAAATTAATTACGTTGGCATTTGGGAAGCAGTTCTCGGGCAGAGAGACATCCTGAGCATAATCACACGTCGAATCCTTTGCCCACCTCGCTTGATACCAACTTATTCTTACTTGGCGACACTGCAAACAAAGCAGCTGAAAGCATCAGCATCTCCTCACTTCTAAGCAGGAAGAAACTTAACTGAGCTATTCTACACTATGGTTTGAACGATTCTAATATTCTCCTTGACTGAGCTGCGAAATAGAGGTTTCACGACGCAGACATCATGACTGCCCCATCCATCGAGGCATCCCCACGTCTCATACTTCTTCTCAGCCTATAACTCTATCAGGACAAGGAATGTCCAGAAGCCAGAATATTCCATACCCTCCACGAAGGCTTTGACTAAGTGACTGAGGAGCTCACATTTCAGCTGGAAAACCGTAGTAGCCACGTCCTCGTCACCTGTCCCGTGGCCGATTCCTTTGGTGTTAGCTTTAGCCACAGAATCAAATCTAGGCAGATTTTAGGACTCTGCTTTTCGCCTCCCGTCTCACTCTTTCAATGATATCTTTACGGTATCACTCAAAGCGCTAACGGTTCCATAACCCCCTTTCTGTGGAGCAAAGTCCTTCATTCCCAGAAGCCCAGAACCCCATTCCTGTATCAAGCCGCACAGTTTGTCGTGAACGAACTCGATGAAGAAACTCCATGGCTCTTCAAGGCTGTGAAAGCATAGCTCTCTCGTACCGTCGCCCTCAAAGATACACTGCGCGACATTGAGCCGTAGGCCTCGAACCAAATGCCCTTCGAGGGTGTCGAAGCCAGAAGACACTGGGCCTGTTGGTTCATTGGAATAAATCGGGCACGACTTGGGCTTAGATGACCTATGCGTATGTAACAGACGGCGTCTGCGTATGGAAATACAGATACGACAGTGGACCTCGCAAGTGCGCCCAGCTCAAGGTAGGAGCTAGACACCCGCCCGACTGATGCCAGTCTTTGAAGCGATTATGCTCGGCGAGAATCTCTTGATAAGCTTCATTGTCCTCGTTCCTTTTGAAAGCAATGTTCAAGATGCTCCGGTCGATTCGTAGCCTTCAGGAGGCCATCCAAGTCTGGCTCTCACATTAGAGTCCTTCATTCTGACTGGACCGACGACGTTAGCCTGGCAGGGAGCCTCTTAGAAAACCATCATGATTGCGACGCTGGGCTGACTACAGATCTTCGGCCTCGCATTAGGTAGTTATCTCTATTCCGAAATGAACTCGACGAGTTGTTCCGCTTGCCGAGAGCACTGGAGATATCTATTTTTTGATTGTCAAATTTGAGCTGTCTGTCGTTTCCTTGGAATCTTCTGGACTCACTTCGAATGACCCTCATCTGATGTCTGGAGATGGTTTAAGTGATGCCTCGACGCGGCACTCGTATAATTTCCATTTCTCTACCATTAATTCAGTAGGACGTAGGCCACGTCCGTTCGTCAACGAAGACCACCTTCCAATGCATACCGCTGCAGGATCGAGACAGAACTTGCCAATCTGAGAACTACTCAGAGTTTTATCGGATCAATTGTCTGTTTTTGTATAACTGTGCGTTTCTGAGCGTCCCTGGACCATTCCACCGGCTTCATCAAACTCAAATTCAGTGACTGTACCCCCCGCATCTCCGGTTTCTATTTCTCATGTAGGTCCTCCTTATGCTTTGGTCTTGGTCTTCCGTCTGATCCGAATTTTTACCCCATCTGGTGGGAACAAAGCCTCTGTAAGCCAATAGTTCTCTGGGCGCTTGCCATTGTATTCAGGAGGGAACTCAATGTCATAATGACCCAACACGTAGGCAATAATCATCTTCAACTCAAAGTCAATCAAGAAACGACCAGGGCACGCGTGCTTCCCATGCCCAAAAGGCAGATGTTCGGGGCTCGTGGTGACAAAAGTGACTGGGGGCGCCTTCTCGTCCTTTGCTGCTGCATCCTCGCGCATCCGAGAGAAGCGGAAGGGGTCGTATTTCAGCGGGTCTTCCAGGAACTCGCCGTCCGTCTGGGCGGGTTGTCCGAGGAAAGAGATAATGGTCCCTTTTGGGAGGTGGTAGCCATCGGGGGTCTTGAAGCCGTCGACCGAGACTTTCCGGAAAAGGGCACGTCCGCCAAAGGAGTTGAGGCGTAGGGTCTCTCGGGCGACGCTGTCGGCTTTGACCATCTTGCTAACTTTTGCTTTTGTCCAGTTTTTGTCTCCGTCGGCGTACAGCACGCGATTGACCTCGTCCCTGAGAGTAGTAATCGTGTTGAATTCCGTATCTGACCCCAAGATGTTGAGCAGCATGTTGGTGGCCTGGATGCTTGTCTGGTGCATGGAGCCAAAGTTAGCTGCGATCAAGCGACGAGTCATCATGTCGATGTCGTTGAACTCCTCGGATCGATGCTCCTTTGCGAAACGGGCCATCATCTGCAAATGGTCTTGAGGCTCAATGTGGTTCGGGTCGTCGCGTTCGTACTGTAGGGTTTCAAGACGTTCTTTCCAGACTGGCTCAAACATCTTCTTTAGTCTGTTGATCTTTCCATGTATTGTCAGATTGACAACCCTGCCGACGACAGGTCGAAGAACACGAGGGCTGGCTCCGGAGGCGCCAGCGTTCGTAATGAGCTGGTTAATGATGTCGAAATTGAGGTTGAGGTAGTCTTCGTCTCGGCCTGGTATCTGTCAGCTAAGTCCCTCCACGTAATCGTCCGTGAGGAGGGAATATATACAAATTCCGGGGCCGATGGTGAAGCGGCTGGCTGCCTGAGCGACAACCATTTTCAAAGACTCGAGGAGGTCGATTTCTTTCCATTCCGGATCTGTTCCGAACCACTTGTCAAAGGCGACGCCAAGCTCTTCATTCATGGCGGCGCAGATATTCTCCAGCACGGCGTTCAGTTCGGTCTTGACAAGGATTCCTTGCCACGCATCCGCCACATATCGATCGTGGCCAAGGGCCCAGTAAACCTGATCGACTTCTGCAAAAGCGGTGCTCGGATTGAGTTGGCTTTCCGGCTGCGTCTGGACCCATCGCATTGCGTTCGTGGGCATGATTACCTCATGGCGGAAACCGATGCCTAGGATGATGACTGGCTTTCCCTACTTTGCATACTAGGTTTCGATTTCAGCAGACTGGGGGAGATGCGAGGATAAATGAATGGTTTACATTATCATAAGCCTCACGGAACAAGCCTTGACAATCCGTGTAGAACCGCATGTACGTGCGGACGCTGAATCGTGTAGCACCATCAGGCTCGCCGATCAGCGGGATGCCCTTGGGATACGGGATGCTGATAAGTGCTCGGCTGATGATGTACAAAAGAGCCACAGAGCCGAGCACGACCAAGCCGATGCCCGACAGGCTGGTGACGGTGGGTAAAAGCTGCGATATAGGCGCCATCATTGGGCCACCCAGGGGTAACAAGGACGCTGTTGCAGTGATCTCGCAAGAGGTGAGATGTGGGTTGAGGTTCACAATGTGACTTGGAAATCCGGGCCAAACGGGTGAGCTTTAAAGGAGTCCTAAATGCTGACGTACTTTATCCCGTCTGCTCGTTAGCTCAGACAGTGTGACAGTCTACCTAGTTGGAGCTGGAGCTGTAGAGTTGGACAGGTGGGCCTCGCAGGGAAGCCAAACAGGGATGATGCTCAGTGCAGCTTAGCGCGCCCGTTTCTACACTACGTATGTAGTCGATGGCGGTAATTTGGATGCCTGCGCTTCATAGGGCTGTCTCGGATCCAATCGGAGTGCCTTTCGCATTTTCCTTCTGGCTACTGGTTGATATACGCCTCTGTTTGCCAGGCTGTATCAGTAGACATTTGATACAAGTGCATCGGATCATCATGCGGCATGCCTGGTTGGCATCTTGAGCTATCACAATACACAAACAGCGCACAAGGCTTCCGTTCCACATCTCCCAATAGTTCAGTCGCCCAACGTCATTTTTCAGGCCAAGTCCAGCAGAAGCTCCGCTACTTAAACATTTGAGTCAATAGCGAGTGTCCTTACCCCAGTCGAGCCTGGCCGGACGAGAATCCTTCGCGCGGTGTCAGCTCCCAGAGCTCCCACTCCACACCCTGGCGCGTGTAAGCAGCCACTCTGCCGTAAAAGGAAATCCGCCACCTCTTCACTTGCGATTGGGCATTACTACATGCAACCGTTCAATGGTTGGCTTGATCGGAAAGAGGGGCATTTTCCAAATCATCGGGTTGTCAAACGACCAGGGGTAAAGTAATGCAACCCTGCACCTCACACAAAGCGATAAGGTGATGCAATATGATGGGAGAGGGTTGGAAAATCAACAGAAGACTCATTCTCTCCCAAAAAGGTGTAAACAATGGCCAAACATGGACGATCTGGGAATCGAACCCAGGACCTACCGCATGCTAAGCGGTCATTATACCACTAAACCAATCGCCCAATCATGATCTAGCCCGGACTTGAACCGGAGACCTTCAGTGGAACAGGGAAGAGTCTGTGAGGAACTCTTGGACTGTTAGACTGACGTGATAACCAACTACACCACCAGACCATCTAGTACTTATATTGTTGCAGGGGTGAATAGCTTCATGTGTGGCTCCCGTGGTCCCGATGGAGAACTTCGTAAAGCGAAAATGATGGTTGGACCTTCAAAGTGGAGAGTCAAAGCCTAGCCCCATCAAAGGTTCCACAGTCGCACAAGAAAATGTCGACCAAAACGGCCTCGATCGATTTATATCAGAATGTATGTATCACAGGTGGTAGAAGTGACCCAACGGCCACGTAGATGACCAAGCAAAATACAGCTCTATCAAATATACAATATGACGTACAATAAGGTACACCTGGGAAGGTAGCCTAAAGGACCAGATCTATATACCATTCAATGTACTTGACGCAGGAGTTAGGGCGTGTTTGTATAATCTAGCCCCTGGTTTCTATTCCGATAGGTTCGGATAGTTTTTCCTGGTGAAGCCTAAGTACTGATTTTCGTTTTTTCCATGTCAGATTCCCAGAGTAGTACTCCCAAAATCATCATAGCCTATCATAAAGGCAGGATCATACTACATGTATTGGTTGCTCTTTGATGGGTCAAAAGCAAACCATGAATATCAAATGAACACTTCTTGGTCGGTGTTTGGGGAGAGAGAAAGGGATTCCAGCCTTGGCAGTGATGGGACTGGGAAGTAGTAGTACGAGACTCTGTGTCCATAACTCCATACCGTTAGGACATAAACCATAAACGCGCAGAATTTGAGGGGGCATCCATCATTGTGTGGTTTTACACTTTTGGATAGACGGTAGGGTAATAGCTTTTCGGTCGTAGGATCGAAAGCCATCTCCTTCGGTTGTCGTCTATTCAATGCAACGGGCATTGATGTTACTTTACCCACAAATCACCATGTCCTCACTCAACTGCTTCTGGAAAGTCTGCGATGCAAGAAATAGGCCCGTGCCTTCAGTTGCCTGCAGACTGTAAAGTCATGTAAATGAAAGGTCTCAAGCATTTTATGACAGACCAGAGATCCGAGTGGATTTGCAAGACTGCTGGGTTTGATTTCGAAGCCAAGAAGAGAGACACTTGAAAGCAGTAGGTTATAACAATCAGGTCCAATTCGGACATCCCGAAACGTAACAGTCGTAATTATTGGCAGTACGTTGAGTCTACGCGACCTGTTCCAGGTATGATTAATTCAATCACACTTAGTTTTGAATAAGAGTTGAGAACAGGATGGTAATGTCGAAGGAATGAGGATGAGAAGACTAAGGCTAGGTGTTGCCAGGCTCGCATGGGACAAGGTTCAAAAAAACAGGCAACGTATATGTGGAAGATCGCTGACTTCAGATCCGTTTCAAGTATGGAAAAAATGGTCGTAGCTGATTTGTAAAGCAGGATCCAAATCATGGCCATAGAAATGCACATGAGCTAATATGAAATTGGAGCTCTAGGACGTGCTATGCCTGACGAATGAATATATCAAAGTACAATATTGATGAACGATATGTTGGATACTAAGCATCGAGTGTAAGTAAGCTGCCCCACACCCCATTTTTGCAACTAACGCCGGTATTGAGTCGTTCCAATCTCTCTACTGCCATACTATACATGCTTTCGTCGACCTTTTTCGTTTCCCAGCTGCAGTACCGGCCTGTGAGCGTGGCATCCTTCGTAGACATTCTACATCGCCGAGATTTAGCATGGTAGATCTAGTGGGGAATTTCTCTCACTTACCTGGCCCTATGATTTGAGTTCGGCATTTGGTGCCTGATCCTTAATCGTAATCTTGAGTTCCAATTGATCCTTTACAGAGTGACTCGTAACCGTGATATCAACATCCATTGTGCTCGGAAAAGTGTACGGATCTGATGGGTTGTCCGAAGGGAAGAACCAGTCCTTGGCCGTCTTGCCGTCGTTATACTTGACTTTCCAGTGAGACTGAATGGGCTTGAAAAACCCGCGCTCGGGAGACTCGATGCCGATGCAGAACGACTGCAGGTCCTCCAGCTCTTGCCAGCAGAGCATCACGTCGTCGAACCCGCTCTTGCCAAAGTAACATCCCTTTGTCCATGACATGAATGACTCTCCATCTCCGGGCGTCAGGGTGGCGTTGGTGATGTCCTGTACCATGCGCACATCGGGTGATGTCGGTTGGTTGTGCTGCGTGAGCTCGAAGCTCTTTGACGCCAGGTTGGTGAATGTGAGGGAATGATCGGGACTAATCATTTTGATTTTTGGATTGAAGTCCTTAGGGCTTCACGCGAGGGGAAGGGGGTCGCCTGCCGGGTAGGTTGGGTATATATACGTTGCAGCTGACAGACAGTGCTCGCGACTTCGGAACTTGTTAAAAACCACTAAGGAGGAAATCCGGATGAGGATGGAAACGGGAGCGGACATGAGGAGCACATTCCACTCATAAGGCAAGGACATGTGATGAATGACTTCCGTAAAAACGCCAGAAATCTGGCGCCTACTAATAAGGTAGTTGAAGAATTCCTGTGGCAAGACACCGCTTCCGGCTTGGATTGAACCATGGCTGGCAAGCTGGCTTCTCATTGCATTGTCCTTGTCCGATGGATTGGGGATAGTCCAAGGAATTGATGGAGCGCCTGGAGGTGGCAACGACTCAGAACAGCAAAATGTTCGAAACTGAATCCGTTTGCGGAAAGTCCGATATTCCTGCCGCGTGCGGAGTCGGCGCTAAGCAGCGCCGGACCGGTATGTGGCAGTCCAAGCTCGTCTACTATATCTGGGCCGATCGGGTGAAAGGGGAATTGTACTTGATTCCTACATCACGGTATTAGATTTAAATGTGAGGAAGCCCGCGTCTAATTACAACGACTGCAGCATTCAGACATTTTGCCTTCAAATGGGCCTTGTGGCCTAAAACACTATTGTTCTTTGGTCGCGATCATGTATCCTATCCCACTCTATTTTCCGATTAACAGAGCGGAATGTTGGGGGGCCCCAGCTTCGGGTCTAGGCGAGTGGGCAATCGCCAGATTCATCATCGCGCGAGGCAACGCCACGAGGGGTCTCGATCGTAGGCTGAAATCGGAAATTCAACTAAGGCAAGAGCCGGGCAACCGAGTTCTAAGGTAGAGAAATGCATGTCCAGATGGAAGTGCCGATTTTGACAACCTTCGCTGGAAATACTTCTTCTGTCGATTAACCTTGCGTGTATGCAATGTATAGAGGCCTATTGGCTTGTTTGCTCCCAGCAATGCATCAAAAATTCAAGTGAGCATGATAGAGCAGGCCTCAGTATATTTCCAATGGTCTTCTCTGGGTCGGTTTCTGTATCATGTTTGTGACATCAATTCATCGCTGTGCTACACTGTAGGTATAAAACTTCATCACGCTTCCAAGCAAGTCCCAAGCTCAGCTAACAAGTCTTCAGCCAGCACATCAATAGCGCCCGCTCTTTGGTCCTCTATTCCAAATGATAGGAACAACACGTCGTCCAAGAACCCGTGATATTTCTGATCCTTTCTCTTCCAGCTCATCGATGTTACATAAAACATGTCAGACCCTCCATCATCCCTCTCCTCCCGGCCGTGTATCCATATCGGTCGCTTCGACATCGCGAACACCTCAAACGGTGCCTTCTGTCGGAATACCATGACGTACGGTTCGTACTCGCTATGGAACTGATAGAAGGTCTTGTGCTGGAACACCGTAAAGACAAAGGTATTGTCACTGGTGGCCCTGCAATTCGGGTCACTGCGCTTGCAAAACGTGATACTCAACGAATTCGTCGCTTGATGTATCGACTCCAAGTCTGGCGGCAGTTTGGGCATGTACCTGCTCAAGCAAGCCTCGTCGCCAGCAGCCAACGGCGCCAGATCCGACCCCACGGAGCCGTCCGCGTTCAACTTTGCAAAGACCCGCTTCGGTGACACGTCATGGTGGACATAGATTGCTCCCTCTTCATCCCAGAATGGGAACCAGTTCTTCTCCATCGTACCCCAAGGCGGAGGACGTTGGAGCTCCGTCCCGAGGCCGAAACCTTGATCCAACGACATTTCGAAGCCCCAGTCCCCGAGCACGCGGAAGTCTTGGATAAACTGTCCAAAGCAGGCAAATATGGAGTTGGAGCCGAATACGATGAAGGGGGCTCTAGGGCCGTAGAAGACCCGCGCGTCATGAGGTCCCACGTTCATGGCGATGTAGGCCAATTTTGGTGGGCATTTGTCGGCGCCACTCTTTGTGGCTGCGATGGGCAGAGCCGTCGGTGCTTCGAGGCAGATGAGACCTTCTAGTGTGAAGACGGCATTACAAACGAGCTCCACATGCTCCGATGTATCGCCGTGTGTCTTGCGCTTCTGCGCAATAATGATAAAGGTATTCTCGATGCTGGGATGTGGGATGACGTTGGGGTTGATTGCCGCTTCATCGCCAAATCGAATGGTGAAGAATTTCTTGTTGAAAGTGGACGTCGAGAAGATCTCGTGATGTGTTTGTTTTGATGCTGGGGGAGGATTAAGTACACCATCTACAGGCTGCACTTGAGTCGGCGCGGCCGAAGGCGCCGGCCACGAGTGAGGTTGAAGTTCATCGTCTTGTCTCCAGTTCGGCGCAAAGATGTGATCGAACCACGTATTGAAGCCGGAGGAGGAGTCTCTAAAGTTGAGACACCGTATACCGACATAGACGAGAAATAGAAAGGGGCCTATGATGAGGACGACGCGCTTAAAGTCCCTGGCTATCATCGCGAGGGGGGAGGGCTGTCCGCATGCGCCGAAATGTCAGGACTCATGCGAACTGGAACGAGCGGCACTCGAGGCTGGGGTTGCAGCATGCAGAGGCAAATGACCGAGCTAGTCTTAATGACTGATAAGCTTTCGGTGACTGCGTAGACTCCCAGTGCTAGAATTTGCCAGTGAGGTAGAAGTGAAAGAGCAGTTCCGGGAACTTTGGCGTGCGCGAGATTCTCCACACCACGTGCTGGCCGAGCTCCAGGATCACAACTGCACTACAAACAAGAGTACCAAGGGATGTGGGGGAACTAGGATACAAGGGCTGTCGACCTTTGAGCTAAAAGGAAAACACGGGGAAGGCTTCGGGAGTTGTAGGCTGTTTGATGGAGATCGACGGACGAGCAAGTGAATACGACCGTGGAAGCTGGAGCTTCCCCTAACTTGGAAGTTGAGAAGCGCGGCCGACTTCTTCTCTTAGTCAACCCCAGCCACCCACATTATTAGTGCGAAGGGTCAGATCAATTAGGACGTCTGCGGAAAGCTTCGTGATGGAGTGTTCCTGAGGTAAACTCTCGAGTTGGAGCAATGATTTGCTCTCCAGCAGACAGTAGTTCCGCTGCAGCGAGCATGTGAGCATGGGAGATGCCTCGGTGAGTTGCGCGAATCCCTGACCTGAGTTGCAATCCTGTTCCCCTCACAAGCCTCCCACATCACTTCCCTTTCGGGGAAAGCCTCCGTTCTTGCAGCGTCATTGGGTGTGATACAGCTGCAAGTCGATAGGAAGGGCCACACACACGAGAAATTGAGCTTCGGGCGGGAAGGGGAAGCCCCAAGTTTTGCCCGCTGCAGGCTGAGTCAACTAGGTAGCGCGTGGCGGACTCAGTCCAGTCAGCGCGTCTCAGCCCGTCGGCCCGCGTGGCAAGTCCATTATTGCTGCGCATTGGACGCGCTCTAGAGTTTGAATAGAAAAGGCTGTGATCTATGGATCTGGGTGGCAGCCAATCCGGTTGTGTCATGACGTTGAGCACGTAGTCTGACTGAGCTCCTTGGTCTAGTCTTGCGCGGTGGAACAGTGTTGCGAATTGATCAATTACAAGTGGTTTACTCTAAGCATCACTTTCGTACTAGATGCCGCAATGTCTCTCGGCAGTCCCGAAATACACGTGCCCAAACGCCAAATTCTTCTCAGCCCATTTCAAATTTTTGCCGGTGGTGTTGGTAGGGTTCTTCTGTAAAGCCATTGAGCAGCCCTGACGCTAGGCTCATCGATGAATCTCGTGACGATCTCAGCAAACCAAAAAGTGACAGGTAGTATGATCAGATGAGGAATGAGGAAGGCCGGTTCCAAGCCGAGGGGGCCGGCCTTGGGTAACGGAAACCTATCGACCAAGTGCGCAAGATGCTGCCGCTCTGAGTCCTTGTAGTAGCCAGCAGCTGTGTAGAGGCGGTCTCCCAACGTCCCCAGGACAGGTCCGTGGACCAAGTAGAGGGCGTAGGAGATTCGCCCGAGGTATTGGCAGAAGCGAGTCTCGAAGAACTTCTTCAGCCACCAGATTCGCGGAACCGCAGACACTAGCAGAATGGCGGCCCAAAAGAGGTAGAACCACTTGTAGTCGTAGGCGGCTTGCGGCTTGAGTAGAGACAGGTAGTACCACCCGCGATTCTCACGCATCTTATTGACATCGCCGGTGTAAGATGGGACGCCACCCAGATACATTGAAAGGGCGAAGAGATGGTAGTAGATGAAGATTTTGGCGGGTTCCAATCTCTTGAAGATATCGGGAAGGTCATTCTTCTTCGCCAGGAGGTCGAGGTCGCAAAGCATCATGCCCATGATGAACATGGCTCCGTACCATCCGTCGGCAATGTACATGAAGTAGAAGGCCAGGCCAGCTTCGCACCAGAGTCGAGCATTTCTAGTACATCTAGAGAACGCGAGAAGCGATGTGTAGACGATGATCGAGCCCTTCATCTCTACTGGGATGGACCAAAGGTGAGGATTCCAGCTGAAGAAGGGACTGCCTCCAGTGGTGAAGATGAAGCTGAAGTTCTTCAGCTCGCAGTAATAGAGCCAGACATCATCTCTCCAGGTTGAGGCACGTTCGATGTTGTCGACCCAAATGTCGAACATGTGGAGAAAGCTCATGTAGATAAATGTCGTCGCCATTAATGGAAGGTAGAGTCTTAGCCATCGCCTGAATAATGCTGAGGCGACAATTTCTGCCAGCTTTCCGTGATCTCCAGATTGGATCAAGCTCAGAGGTTTCGCGGAGAGAACATAGCCGGATATGACGAAGAACACTGATACTGCGAAATGGCCTCCAGTAAACAGGTGTCGGATACCGGGCAAGGCGATGAAATGATGTTTGTTTTCGTATCCAAAAGCGTTTTCAAAAATCCTATTTTGGACGTGAGGCTCGTGTGCCCAGAGTTGGTTGTGGTGCCAGTACACTAGGAACGCAGCAAAACCTCGCAAGCCGTCGAGGTATGCCGTAGGCCGGAGCTTTTCCGGGCTTTTGGTGTCTTTGATGGGCCAAAAAAAGCTGCTTAGACTGGAGATGTTCAGTCGAGATGGCCGCCTGGTTCGTATGAGGGTAGCAGGCTTCCAGTCGACATCATCAGCGAGCCATTTGGACTTCTCGCACCAGGTGGGCTTGACCTCATCCCACTCCTTGCTGTCGAGAATGCCTTCGTTTCTGGGAGACATCTTTACAACAGTAGCCGTGGAGTTGTTGAAGGCAATGAGTAACGGGAAGAGCAGTTTTCAGACTCAAGCTGACAACGATGTCTGCTTACGGTCGTGAGTATCGTTGGCTGCTTTCGCGTGCGTGATGCTGCAGGAAAAAGTGTTCTCGACCCTTGCCTCTCCGGAAATTTTGATGGACTGTTAAAAGAGGCACAAGTTCTTTTCAGTATCGTCGGATCCTGCACGGGCTCATCGGCAGTTGTCAGCCAGGAGGTCGCCCCTTGGGTGGATTTGGTCCGGCTTGGCGTTGATCGCTGAACCTTGTGTTGCTTTCTGCGCGCGGAGTGCCCATAGACTTCTCTACTTTCTGTCAACATGTCAGTTCGTCCAGAGTTTCACAAGCCAGGAAAGGACGAAATACCAGCTGAACCTCAGAAAGATTCCTCGGTCGAGCCAAGAAAAGATGCGGGGTGGCGGGATGCGTCTAGGATGAGAGGTCCGCCATCCTTCCGGGGGTTCCTGGTCCAATATGCGGGGGATAGGCCGGGGTAGAATGCGGAGAGACAAGCTACTATGTAACCGTCCAACAATAAAATGATCAAAGCTAAGCGGCGTAGGAGCGATATCACTCATTTCCCTCATCGTGACGCACTTTTTCCATCCGTTGGTTGCAACGAGACCGGGCGTCCCTGGCAGCTATCACAAGCAGCGTAGCACTCCGTCGGACTAGCTTGGGATTGTCGTCCGACACAACAACAACAATTCGCTCCTCCGACTCGCGCACTCGGCAGGGTGAGACCTTGAGATTGTAAGAATCCCTCTGAAAATTTCAGTCTCCTCCTGCAACTCCTCCTGATTGGGAAGGTTCCACCGCTTCTCCCTCCCCTGAATATCGTAGCCGTTGGTTCCGGTGGCCAGGATCGGCCCAATAGACGCTCAAACAAGCTCAACGTCCCGGCGCTATTATGGCGCGAAATGTGGCCGGCCGCAACGAGTGGTTCTCATCACATCTCCGCCGGCCTGAATGGCTTCGATCCTCCAGCTGTCTGACTCTTTGTAGTGCAAGATGGTGGCTTGCTCGCCGCTATCCGGCTGCGCGAATGAGAGTAGAAACCGTTGAGCTCATGCTCCAGCCTTGCTCGTATTGAAGGACAGTGAGAACTAGCCACTTAGAGAGAGATAGACCCCGAGCTTCATTAGACAAGTCACTGAGGTGAGGCGGTGGCGTCAGTAAGGCACAGACGGGACGAACACGATGCGACTTTACTCTGGCGACCTCGGCGTTTTTCCTCCTTTATCCTGGCACCCAGCTCGTGACAATGATGTGCAACTGATAGGTGAAGGAGTGGGGGAACGGTCGGAACAGCTGTAGGGCAATCCCCGCCTCGGCGATTAGGACACTCTGGGGATATGTGCCTGCATGGAGAAGCTCCTCAAATCTCGACATGCATCCTACTCTCTTATTCTTATGCTCGTCGCATCTTTGCCCAAAGCTTGGTTCAAAAGCTTCTTCGGTTGAACACCTCCACTTCTCTTGGACGACTTCAGCCAACATGTCTTCACCCATCATGAGCCCATTGAGTCCATTGAGCCCTACTGGCTCGACCAAGGCGAACCTGTTCAGAAACAGAGTCCCAACACAGCTCAGGAGATGTCTGCCCTTGTACATTGCTTGTATTTGCATAATTTTCCTCGTTCTCAACATGGATTTGTTCGGTTCCATGCCCAAACCTGTCCACCTTTCCAAGCGCGGTGGTCAACACTCAACAACAAACACACGTGGAACCTTTCCCAAGAAGATATGGCAGACTTGGAAGGTTGCACCCTTCTCATTCGAAGCCGAGCAGATTCTCACTGCGCGGACTTGGACAGACAAGAACCCTGGTTATCGGTACGAAGTCCTCACCGACACCAACGACATGGAGTATGTCGAAGAGCACTATGGCCCTGAAGGCTTCGACCGCCCGGACATTGTCGACATGTACCGCAACGTAAATGCCACCATCATCAAGGCCGATCTCCTCCGCTACATGATCATGTACGCCGAAGGAGGAGTCTACGCGGACATTGATGTCGAGGACCTTCGGCCTGTCAGCCGATGGATCCCGGAAAGATACAATGAGGCCGACCTTGACCTCGTCATTGGGGTCGAGATTGACCAACCGCATTTCAAAGACCACCCGATTCTCGGCAAGAAGTCCATGTCGTTCTGCCAATGGACATTCATGTCGCGGCCCGGCCACCCGGTCATGCTGAAGCTAGTTGAGAACATCATGGCATGGCTCAATGATGTGGCCAAGACACAGCGTGTGCCCATCTCGGCAATCAAGCTTGACTTTGACGAGGTCATCAGCGGCACCGGCCCGTCAGCCTTCACCAAAGCCGTCCTGGAGGTAATGAGTGCGCGTTCTCGATCCGGGACGATCACCTGGGACACATTCCACGACATTGACGAGTCAAAAGTCGTCAGCAACATACTCGTCCGCGACGTCGAGTCCTTTGCTGCTGGCCAAGGCCACTCCGACTCTGGGAACCACAACTCTAGGGGAGCTCTCGTCAAGCACCACTATCACGCTTCGAACTGGCCCAGTCGTCACCCTCGCTTCAGGCATCCTATCTTCGGCGAGGTGGAGAGGTGCAACTGGAACATTGAGTGCGTCATCAAGTGGGATCAGGACATCGCCGCCTTCAACTCTTTATCCCCAGAGGAACAAAATCAAAAGGTCGAGGAGCATGAGAAACTTCAGAAGCTCCAAGCACAACAGAATCAGCAAAAGGCAGAGCAACAAAAGGCCGCTGAGCAAAAGGCTGCCGAGCAGCCTTTGATGTTCCCGCCACCTCAACAGCCTCTTCAAATACCACCACCACCAGCAGATCCTGCAAAGCAAGAGGAGCTGAAGATGAGATGAGGTAGTTTATCCCACAGACCACAGGATTTGTAAACCATCCCCGAGACACTATCATCTTGAAGAGAATCTCAACCACCGCGCCGTTAGCCCGAAGGATGACATGTGAGATCATGGCGCGCGCCGCTCCAAAACCAATGCGACTAACACGAAGCATAACGAGTCGAGAGTACGAGATATGGTTATGAACTTGATTTCTTATTTTTTCGCGGCGGACAGCCTGAGGAGTTGTGCTGGAACATGTTACATGGCCCGCATAATTGAGTTGCAATTGCACGATGATGCTGCGGACTCTACGGATTGAGCACTTGGTCTTAATCATTTTATCAGGACACATGATCACTAGCATGATTAGAGATATAAACAAGTGAGGGAGGCATACACAAGACTTGAAACGAAGATACCCTTCAAACTCCTGTACATACCTTGGTAGCGCATACATATTGCCAACGGCCTCATACGACACCCAGTATTGTCTGGTTCATGCTACGCTGCACGAGTCAAGATTCTTTCAATCAGCATCGTGCTCAACTTCCATCTAATTATGTGTCAATGGTTGACCACGGCGATTGATGCAAGAATCACTACAAGGCAGCCTCTCAAGATAGTATTCAATTTCCCGCGACAAATACAATTAAGTAAATGCTATACGCTTCCAGCCTCCTCTCCATATCCGATATAGAATTTGAGGCTAAGTCCGTATCAATTATCTACGGATCTCAGCTCATCATGACTTCTATTCCTACGTATCCCTTGATTGGCCTCTTGGAATCGCCATCTCTTATCTAGAAGGTAAGCTTCTGGCCAGCTTGTCCAGGGACGGTGGCGACGACATTGGCGGAGCCAAGCAGGGTGTAGGAGTAAGGAGGGGAGTTGGCGTTCAAGGTGCCGACGGGAGCCGTGTTGACAGCACCCCCAAGGTCGTTGTCGATGGCAACAGCATAGCCGACGATATCGGAGTCCAGAGTGGTGATGGGAACCGTCACATTCTTGAATACGTTGCTCTGGATAAGGACCTGCGCGTTCTGACGGGTGTTGATTCCAGAGTTGCCGCTAGGTAGTGTTAGTGAACTTTGTTCCCTGAGAGACATCGCGCTTGTTTAAGATTGATGAGAAACGTACTTGAGGTAGTAAGAGTTGTAGACGTGGCCAGTGCCGAAGCGCAGAGACGGGCCACGGGAACCAAAGTTGGCCCAGTAGTTGTTGGCGTAGGTGATACGCAGATGACCGGTGTCTTCTGCCTTGTTGTTCTCGCTGTGGCCGATCAGGGAGGTCTTCCAGTGGTCATGGAAGTAGGTGCTTTTGAAAGTTAGCAAGTAGCTCCTGTTTCAACTTAGTAGAAGACCTACTAGGAGATAGTGATGAAGTCAGAAGCGTGGGATGCATCGATGAGGCCGTCGTAGTAGTCCTTGTCAGCGACGAGTTGAGAAGAGAACTCGCTGTGGTCGATCCACACGTTGATGCTTTCCTAAGAAGAAATTTTTTGTAAATAGATACTCTTGCCAGAACCGTGACACTTTTGAGGAAATTTCTCACATCAATCTTCACGCCATCGCCAGTTGAAGCAAGTACATTGGTAGACTTGATGTTGCGAATAATTACATTGGACTGGCGGCGAACATACAGTCCAACTCCGTTGAATCCTATAAAATAAGGACATAAGTTGGTGTGCGAGCACCGCGGGTGGTGAAGGGATACTTACCTGCGCCAGCAGATGCACCAATAACAGATTTGTTGCTACCGATGCGAACGTTGGCAGTGCCGCTAATGGTACCCTGAACAACCACAATCCTCGGGGTACTATCCTTCTCATCGACCGCGGCAGTGAACTGGGCCAGGGTAGAAACAGTGGTGACTGTTCCACCGGATCCTCCCGATGTTCTACAACTCTATCAGCTCTGCCTCGTTTGAGGCTTCATCTCGCCTTTGGACTTACCCGCCGTTCAGAGTGGCATAACCAATAGTCGCCTTGTCTGAGATGGACGCTCGCTTCACGAGGTGGGCCTTCTCGGCGACGTGGTCGACGGTCGGGGTCGGCGTCGCAGCCGCGAGGGCGAAGAGCGTAGCCAAGGCGGAGGTGATCTTCATCTTTGCAAGTTCTCGTGCGATTGGTCAATGGAAGGGGATCAAGAGGAGCTTTGGTGTCTGCTAACAGAGTCTAAAGTCGAGGGTCTGGGGTGTCAAGCAATTAAGAACCCAGGAAAACCCGTTTCTTGAGCACCTCTTTATACAAGATCTTCAGGCTCTCTGTCGGATGCTTTTCCGTCTGTCGGACAGGGATTCAATCATCACGAGATGATGCTGAGTCCTCACGGATTGCGAACATGCTTACGAAATGCAGGCAGACTTTGAGGCGAGCCCTTGAGAACTGATAGTTTGGGTACAAGAAGGTAACACGGATGGACGGACCAGAACCCACGATCATTCCGCGAATGGCAGCCGCCTGCCAGAATGGAGCTCATCGACGCCTCAAGTTGTTCCTCCGCTGGTCAGCCATCGATTGCGAAAGAAAATCCTTGTTCCGACGGAACATTGCGAATTAGAAATTCGAACCGACGGGCCTGCCCATGCCCACGCTAACGTCCTCGAATAAAGTAGAGGCGCATCCGTCCAAAAACAAGCTTGTTTACTAAGTTGAATCATTCCGTCCGCTAATGACTCCTTTATTCGGCGGGGCAGCGGCTTGTGTCATGTAAAGTTGATCCTTTGAATGCGGACAGGTAGGGGTGGGTGGGTGTCCGGGGTAATCATTGGAGAAATTTCCTCAAATCAGCATTTCGCCTTGGCTCAACGTGCAGGTCACGGCAGCATCCGTGGAGCAGACCTACTCCGTCGAAGCCGGGGCACCTCATGGACGGTATAGACTGTGTGATTGGCGAGTGCTAGTCGTTCATGCAAGGGCGGACGCGTGGAGGCGCGTCCTTGTAGTCAAGGCCTTTCTTTGGACGGAATCGGTGAGTGGAAGTTTTTCCCGTGGTGGAAAGGAAGCGATGGCGAATGGGTGGAATGGAAGGCGGGATATCACGAGATTTTGGCGAGCGATTGTGTGCAAAGGGTTCTTGTTCCTTCGACTTTCTGCTCTCACTTCGCCTTCGGAATGCTACATGTTCAGTGTAGATAGACATTTCTTACACTGCACAACGTGAGGCATGTTGAAGCCTTGCGAATCCTTACTGGAAGATGATGTCGTAGGCGTTGACTGACAAGAAAGTCACGGGTTTCGTGAAGGCAAACGCGCATACTTGCTTTTGCCTCCATATATGGTAGGCTTGTTACCTGCCTTCCGAAAACGACAAGGGATCTTCCGAGTACAGATTATCGAGACAGTCCGACTACCGATCGTCTAGAGGCAAGACATAGGAAGGCATAAGATCAACCCACTGTCAAATGAGCCCCATCTCACAATAGAGTTGTTGTCTGGTTGTAGTTCCTGGGAAGGAGGACGTCAAATTTGTCGGGACCTGACATATCTTGGCATCGCCAAGACAGTCTTGGCACAGCGGTCAATAGACAGGTGACGAAGCGCATCGGTGGTACTCCCGTGGGGCAACGTCCTTCATAAGTACGTTCGCAAGTACGTTCGCGAGTACGGTCGCGACCATCAAAGCTGCCTGGATTGACTTTTCGACTTGGAACATGCCCTCTTCCCATGTTTTCAAAGCGAGAGGAACGCAAAGTCTATAGAGCGACAATGAATTGAATCCCCCAACAGATTCGGGATGCTTCTGGACGTTAAAATTCGCGGAGGCTTTGCACGAGATGATGACTGACTTGCTCAAGGAATTTAAGCGTACATGAGATAGTTTAGGGGTAACTTGGGTTTATTTTCTAATGGTAAATTTGCTTTAGGAACAGACTTTCTGAGGTTGACTTTTTTGAGGCGACGAGTGCTGTATTGGTGTGTAGTCCGACTCTATGACCCATCACCACTCATCTGAAGTTCAATACCCGTCATGCACGTCTTCATTAACTCTGAGCACCCTCTTAAAGCATTGTTTAGACTATTTCATCGTGGTGTCTCTCCCATTCTCGAATCATGGCTCAGCAGATTCGCTTCGCTCCTTCGTAATTGAGGCCCCTCTCGTCGGCCAGAGTCTGCACAATATCACTAACGATGGAACCCTCAGTATCAACCTCCTTTGAGACGCGAATTTCCTTGCCCCAGCTCATGACATCCTTTATGACGGAGATGTGATGCGTGTAGTTGAGTTCAATATTGGCAACTGAGGCGAGCTCTTCTTCGCTGAGGTCAATTGCGTCCCGAGATCGTTGAGCGGCTACAAGAACGTTTTGATCGGTTAGATGAAAGGACCTTGTGATGACCTGTCAGGAGACTTACGTAGAAGCAACGTCCAACTCCCGATGCTTGAGGTATTCTGCCACACTCTTTTTCGCGGGACGGGAATTGTCATTTTGAGACCGCCAGAACACAAACGTAGGCTCCTCAGCTTCACCCGAAAGGCTCTTGTCGATAGACCTCATGCCTTCCCAGATATCAAATACCATATTCTCACTTGGCGAGTCTTTAGCAGGATCAGTCTCTCCCTAAACAATCGAGATCAAAATCTCGTTGCGAAAGCTCCTCGTTGGGGTCGGTGTGGTATGGTCGTACCGCCGTAATCGATACTTCTAGTGGTTCGTCCCGATCTCTGGCGACTACGCACGAGCGTTCATCGACGGAGATTAATTTGTATGGGCCTGCCCACTGTTTGGTGGTTTCCCTCCACGCCCTCACGTCCGAATCCAGCGGCATATCGAGGTTAGGACTGACGTCTGGCCCGTACCGGGCGGCAACGGCCTCGTTAACTTGCCTTCTGGCATTTGCCTCGCGGAGAGCCTTCATTGCCTTGTCGATTGCTCGTGCCCGTTGGGCTACGCCTGGCGACGGTGGTGAAGCCGTCGTCGTTCTTGGGTATGCTCCGAATACGAGGAGCGTTGGGACGAGCCACTTCGGTCCCATGGTATCATTGCAACACTTGAGTGCAGTCTGGAGGCACTCCTCATGCGTGGAATCGGGGCTTTCCTCTCGCAAGATTCTGAACGCTCTTTTCAGCTGCTGGTGTGCCCTCTCCACCTTGCCGATGCTATGGTGCGCTTCAACGGGCACTATTCTCACTTGTATGCCATAGGCAGCAGCATTATCCCTGAATTCCGTGGATTTGAAACTAGTTCCCGCGTCTGTTCTGATGCCGTCTGGCGGTCCCTGGTATGTATCAATCCAACTTCGCTTTAGTGTTGCCCATACAGTCTTAGCCTGTATGTCCCGTAGGAATTGCCCACCATGGAAGGATGTGGCTGCGTCGATTATATGCAGGACCGGCCGACTATTCAGGTAGAAGATATCGACGACGATCTCCCAGTTGAAGTTGAGGTCGTCGTGTAATTTGAATTTAAACCTGTGTGGGCTTTGTGCGTTCATTTGGCATTGGTGGCAGATTTTCGTCAGTTGCTCTAGTGCCCCTATTTCCACGTCGTTCCCAGATTGCTTGAGGAGATTATACAGCCTCGTGAAAGACGGGTGGCCGAAACGTCGATGTAATCGTTTGAGCTCACTCTCCGTTAGGTAGTTAATGGATTTGACGTCGGGTTCGAGCTTGATGAACGCATGCCCCCATCGTCGATCGACGAGCTCAAAGTGCTTGCCATTGGACATCCGGTTCCTTATGTTGTCGAAGATAATGCCCAGCTTATCCATATCCTTCAGGCATAGGAGGAATGGGGTGTAAACGGGTAGGATGTGGAAGATCATCGTACCGAAGCGTGTGTTAACTTCCACTGTATCAAGGGCACTTATTTCCTCTCCTGGGCCGAAGCTGATTCTCGCAATGCCTGCTGTCGACGTGTTGAGGGTGACTGGGGAGATCTTTTGGAGCGCCTGGAATTGCCCCTTACCTCCCGTCGACCATTGTGAAGCTCCGGTATCCGGAATGATTCCGTGAAATGATTCCGGGCCGTACCGCTCGCTGGCATGGAATGCCTACGCAGGATCACCACTTGGGCCGTCTGGTAGGTGTAAAAAGGGGGCCAGTGGGCCCTCTAGTCTTTTCTCTTCAGCATGAGATTCTGTGACTTCTGCGCGGCCCGGTTCGGGGGCTTACACGCGGCTTAGCCTGGTGTCTTCCGTGCTGCTTAGTGACGTCGTCGTCTGAGGGACTTTCCCTTGCCAACCGTGGAGGAATGCCTGCTCATTAAGAGCCTGTACCGCCTTTTGTTCGTTCAGCATGGTATACCCTCCTCAGGCTGACGAGACGAAAAAAGAGTGGTTGATATCGTCGAATTCGTCGTAGTCGAGGTCTTTGGTATACGGGGTGAGATCTTCCTCGCTTTCCGACCGCCCGAGGCCGCACTCAGGGTCATCAACGGTATGGTCGGTTCCGCCCGTCGGCTGACCCTCGTATGCTACGAGGAACTGGTTGAACCGATCGGGGCTGGTTTTGCCCTGCGTGCCCCTCGACTTTCTATACTGCTCGTACGATTTGGTACGCTCTTCCTCGGAGTGATTGCTTGACCAAGATCCATCCTTTTTGCATATAAAACCATTCCCTTTTTGTTCTGGTCTGGGATTAGATCGTCGGCCCGGTGAAGGGTCCGTTCCTCCTCCCTGGCGGTTGCCGTACCTGGCCTCCTTTCCCTTGCCATTATACGTACGGTCGACCCAGTGCTGCTGGTGAGGGCCGTCATGAGATTGGAAGTTTGCTTGGTGCGGCATTCTGGCCTCGATGATGAGGCTGGATCTCAGCCTCCAGCAAAGGGTCTCGTAGTCCTCATGTGATTGTTGTAAAGGTATCCTCGCCTCTGGGACTCTCTGAACCGCAATACAGAGGTGGTCGACCTTTCGCTCATTCGTCCCCTCGTACGGCAGTGTTTTCGCCAGCTTATCGATTCTATCGATCAGCTCCTCGAGGATCTCGAGCCGTGACTTTCCTTCCATCGACCTGGCCACGGAGCCGAACGAAAGTGCTCTCAGTTCGGATAGGAGTTCCAGCCTCCTACCGTGGGTCTCAAATCGGTTTCGGATTGTATCAACGACGCTGAGAAAGTCGGTCTCATCGATAGTACGCACCGCTGTATAGTAATATTCAGCGGCTTTCCCTGTCAGTACGATATTGATGACCGAATGATATTGTTGTTCTCGGATTCCGACTTTCTCGCAGTAGTCGTAGAACATCGTTAAGGTCTCTTGTAAGACCTCGTACTTCCCCCCTGAGTACATTTTCTCTTTGGGGAAGGTCTTCCTGAGGTCCTTATATTGCCGTATGCTAACGACCGTTGGATCGCTTTCTTCCCATAATTCGCGTGCCGCAGGGTAATTGTGGTGACTTTGTGCAGTCGATCTCACACTCTGTTGGTTGGTTGGGGCCAGACTTCGCATCGGCAGCGTCGTCCTGCTAGTCACCGAGATAGGTGGAATCGTCGTTTGACGTACTTCCAGTATGATCCTCCTTTCCGGTGTCGTACTTGTTGCTGATATGGCGCCATTGGTGATTTTCAGTAGGAATTCCGGTTTGCTCACTCGTCCACAGAATTCGTCGTATTTAGACACTGCTCGGTCGATTTGATCCTGATCCCATGGCGTAAAATCTTGGGCTGCAACTGTTGCTGCAAGCGTCTCGTGTGCCCTCCGATGTGCCGTCTGGGCTGGCAGAACACCTCGGCAGTGTAGGAATCGGTTTACTTCCTTAACGATACTAGGATTCGCACTAGCAAACCACTCGTCCCTCCAGTCGCCTAGGTCGTCGACGATTCGGTAGAACAGGGGTTGCCCCTCGAGCCCCTTTCGAGCGTACATTTCCATGATGTATACCAATGCAGCATCAATTTGCTCGCCGTTAGGCTGGTCTGAATCTCGGTACGCCCATTTTCCCCAGTACTCTGGGTTAATTTCGATCCAATCGTCTGGGATAGGAATCCTTCCCCGCGCTCTGTGGACTGACTCGCCCCTTGCCGTTCCTTGGCTTATGCTTACACTTGCGGCAGCCGGCGTGTTTGATCTTGACGGGGATGTTTCAGATTCGTTCGTTAGTCGTGGCAAGAGCGTACTGTCGTTGCTCGCCGGAAATATCGGGGTCTGGGAGCTTCCCGCCGCTTCCAGCCTTCTCGCGGCGAGTCTCGTCACCATTTGCTCCTGTTCCTCTGGGTTGCTCGCCATCGTTCTTCTGTCCGTAGTGGCACTCGTGGGTTGTTGAGGAGTAGTTAATAAGGAAGCAATTGGATTTGGAATCTTAAGCTTGAATTCGGGATCTTAAGGTCGATTTGTCCTTCGATCGCGCGGGCGGTTCCTTCCGCTGCTTTGATCAATTGATTGACGCGTAGGTTGGCCGCGGTGTGATTGAGGTAGGAAAAGCTGCTTGAGGGTGACGACGGTAGCTCGGTCGCCTTCGCAGTTCTGTTAATTGGCAGTGGGTTGACGTGGTAGACGTCGACCTTCCGTAGGCAGTCAAGGGCTGCGATTCCTCTACTTCGTTCCGTCGTAGAGATTCGCGTCTTGTCGCCTGCTTTCCGTAAGGTTGGGTAGCACGATTCTCCTGTCGCGTTCCGTTCGAGGAGGTCGTCTCTTCTGATCTTTTGCGAGATGCCTTGCTGATCTGCGATAGTGGAATTTAACCACACTGATCAGTGTTGGTATCCCTCTCACAGGGATATTGGTTCGAACCAATACGGTTAACGAAGAGATCAAATTGATTATATCTAACTTCTGCGTAAGGGTGTAAGAAGGAGGTTCCAATCGGAGGTTAGGCAGGCCGCGATTCTCGTAAGTATAGGTTGTAAGTAGCCCGTGCGCGGGCCCCTGCCTCGAGGTCGAATTGGACTTCCAATCCGACACTGGGATTGTTTGTTTAATACTTAGGAATAGTTTCAATTATTTGGTTTATTTGGAATTTAGTTTGATAGATTGGCTTTAGCGGCAGCGCTGATGCTTGACTCAGCTCCTAAAAGTAACACTAGGCGCATTTAGGAGGAAACTGACACTTTCACACATACGCATATATATACCTATATTCACATATGATCTCCTTTTCTCTCAAGCTCTCCGATAGACTCGGACATCTCCACCAAATGCTCGGAGTTTGCTATGTTATTACAACTCATCTCGTCACCCAGCATCCTGACACAGATAACCTAAGTCCCGAGTCAAGGTAAGGATGTATCGTTGCCGCAGCCGACAAACTCCGACCGAGTTTCATGCGGTTGGATATCCCGAACCCACACCGAACTTCTCTGTGCGGGAAATTCTTCCCCAGCGGAGATAAGAACGGCGCAAAACGACAACACGGAGAGTTCGGTATCTCTCAAAACCTATAATTCGGCAATGGCACTCATAGAATGGGGGATCCGCCGAGCCCGATTGAATGGTCCTGGACTCAACTACCACAGCTCGTGGTGGCTTCTCTAGGCCGGCCCCATTTACGGCCATCCGCGCGCTATTTACAATGCAATCACCTATCTGGTCAAATACTGCTGTCAGTCGTGGCAGATTAGTCAGCAATTCAACAATCTCTGTCAATTCTCGAGCGAATGGTCATTTGAGTTGTTTGCTCAAATGATCCCGCAATGATCAGACTTAGAGGGAATTGGACGGGCCCGCGGGATACGTTACCCACATACTGTCACGGTCGGGAAGACGGGACATCGGTGGCGCACCGGTAGACCACTGGTGTGGCCCTAGCGGGACGGAAAAGGATATTCCAGGCAGAGATTAAGGGGGCTTGCGTACAAACTGTAGAAAGGCAGGCTTGAATAAACGTCAACACCTACACCTAAGGGGCAATCGCCGACTCTATCACTCTGCGCGGAACCTGCACCTGATATATACGAACATTTACAATAATTTGAAAGATATATAAAGGTCACGAGGCTATAATGCATAGCAATAGGATAGAATCCTAAAATATCTTGTTATTATACTATTTAGTCAGCCATAGCCCCTAAAGCTTGAAGTTATGAAGAGGTTGGCAGTAGTAAATTAGACGCAACGAGCCCTATATTGCTTGAATATCTGGGACGTCCTGTGAGCAAGCCACATGCTCCATACGCGCGCTGCTACCCTTGATCATTAATCGCCATTGCATCTTCAGACTTGGGTTTCCTATAAGGTATGTTGGGCCTCTGGTAGGCTTGCACCTCCATAGACGACCTCCGCGTCTGCCATCATGACACGCAGAAGCTCTGTCAGCATGATATCGCTTCCTTTGGAGCCTATCAGTCCCACGGCGGCGGGCAGGTCCTCTATCATCCCGGTAAACTTTGACTTGTAGGAGGTTGGTTCAACTAAAGCCAGGTCAGAGGAACGCATCATAGTCTTTAGTAACAAATGGACAGCTTGTATGACAGGATAGAGTGGGAAGCTCGTCCGAGGGACGGAAGTCTTTGGGGTTTATGGAAGTTGAGAATTCCACTCACCAGGTACGATAAGTTCTGGGGCGTGGGCATATGGGCCGACGTTATAGAAGAAGAATCCGACGCCCGTGAACTTTTGCGGCCCGTCTCTGTACTTGTCGCGGTAGTCTGGTTTGCCTGTGGTCCAGGGAAGCACCAGTATGGTTTCCGAGTAACCATTTTGTGAAGGCGGCATGACCTCTTGATAGAACCATTTCTGATAGACGTCCATAAGTCGGCGACCTTCTTTCTGCTGCTCCAGCGTTATCGTTGGCAGATACTCTCTAGGACAAAGTAATTTAGCAGCCGTTTATTAGGGGAAGGAAATGTCACCTACTTCTTGAATCGGAGCTGAGGATTAAGTACCGGCGGTTTTCCATTCTTCTTTTCGTATTCCTCAACAAATTCCTTAAAGAACCCCGTCCATTGATCCGGATTAGCGCTCCATTCAAATACGTGGTTGAAGTACTCATTTAAAGGCGTTTCAACCCCCTCCGGATTTGTTTCTTTCCATAGTCGGGCCAGGTTTATGTGAGTGCGTTGGACACCCAAGAAGGATTCAAGACGGGCGATGAATTTATCAAACACCTTCTGGCTATTTTCATCGGAGACTGGCCAGTAATCGGTGGGATACAGAATCCGCGTTGGTTTCTGTGCGAAACGTCAATAAGAGGCAAATTTAACATCGAAATTGCGCAGCAATTCTACCTTGAAATCATCACTTCGGCTAGTAGAACCTCCATAAAGAGCCTTTGCAAGAATGCTGAACTCTTCCGCTGTTCTGGCAAAGCCGCCAAGGGTATCAAACATTCTATTCTCAAAGTCAGCAGCCGATTTCATCTGAGAAGAGGTCGGGGTAAAGCTCACGGGCTGTATGGCACAACTCCTTCAAAGCTAGCCGCCCCAAGGGACGATCGCATACCGAACACACCTTGCGCCGCAGCCGGGGCACGTATGCTTCCGAGAGCTCAAAGAATGGCGTTAGTCTACGACTGAGCATCGTTTTGGATGGGAACCAGGGGCTTACTGTCGGTTCCCAGGGTGAAGTCCAGCCATGGGTAGGATGCGATGGCCGCAGCACTGCCGGCGCTGCTTCCACTGGTTGTGAGATATCCATCACCTCGAGGATTGAAAGGCGCCTGGTAATCCACCCAGTCGCACGTTGGCCATTCAGAGTCTGCAAACTGGGTCGTCTTGAGCTTGCCAACCACTTCGAATCCAAGATCAATCAGCTTTTGAAGGGCAGGCGCGTTGCTGGATCTGACGGGATAGAGCGACGTGTAGGCGCGAGACGAAGCACCAGTCTTCAACCCTTTGAGGTCGATGATGTCTTTCACTGCAAGGCGATAGCCTGCGTACGGTTTCTCGGCGGTTTTCTTGTAGTAAAGACGAGAAGGAACGGCGACTGTCAGGGCGGAGGGATACTGTTCTCCGTAAGCAGCCCCATCCAAAGAGCGGTACCTTGTACAGTTCGTAAGTACATGGAGATATATCGTGGGGGGACATTGTACGCACGTGCCGGTCTCCTGGGTCGGGACTGTAGCCACCATAAAGGCATCAGCACTATCAGGGTAGAGCCGGTACACCAGGTGAAGCTTCCCATGATGTATAAAATAGGGTCCCTCAGGCAAAGGTTCTTTGCCCGACGATGCTGTGCCGACAATGCTAACTGACACGAACTGAGCACCGTGGTCTCGAAGAAGCTGCCCGACGTCCTCGCCCAGCTGGAAAGTTGCGTCGAAAGTTTGAATCACCACAGAAGAGAGGAATCGATAGGACCAGACGTCGTCCCTTCGAACAAAGTTTTCCAGATGTTTTGAAAGCCGGCCAACATCGAGAGGCTCAGACCCGACATCCAAGACAGTGCAAGGCTCTGCTGTTCGGTCACTTGGTAGATCAGAAGGAACTGCTGCATGTGCCTATTCAAGATGTTGAGAACATGAAGCATACTGCCACGGCGACTGACGGGACGTGGACTGACCGTGTCGATGAAGTGCATGTAGTAGGCTACGTCACCCAGCCGAACTACCGTTGAAACGAATTTCTGCCCCATAGAGAGCCCTAACAAAGCACAAAACAGACCCGAGACCAACAGAATGTGCATCGTGACAGCGCTTTGGCGCGCTAGTAGATGACTGGGCCCGACCCAAGATATGCTGCTCAGCGTAGAGGCTCAAGCCTTGGCTCTAGCGGCGACTGAATTTGCTGCCGGAAGACGCGCAGTTGAGACATTTGTCAGCGCAAATGGCCGCCCGAGATGACGGCGAAAGTGGGAAGGGGGCAGACAGCCGCGAACTTGTTTGAGAGAGGGATCGAGGTAGGAAAGCACAGGGATAGCCTCAATCAAGGCGGAATTGGGGTAACGGCGGGAATAGAGATGGGTTGGGTGAGACACTGCGACCCAACAACCAACACCCGAGCTTCAGTGTCTGCTTGGCACGCGCCTTCATGGTACCTAGACTATGATTCTTCGACCAATGACACCTAAAGCAGTATTTTCCAGCCGCCACAAGTCAGCGAACAGTATGAACAGTATGAACAGTATGAACAGTATGAACAGTATGAACAGTATGAACAGTATTAAAACTTCCATTAGGTTTAGAAGTAAAGACTAATATCCAGCCGCCACACGTCAGCTTCACCTCCTCAGCATGGCGACATCTTGGCGTACATGAGATATGACCTTCTTCAACGTCCAATCAGAATCCATCGTCTGGTACAAGGCATCCCGTTGTCGCACATCTGGACCTGTTTGGCAATCTTCAATGTTTGCATCAAACCCCCTCACGCTATTGATGTTGTGCAACACAAATCCTTGCCGTGTTGCCGCTGGTTAATTTAATCAGCAAATGGAGCTACTTTGTATATGCAGCCTGATTTTGAGTCGGCAGGAAAACATACTGGTCATGTCCAATGTTCCGTCAGCAGTAACTACATTCAATGTCTGATCTGATAGCTCTCAATATCATAAGGGACGGAGCCGCTCCCAGCCTGGTGGTTTGAAATGACATGAGCATGCCAGGACCGAAAACCCCCAGACCGAGTGATCTCTTTCTATCCGCAAACATGGCCCGTCTTGATGCCGAGTCGGAAACTAAGCCCCGTGGTCTAGAACTTGCGAAAGTCTACTCAGACTTGAGTCTAACCTGGGAGCTTGACCAACTCAACCCCGAGAAACGACTTGCAAGTGTCTTCTACATGCAGAAGGATGCCCTTTTTCTCGAGGAGAAACCCTAATTCATGAACGTGCCAATCGATCCGGCCTAGAACCCAACCCTGAAGCAAACCAACGTCAAGTACACCCGGAAAACAATTTCTGTCACCAATGTTCGCGGCAGCGAGGACATTTTCAAACTCGATAGACAAGGTTTCCAGCTTGGTCAGCTGCAGAGTAAGCTATCGTACGAGGACTTCGCATCAACGGACTCCATTGTAAACCAATATTACGAGGAAGTCAAGGCTTTCCTCAAACAGAATACGGGCGCGGTTGAGGTGCTGCCGTTCGATTTCCAGGCTAGTGACGACGAATTTGTTATTAGCTGAACTTCGCGTAAAGAGTCGCAAAATATCTGACATGTTCTCTTGAGCCTCAAGGTCCGCCTAGTCGATCGTTCACTGCCTGCCAACTCGAGAGGCAAACCGGGAAAAGCTCAGCCATTCGCTGCTATACATGCTGGTAAGATATCGGTCACATGTTTGCGTATCTTCGTTTGTCCGAAAATGTTCACCAATGCCACAGAACTGAACCTGCTCTCCCTTCTAGACCAAACTGCGAAAGCCGCCGCTCGGCGCCTGTGCCACTTCCATCGAAGCTTTGCGGACCAGTATGCCGGCCGGCGGTACCAGATTGTGAAGTTATTTGCTCTGACGTCCCCCAAAGATATGACATCGCTGACCAAATCTCCCAGTGTTTGGAAGCCCCTCCGTGGACCCGCATACGACTCCCCTCTCGCGGTTTGCGACTACAGAACCGTCAAGCACGATGATCGAGTTCCCTGTGACATCATCTTCCCCGACTACCTCGGCGAAACCTACAACTTTTGGCCCAATCCTGACCATAGATTCTACTACATAGACGGCCAAGAAGCGAATGAGACATGGATGATCAAATGCTTCGACTCAGCCACCGCCGAAAATCCAGAAATTACCCAATGTGCGACGCCCATTCCCATACCTTTCGCTCTACGCTGACGACCAAGGCAGTCTCCCCGCATGTGTCCTTCCCTTACCTTTCGGATCAGGATCACGCGCCCCGAGAAAGCGTGAAAGTCAGAACATTTGTGTTCTACTGAGATATCGGGACCGAGCCCCTAAATCCCTTTCCAGTCATAGCTGCCCATTTTCATCGCAACATCCCCTCATTATATTTTGTGTCACATTTTACAAATGTTGAAATCTCATTTGCACCTTACCTCTTTTGGATGTTGGATGGTCTAAATTCAAATGTCATTTGAATGAAAATCAAGAGTGATGTGCCAGAAACTATACCAAGAAAGTATTTTGAAATGTGAGCTAACATTGTTAGCTTCTGCAAGTGTGAGACACTTACTGTACGCAGGGTTCTGTGTACGCCACATCGGCAGTGACATGGTTAAGTCAGGCGGAGGAAAACGTTGTGCAAGAGGCTGGAAACCAGAATCAAGTTTGGTAAAGTTTTACAGAGAGTTTGAGAAGCGAACCGTGGGACAAGATATCAAAGAATCAATGAATGCGCCCACTAGTTCCCATCAGACAAAGGAGATAATTGGGACAGAAAACTACTGCTTGACAAGCAATGAAATAGTTGCCGAGTTCTTTGCAGCCAACAGACCAAATCAGTTCGCCTTGTTCCAGTCGTTTCAAGTTTCGCATGCTCCAACATCTCCAAGTTCATATTACTTAGTAGGCTATAAAGATAAAATGCAGATTAATACACACCTAGGCTTTAACCCCTACGTACTAGTTAACTTCTGGAACAGCAGAGACACAAGGCTTAGGGTAATAACCTACATATATAAGAACCTTGGGTTATAGATATAGTAATAAAGACCTACCTAAACGAGACATATCTTATGGGTTAAGGCTAGTAGTTTTACAATCATTAATATACATAGGCCACTAAGCGAGCCTATAAACTATACAACTAGCCTCCTATTAGGATATTAACTACTAGAGAGAACCCTTATTGCTGGGGATCTTAATTCCCGCCACTCTTCTTGGGAGCCTACGTCCCCGAGCCGGAACCGGGGAGACGATGTTATAAAATAGGTTAAAACTTATGACCTTACGTTTGTTAGGGAAGTCGGGGCCTCTACCTATACTTATGGGCATACCCCAGACCTAACCTTCTTAAATATTCCTTTTACGGAGGCCTATAATAGCCCACACCTTTATCTAGGGGCTGACTACTAAGCTATTACGATGATTATACCTATAGGCAAGGCCTAGGAATAGAGACGTTAGATTAAGAACTTGTTAGTTTTAGAGTCAGCTCTACTACGGCTGGCTGACCTTATTAAGATAGGGGTCTAACTCTGAGCACCCTAGGGGATCTGCCGACCCTAGTAGAGATAGATACTCTGGCTTCATAACTAGTTAGCCTCTTCTATATAGCTATCTAAGCTGTAGGAAAGAGACGGACTAACTAGGCCAGAGGAGCCCCCTGGTGGATGGAAGAGTGCTTAGAAGCCTATATTGCTGCTATTTAGGCGAGACGCTAATAGGCCTAGGAACCTGGGCTGGTTATACCTCCCCCTTTCTTAGAGGAACAGAAGGTCTTCTTAATAACTGTTAGGAGGGTAAAGCGCGCTTACTGGACTGCTAAGATTGAAGAGGTTAAGTTAGACTAAGACCTATATAGAATCCTGGGCTGGCGGAAGTCCAGCCTAGTAGTTAAAGCTCTACCCACTGATAGTCCTATCCAGTGAACCTGGGACTGATCCATTTCGCTCAGCCAATGAAGGATTGTTATTATAAGGCATCAATATCACGCTACTAGAGAAACTGTCAATTGGAAGTAGCAAACATGTCTTCCACCTGAGCGGGTTTGTTTTGGTATGGGGACACTCGTTTGTTAATTGGAAATTTGTCAAAATTGGGTGGCAGAGTGCTTCAAGGGTCTCCACTATCCATCTTTTCGGAAGAAAGGAAATCGTGTTGATAGCATGCTACCTTGGTGGCGACGTTAGCGCGCAAGGATGGTCACTTTCCTGTCAATGCTGATGATGGGTATTACACAAACGTCATGCCGTTTCTCCATCAATCTTCCTCATGGCACTTCAGGTCTTGAACTGAATGATCAAATGGTACCATTGTGGGATAAGGGGCGTTTCTAGGAGCTCATTGACACGACTCGAGGAGATAATTTCACATGTTTCTTGGGCGCATGGCCCCGCCACAGGTCTGGTGGACCAGTCAGGTGTTCAGGCTTGATGACGCATCATTAGTTGCGGCAGGGATCAAGATTCGACAAGTCTGGATCCAAGCGCTCCAGACATGGATGGAATTCGGCTGGAATGGTCGAGTTTCTGCAGATCGACATCTCTTCCACGTGGAACGGAAATGCTCTTCTTTGAGAATCGTTCGTCTCGACCTAGATCGCATTGATGGATTTGCCCGGCGTTCTCCCAGAACTTCAATACCTATCTGAAGTCCGCGAGGGACCTGCGCAGTGTACATGATTTGTTCAGGTACCCAGCTTGCCAATGCTGAACTTCGATGTCCAAGGGTTTTGACTCTCGATGCTTGTCCAAGAAAAGTAGAAAGCGATGTCTGGCGGTTGCATTGAGCTCTGATAGCTGTCTGCGCATGCTGTCTGCGCCTGCTTGGCCATGTCAACGAAAGTCTTCTGTTCTGCCTGCTGGCTTCCAGGTGGTTCCTCGTCCGAAAAGTGAAAGCAACACGTGCGATGTCATTTTTGTCCGAAAGTATTATGCCAGCCGTTGGGTTATGAGCTTATAACATGAGACACGCGTAACTAGCACATTGAGAGTTTGGTGAGTGCTGAAATGTGAGAAGCCGCTTGTCCCGGAGGTCCAGAAGCAGTCACCCGGCACTGAAGAAATCCAGCCGAGGGAAATCGGTTACGCGTGCCCGCACCTCGGGACTCGGGGTCGGCGCCGAGCGTGTCCGATGATCGGGGGCTGACGTCTTTGGGTTTTGTTGGACTGTTTGGGTTGAATCAGGGGTTTCCAGAGAGCCTTTTTGTGGAGTTTCGTCGCGAACCAAGAGACTTAGTCTAACTGTATCTAGTAATAGCCGAGGCACTGCCCATCAAAGCATCATTGCTGCTCTCCGAGCCGGAACTCGAAACCTAGATTAGATTAGATCTGGACAGCGTACGCTGAGTTGTCGTCTCAAAAACAGTGTCCTACAAAATCCCATCTGCAACCTCCATTTCTCCAGACCAACTTCCCCAGTCCTTCAGTACCCCAGCTCCCACCCCCACACACAAAACCAAGATGCCGAATACCCCGGATTGGGTCAAGGCCCTCCAGCCGTCTGGCCCGCAGGGCACTGAACTCCTCGCTCAAGAGAGAGCAAAGTCCAATCTCAACGTCGACCAGCTCGCGACGTTCATGTTCACAAATGAGGCTCTTGAGCGCAGCGAGAGGATACTAAACATCTTGAAGAAGGAGCCTGTCTTCGACAAGACGCAGAACTACTTCCGCGGCCGAAATGCCCGGATCGAGGCTGCGCTGGCAAGAGGCAAGAGACTCTTCCAATTGACCAAGGAGCACAACTGGTCTGAGCAGGATTACACCGTTGCCAACGATCTGATTGCTGAGCCGACACCATACGGCCTCCACGCCAGCATGTTCCTCGTCACGCTTCGCGAGCAGGGCACTCCAGAGCAGCACGAGCTCTTCCTCAAGCCCGCCGAAAACTACGAGATCCTCGGATGCTACGCCCAGACTGAGCTTGGTCACGGCTCCAATGTTCGCGGCCTGGAGACCACGGCGACGTGGGACCCGTCCGACAAGAGCTTCGTTCTGCATTCGCCTCACCTTACGGCTTCCAAGTGGTGGATCGGTTCGTTGGGCAAGACGGCCACGCACGCCGTCGTCATGGCCCAGCTGATTCTGAATGGAAAGAAGATTGGCCCCCACCCCTTCGTCGTGCCAATCCGCGACAAGAAGACTCACGAGCCTCTCCCGAACGTACACGTCGGCGACATTGGTCCCAAGTTTGGTTACAACACCATGGATAACGGCTTCTTGCTGTTGAACAACGTCAAGATCCCGCACAACCACATGCTCGCTCGATTCTCGTCCATCGACCCGACCACGAGCAAGTACACCCGTCCAGCGAACCCCTCTTTGATCTACGGAACCCTCACATGGGTGCGATCAAACATTGTCCTGCAGTCTGGCTCGGTCCTGGCCAAGGGTGTGACCATTGCCACTCGCTACTGCGCTGTTCGCCGACAGTTTCAGGACCGCGATGCGCCGGCCGGCGAGCCTGGCGAAAACCAAGTGCTCAACTACACCATGGTGCAGATTCGTCTGCTCCCCCTCTTGGCAGCCACCTTTGCTCTCCATTTCACCGGACGCGGCATGATCAACCTTTACAACGAGAACCAGAAGCGCATGAAGGGCGACGTTGGCAAGCTCAGCGACGGAAACAGGAACCCCGGCCCTGAGGAGTTGAACCCCGGCACCGACCTCCTCGCCGATCTTCACGCCACCTCCTGCGCCCTCAAGGCCTACGGCTCGACCGTTGCAGGCGAGGGTCTCGAGGTTTGCCGCCGTGCTTGCGGAGGTCACGGCTACTCCTCCTTCAGCGGTATCGGTTCATGGTATGCCGACTACCTGCCGACCTTGACGTGGGAGGGCGACAACTACATGCTCACCCAGCAAGTGTCGCGCTACCTGTTGAAGTCTGCTCGCTCTGTCCTCAAGGGCAAGGCCGGCAACAACGACACCACTCGAATCCTCTCCGAGTTCCTCCGCCGCCGTGACATTGGCGCTGCCTTTGACGTGCTCGGCTCCGACGAGGACCTCGTGGCCGCGTTTGCCTGGCGTGTGTCTTTCCTCACCTTTGAGGCCCTCCGCCACCGAGACGAGGACAAGCAGTCTTGGAACAGCCTGCTCGTCGACTTTTGGCGCCTCAGCACCGCCCACGCCCAGTACATGGTTGTCAAGAACTTCCACCAGGCCCTCAACGACAAGGCCACCACCGAGCAGCTCGACAAGGACACTGTCGGTCTCCTGCACAAGCTGTTCAGGCTATATGCCCTGAACACCCTCGAGCAGGAGGCTAGCGAGTTCTACAGCTCCGCGGCCGTCACCGTTCGCCAGATTACGCTGGCGAGGACCAAGGCTGTGATGACCCTCTTGGAGGAGATCCGACCCCACGCCGTCCGCCTGGTCGACGCCTGGAAGTTTGACGACTGGGTGCTGGACAGCAGTCTGGGTCGCTACGACGGCAAGGTGTACGAGGACATGTTCAAGCGCGCCAGCGAGGACAACCCGCTCAACAGCGTCGTTTTTGACCCTTACCCCAACAGCAAAGTGCTGTTCAAGAAGGATGAGAGAAAGGACCTGAGGAGCAAGTTGTAAATGATCTCACTAGACTGGAGAGACTATAGATGCTATACGGGATGGATCATTGTTTTTGACTGTAGAATTACTAGCGCAATGCAGATAGAATATTAAAGAAAGTTCCTGTTACTGCTTGTAACTACTTTGTCCAAGGGACTTGACTCTCATGGGGTCTTTATCGCAAACCTACAGCGGCACCCTGGCCTGAGTTAAGATGAGCCGGCGGGGCCGGACCTTCAGGCCGAAGCCGTCGTAATTTTCGTACTTTCGGAGCACCCGCTCAGTCGAGGACTCCACATCTTTTCGGCTTCTCCGATCGAATCAGTCATTTCATAGTATTTCCACCCAATGTCCGTTGACTATGTTATTGTGCCTAAAGACATTACTTTCTTATCATGAGTCGGGCTGGTTCGCCAGAAGGGGCTTGCATTGCCCGAGTAGAGCTGCCCGTAACAATCTTTTACAGTTTCTTCCATGGCTCTAATCTAAACGAGGCATAACTTACATGTAGCAAGCAACCGATGTCCGTAGAATGCTGTTAGAGATGTGTTCAATACTGTCAGCACCGCCGGGTCCGTGTTTGCCACGACACTTAATGATGCCTTCGTTGTGATCTCACAGCATCACTCCAAACGCCTTTTTCTCATAAAGATGGCATTGCCTCACCCCCTCTGCAGCACTTTTGACGCATTCACATGACTGATTCCAACTCGCCCATAGAAAGGACCCAGTCAAAGTTGGCCTACAGATTGTTTCCCAACAGTAAGCACATCAAATTCCTCTCCAGTCTCGACTCCCCTAATAATAGTTACCAGTGCAAATCTCAATTCTGCTCGCTCTCCTCCCAGGTCTAGCCACGGCTGCCCATCATGGCACTCCCCGGAAAATGACATATATTGGAGGCTGTATTGTTTCCAACAACGGAACTGGGTGGTCTAATTGCACGATGCCATACATTGAAGCGCGGCTCAAGTCGCAATGCGACAACCTTGGCGGATCCACGTTACGCAACATGAATTCCACCACATCACACTTTGACTTCGTTTGCGAATGCGTGCATGGGAACACCAAAGACTTTGTATACGACGACAAAATTTTCAATGCGACCGCAACGGTCGGGAAGAAATGTAGAAAAAGATAGGCTTCTATCGATTGTGCGGCATTGGAATATGTTGATAATGTCAAACTCTTAGAGTCTCGACGGTTTTCTTGCTGGTAGAATGGAAAAAATTAATCTAATGCGGAGATCTACAACTGTCAGCTTGGCCTCGTGCAGCATTGCCAAGTTCCTCATCAGTTCAAGGTTCTTTGCTAATACTCGCAGCAGCTTACCGCCGCAAATCAGGGGGCAGCGGCTTCGTTGGAGACCCTTCTATAGCTTTCTTGAGTTTGAATCTTCGTCAAATTTCAAATCTTTTCAGCCAAGGCTTTTGAGGGGCGTAAAAATGTCAGTGTACGAGGGAAGAGGATCAGCCCGACTTACATGGATCGTATGAGCCTCACAATATGTCATTCGTTCACCATCCACCCAGTCATCATTGGCCAATAACACTTCAAGATTCACTCTACCCCGCAGCCTCTGACGGGCACTCGCCTGATGGCTGCCTGGCTTGAGTTCCCATTCGCCGCTTGCGATAGAATTGAGACAATTCTGATGACATGACAACTCAGCCATCAGTATGCAGGAAATACCGTCTATCCAACTGCACCGCACGGAAACCAACCGTTTAAAGGACTGCGCTTTCTGTTCGGATAGCAGGAAAACCACCCCTAATCCCCGTCTCTGCCGTGGCTGCCAGCCTTGGAATGACTTCTTCCATGTTGTCTTCTGCTACTACGCTTCACGGGAGGAGGTCGACGTCTCAGCTTTCGATCCCGACTATGGCGAATCGCGGTCTGCTTTCTACGACTTTCAAGCTCTGACCTTTCAGACGCTTAGAAGCGCCACCGATCACCCGGAGTGCATGATATGCCAACTCATCAGCTCGCAGTTGAGCATCATAGCTGCTGGCAACCATGATTTAAAATTCGCAATTTGTGGGCTGTTTCCCAGTCGAAGGACAGATCCGAGCTATCGGACCGTCAGATCCGATACGGGCCGTACGGGATCCTTCATCGAGAGATGCGCCTTGGCTATTTGCATTTTAGGACTCGCACAATCCGCGGGCAAACCAACCCAAGGCTATCACCCCGTGGTTTTGGAGATTTTGCTACACTATGGAGCCGTAGACGGGAGCCAACTCGAGTCAGCAGAGCTCTGGGATCGACGATACATTAACGTCAGCCTTCTTCGTAACTGGTTGGAAGGCTGTCATGCCTACCACGGACCCAAATGTAACGAACCATTGACGGAATCAAAGCTTCCTACAGAGTTTCGCGTCATCGACACAAAGCGCAGGCGAATCATTCAACCAAAGACTCAGATTCCGTTTGCGGCACTGAGTTATACGTGGCGGCTTGCAACTGCTTCAGCAGAACGAGACCTTCATTTGACTCTGTCGAATGTAAACGAGTTGAAACACACAGACGCTCTCTCGCCGGATGTATTGCCTGAGGTTGTGGTGGATGCCATGCACTTATGCCGGAATATCAGACAGCGGTACCTCTGGGTCGATCGTCTATGCATCTTGCAGGACGACGAAGATCTCAAAATGATACAGATCAACGCCATGAACGATATTTATCAGCTTGCTGACTTCACCATTGTTGCAGCTGCGAATGGTGTTGGCGCTGGTTTGCCTGGACTGACGACACGGCCAAACATCACCAGCCATAGGAATCATTGCTGGCAGTTCATCAAGCATGTACCGAAAAGAGTCGATGGCACCGGCTCAGAAGATCATGCGTCCATGGAGCATGCCATTGTTGGTATTGCGCCTCTGAGCGAGAACCAGGTCATCAGCTCTAGCGAGTGGAACTCGAGGGCGTGGACCTTTCAGGAGAAGCTCTTATCCCGGCGACACATCTTCTTTAGCAACGGGCACGTCTACTTCAGCTGCTTCCACGAGGGATCTGAGCTTCACAGATACCCGGACATCTTGCATTACCGACCATTCAAGGAGTCAAAAACTGTTGGAACCAAGAAAGAGCAAGATTTCGGCGGAAGAGGTTTCGAAAAGGGTCTACGATCTGACGAGTACAGCAACGATGGCGTACTCGGGTTTTATCCGCTTTTGGTGGACCAGTACACCAAGCGCACACTCGGTCGTCGGGAAGACGTGTTGAGCGCCTTTGCTGGAGTTGGCAATGTCGTCGCTGCCCGAGCCAAAACGCAGATGCTGCTGGGTCTTCCTGAGAGATACTTGGCGCACAGTCTCCTGTGGTCCTTTTGTTCTCCCTTGGGTATCACTTACCGCACGGCTGAAGGGCTGAGGCTTCCATCCTGGACGTGGACTACGAGACAAGGTTCCGTCATCTACCAACGCTCTCTCGGAGGTAGAATTGACGGCGACTGGTTAGACCCGATGTACCAGATTCACTTTGGGCACCTAGTCTACTTCTGCTACTGCGATCCTTTTTCCAGTGGACCCTCAAGAATCAGCAGTATTTACGAAGGCAAAGTATGGTTTCCGGAAGATCGAATCGACGATTCTTTGCATCAAGAAGACTTCCAGCGAGATCTTGAAGCCTTCTTTAATCCAAAAGAAGAGTCTATCCGAGTACCAGGCTACAAGGATCCTCGGCAACAGTCATCATGGAGCTCCGTGATTGAAATGTGGAAACGGTCTCCGCATAACCCCATGGAAGCTCGCCATCACATTAACATTGACAGCATCACGAGAGCCAGAGCAGAAGAACACCCTCAATGCCTCGTTTTCAACACAACGGTTGCCAGACTTCGTATAGGCTCCCATCTCCGCGGTAATACCGACGGCATTCAACTTGCTCTTTATGACAATGATGGCACGCAAATTGGGACTACCGCGCCCATGCACAGAGACTGGGCTATGAAATGCCTGAGCATAGGGACGAGTCTTTACATGGTGGTCGTCGCCGCGGGTCTCAAGTTCCCGGGGACCTGGGAGCACAATCCCATGTTTGCGGAAAGCCAGGGATATGGGTTGTACGTGTTGATGACATCTCGTACGAGCGGACTTTACTCTCGTCTCGGGATCGGTTTCGTTTCCTTGGATGGATGGACCTCTGTTGAGCCCAGCTGGGAACCGGTTGTTTTGATATAGTACGACAAATAGATCTCAAAAAATAGAGTCTCTTCAGCTTTTCGGCCGTGTTACATAAGGAACAAAAAGATAGCGGGGAAGCTGGGATTGTATTTATCCCCATCGGCCCCGACGGTGTGAACTATTTGAGGCCACGAAATATCTCAACATACCAATAAGCAGCTGCCAGTTATCGTGGCAGACTCTCATTGTACATATTCACCTATGCTTTAGTTAGTAAAGGCTTTCTCTTTGAGTTCGCATTATGTCTTTCGGTTTAAAATCAACATTAGGCCGAGTGGGAATATAAAAGCTAATGACTAGACAACAACATACCATTCTCGGTGTTGGAAATATAACTGCATTTCAAAAACAACTCTTCAAATTCACTTTACATTTCATTATCGTTGCAAGACAATGAGGGCAATGTTTTTTATTCGTGGCAAAGCTTACGAATTCTGAGAACTTTTACCCATTCAAACCATGCGTGTACCTTCAGGCCATGGCTTACTTGGTAGCCAAGTCGCTGATCAGGAACGTTTGCTCCGGTGGTCGCAGCCATCGGCGGGTGCATGCGCCCTTCCCGGCGAAGTGACGTCAATAGCTCCCCACCATATCACTCTAACACAAGCTCCCGTCGAGCTCCCCAAGCTCCCATCCCTTCTTCATAGCTCAAACTAACTACAACGTCTTTTTTCCAAGGTGCCCGACCTTCAGTATTTCAACAGTAATTCTTTCTAATTCATCATTCTTAAGGATACTCCTTCTCCAGAGGCCATCGCCAGAAGGGTATCCAAGAAAGACCTTGGCCCTAGGCCCTAGGCTCGTAAACCGCCACCATGCAGATCCGAAGCATCTCTATTTCGTCCTCGATTCTCGCAGCCATATCAGGCGACTCGAACAAGCCCGACAAACCGAGTCTCAAAAAGCGCATCTTTCGCGTTCTCGCCTCTTTCCTCTCCGTCTTCCACCTTCCCCTCGCCCGATACCGCGCCGCAGACTTCCTCGAGCTTCGACACAATGTCTGGCACCTCGACGAGGACGAGTACACAAACTCCTTCCACCTCGCAAAGAAGGCTGCCAAGGGCAAGGGCCGCGAATCCGATCTAAAGCCCGTCGGCGATCTAGGGTACAGCGGCTCGACCTTTTTCACGACGGCCGATGGCAAGTTTCTTATCAAGTCGCTGCCCCGCCGATTCGAGCACGAATTCTTCACGCATGACTTGTTCGACGCGTACGTCGCGCACATGAAGAGACATCCCCACAGCTTACTGGTACGCATCACCGATATGGCGTATACCGCGAAAGCGACGATTGGCGGGATCCTCGGCATGGCGCCAACGCACCACATAATCATGGAGAACCTGATGTACGGCAAGAAGGAGGAGGAAACCGATCACCGAAGGAACCAGTGGGAGACGTACGACCTCAAGCCGAACGATTACTTCTTCCCCGAGCGGGACATTGCCAACGGGAATCTGGCGCCAGACAGCGTCAAGGAGAGGTTGATTGACGAGTTTGAAGACAAGGTCCGCGTCACACCCGTCCAGAAGAAGGAGCTGCTCGATCTCCTCGAAGCCGACACGCAACTCCTCGCCGACAACAACGCCGTCGACTACTCCCTCTTCATGGTGCGCTTCCCCGGCCCCAACGTGCTCGATGAAGCCCGCGACGTTCCCGTCATCCAGTCGGACGCCCACCCGTGGCGCACTGGCCTGACGGACGCCGATGGCAACTGGACCTACCGCATGATCGTCCTTGACTTTTTCTGGGCCAAGCACAAGTTCCGTGCCAAGGCCATGACGGGACTCGTCAAGTCGTACAACGTGTTTGCTGGACACGGCCCCATGAGCATTACTGCTAACCCTGTCGAGTACCGTGAGAGGTTTCTCAACATGATTCGGGATTTCGTCATTGAGGTGTGAGACGGTCAGTCGATGGGTGTTATGTGTTGAGGTTTCTCTTGGTAATTGGCTTGTCGGAGCGCGGCGTTGAGCTGGCATGTATACCCCTTTTTCCTCTCATAGCGTCAGTTTTCCCTTTCAAGATGGCAGAATGAAAGATGCACTTTTCGTTGCCTATGACTCTGCTTACGCGTGTAGTGACGTTGTCTAATATCATAAAGGCAATATATCCAGATATTAGCTATTCCACAGTGTCGCAAAAACGACACCGTTGATTGTGGGCAGCAATTAGCGCTATATATGTCCTACGACATCAAGTTTCAATGTTCTCATCACATGTTGCCCTGTCTGCACCCATGTCACCAAACCTATCATCGTTGGCCAACACACCTATTCCGAGTCAATTGCTCTTATGAAGAGACCTGATTGTGCTATAGAAGTGTAAAAATGGAGGTCCTCGATTCGAGGGACCTTTTAGCCGATCAAACGGTATTCCCTATTCAAGTGAGGTAATGCTTGGTCACCTTTCTTTCTGCATCTCGAACTACTTGTAATATTTCCTCAATTGGCTTTCTTCAGTGATAATCCAATTTAGTTTATCCATTCCACATCTGTGGCGTGAGCTCTTCCATGTAATAGACCCTGAACTATTACACACACCTTGTTTTCCTCATCCCAGTAGTCTTGCTGGGCTTGCTCACCACCATCCTCGTTGATGCTGTGATGACCGGGGTCTTTGTAGAAGGTTTATCCGAAGGAATCATCTACACTCGGCTCCTTCAGAAAATACATTTTCTGGTTATATTGAAGAGCCCCAGTGCTCTCATGGCTACCCCTGCCTTATTGTCATCGTTCACGTCTTGTTTGCCGCTTTGAACCTCGTCTTAATAGGAATTCTGCCCTGACCAAGTTCATCTGTGGCATTTCGATGCTGCTGTCTACTGAGCTCTTTGAGGATCTCTTTCAGCTTTGGCTGCACTCAGCTGTTCGATTCAAAAGCCTAGCACCGTCTATCACAGAATTAAATCTCTCCCCTTGCTGAAATGTCTGGTCAGTCTGGTTCCTATCGGGTCTGCTTCCTGTTCAGTGTCTTTCGTCCGGTCCCCATCCAATCTCCTCTGTCTAGTTTCCGTCTAATTCCTGTGATCTTTCTGATCCACTCCGTCTGGTCTTGTGCGGTCCCCGTCCGGTCTTCACTGCTAAATTTCTGTCTGGTCCATGCCGTCCTGTCTCAGGCTTCCCTGCCTAGTCTTCTCGATGTGGTCTTCCTGTCTGCTTTTCTCCCTTTAGGTAGTCTTCCGTGTCTATCTTAGTCCCCGTTCCCACCCCCTGCTCCCATGATTATAAAATGGCCAAATCTATCCTCAATTCAAACTTCTTCTCCCGCTCACACAGAAACTTCCTCATCACTTCCTCTCTCTCCCTCCTCCTTCCCGCCTTGGCACTCATGAAAAGCTCTCGCCCTCTCCAGAGTCTGGAGACTGGAGAGAATCTATAAAGGAAGGAACTTTTTTTTTCCTTTCTTCCTTTTCCCATACTCTCCCTCCCACACTACAAAATCGTCACCACCTCCCCCTTCTCACTTTTTACTCCTCAATAGCTCCTCACCTTTTTCTGGAGTCCGGAGAGCATAAATAAAAGACAGCACTTCTTCCTCTCCCCCGTTCTTCCACTCTTCATCCTCCCACCACCACAATATCCCCACGAATCAGGAACTTCACCTCCTCCCTGACCTCTTTCTTCACATTTAACGCTGATAAATCAGTATCGAGGAACACAATCTCAGGGTCTCGCCCAGACCGAGTCACGAAGTGGATATATATCTTGATTGAGCTTTCGTCTAGGAAGACTACGCCTGAGGTAAGGTACCTAGGCAAGAACCACCCTCATCGTCTAGAAATCACGTTTCAACATCATCATTAACACATCTTGGCTTAGCCAAGCATCCTACTCGAAGCACTTCACTTTCTTTCCTCGATTCTTTCCTCGACTAAGCCTCAACCTGAGTCTGACCTTCTCTCTCAGTCCGCCTTCCATACCCAGCTGTTCCTGTTGCCCTAGCATCTCAGGTACAACTTCGACAACTTCCACGTGATGAGACTTGGCTTGCAAAAATCTTCTACAGCAAGCCCAAGCAAGAAGATTGTTAAATAATCAATACCAGACCCTCCAGCTCAATCGCAAGGTTGACCTCTACATTTTCTGCTCCGTCCACGGGTAGAAGCAACATCCAATTCAAGGACAACTTTGCTGGTCGCTCTTCTATACGACACTTTGCTAGTCCCCTAGCTTTTTCAATTCAACATACCTGGGTCAGGTATTATCTAACAGACACAGCCAGGTAAGTCAAAGTCCTTCAATTCGAACTCAAAGTCCATTGCGTCCCTTCAATGTTTTAGCCCTGCCTAAAGGTTCTGCTGCTGCTTGCTCTACCCTGTGTGGTTGGCCCGAGCCTACCTTAAGTACTTCCACAATTCTCCTCCGCGCCTACCTCCTCTACTCAGTCTTCCAGATGCTCCCTTCCTTGAACCTGTGCCATCTTCCACCTGCCCTGCGGGCCGCTGGCGCCTTTCCCGGGGTGGGCCGGACGTGGGGTACAAAAGCTCTCGCCTTCATCCTGCGCCTCCTACTTTCCTTTTCACCTAATCAGCATCAACACTCGCGATGACCCAGCCTTGACAGGCTGGTAGAGCAAGTGGTAGTTTCAAGCGTTGTTTCTGATCGATTCGCTGGAAGAGTCGAAATCCAGTACTATCTTTGCTCCCACCCCTTGTTATTTTCCTTTCTCGCCTCTCCTTCGGCCTCGCCTGGGGAAGCATCGTCAGTTCACTCATTTAACTTCTCTCGTTTATAGTGTTTTCAATCGCAGAGCTGCAAGTCCCGTGAACAATCTCGAAAGCTCTTCTCGATCTCCTCCATCTGCAGCAGGACGCAGTAACGGCAAGATGGTGGACACACTCGACCCCCGCTTCCTCGGTCCCGTTATCGAACAGGAGCAGGATGACGATGGCAGGTCGACTGTTTACGCGTCGACTGACAATGGCTGGACTAATGATGGCCAAAGCGACGCCGGCAATCCGCCCGCCCCTGCTCCGCCAACTTTTCCCCAGTCAGACTCGACGAAACTCATTGATTTCGACGACTCTGAGGGTGGCCAAGCTGCTGTCGCTGACAACAATTCCATCCAGACGAGTCCCGATGTCATCGAGCAAGGCTTCGCCAAAGAGGTTGCTACGATCTCGTCGAGCGGGAATACACCTCCGATCAAGCCTTTTCAGTCAGGTCGCAAGGTCCTAGACCCTTCGTCAGCCGAGTTCACTCCCAGCAGCTCGGCCCCAGACGACTTGCCGTCGATTCACTCTGTCTCGTCGTACTGCGATGCTCGGCAGAGCCAAGAACCCAGATACGATCTTGTCACCACTCTCAAGTCTCGTCTCAAGCAGCTCGAGATCGACCACGAGACTCTCAAACGTGAGAACGATAATCTCGACATGGTCAACGAAACGCTCAAACACCAGTCGAACTTGGACGAGTCTACAATCACAAAGTTGAAGGATCGTATCACCGAGGCCGAGCTTCTCAGACGCAGGGCGCAGACTTACTCTGTCGAACTCAATGAGCGATGCAAACAGGGTCAAGGAGCCTTGAGCCAGCTTCAAGAAGAATTCGAACATAGTCAAATCCAACTTGAAGAGTACAAGAACAAGTATGCCGGGGCTGTTGCAAGCAATGGACCTCTCCATTCCCAAATGCAGGGCATGCAGAATTGTCTGCTCAATGCTGTTGAGCGAGCCAAAATGTACGAGGCCTTCATGCGCAACTTTCTTGCTGATCATCCCGAGTTTACAGCAGCTTTTGCCATCATCGGCGTTTCCCCTGATGGCGTTGGAAACATGAACGCGAGTACCCCAACGCCCCCCGATGACGAGCCTCTGATCTCTTTTGAGGACTCTTCACCTACACTTTCCAAGCCTCAGAGTATTCGTCCTAATTTTTCGGCCGAGGACCGGCAGCCTAGTTCTCTGAGTCCGCCCCTAGACAACCGAAGCATTGAGACGGCAGATTCCCAGCACACTCAGGTCCACAAAGCGACTGGTCTAGACTGGAGTGAAGACAGCGATAACATATGGGACTCTCCATGCCAGAGAGAAATTGCGCTGCAGATACATCAGCAAGTCATCGGAAGTCGTCACCCTTTAAAGGTGCCGGGTATGTTGAAATACGGACTTCGGTATATCCGAATCGAAACTGGTCAGAAGCTAACTGCCAACTACGGCGTACCAGATGTGGCCTCCCGGACTGTCATCATGACTGGACTTCCTGACGATGTCCATGTCCAGCGAGTCCTTGAGCACATTCGGGGTGGTCGGATTCTCAAAGCTCAGACAGCTCCGATGGGAACTGGCGATAACCGCTTCAACCATGCCTACATCGAGTTCATCTCCCCGGAGGATGCCATAGCGTTTTACCGCTGCAGCCTCAATCGCGAATTCGGATTCGCCACGGCGAGTGACAGCTCGGTCCGAGTCCGCATCAGCATTCCCACCACGGACTCGTTCCCTCTGAATACTTCAATCCTGACCATGATTCGGGAGGGATCTACACGTTGTCTCTCCGTTACTGGATTCCCCGTCATGCACCTGCATGCAGTTCTCAACAAAGCTGGATTGGCCTACACTTTCGCCGAAATCATTACGCACTTTGTCTACTCTGATGATGGAAGCTTTCAGATCTCGTTTTCCAACATCGAGTCAGCTGTACTTGTCCGTAAGTGCATCATTGGATCCCCTCTCTACACCGGTTCACCCGATGGACGCGAAGTGGCCTTTTGTCCGGACCCATGCGAAGCCTCTCTTGAGAGCCTCCCCCAAGTTGCGTTCTTACCGACAGACGCATCTTTTAATGTCGACATCCTCTCTGCTGAGAATGCTCGTGACTTCCAAACTAAGGACAACGCCGGGGCCGAGGATCAGCGCTATCAAGAGGAACGGCTTGCCAATGCCCATTCGGATGATCCAGAGGAAAAGGCAGATATCGAAGCCTTGCGAGAGAGGCAGAAGCCCATTGTTTGGGAAAAGGGAGCGAACTGGGACGAAGCCATCGAGTACATGGCTCTCGATCCTGATCAAGGAAAAGAGGTTCGTCACCGCAGAGATCCCGAGTCGGGTGCTTTCCAAATGATGTATTATGGTGGTTGGGCCTACACCACCGAACAGTCGCAAAAGGAATGGCTGCACTATAACATCGACAGCCCAAATGCTTACACGCAAAAGACTGCAGATCTCATTTATGCGAGCACTGGCTGGATCGACCAGCGAAAGGTGAATGCCTATCTCCGAAGCAAGGAGGCCCGCAAGAGGCACAAACAGCAAGACAATGATGCTAATCAAGAAGTCAATAGATCGTCGTTGACGACGGTGGAATCTTCGGAGACGCAGACCAGTCTTTGAATCAGACATCGGACGAGCCTCGAGAGGAGTTGGTCGCTCACCGCCCCGCCTCGTCGAGGCCTTCGCTCTCGGAGCTCATTGATATGGGGAGCTCAGTTATATGCATGAATCCATCGGTTCGTGTCCCTGCCGGTGCTCATCACAACCACATTGAAAGCAACTCTGGATTGCGATTTCCGTCTCTTTTGGATCAATCGAACACAGACAACAATGTATCGACTCCGCCCTTGGCCTTCAATCAGCGCCCTCTGACGAATCAAACTGCTCTTTCGTCCGCCGCGCAGTCAGCCATGAGCGAATGCTTTGATGGAACTTTACACGGAATCACGAAGGCAGGCTTCAATGAGCTGGCAGCCCGGATCGCCCAAGACAAGCGCGAGCCAAACAAAAAGAAGCCTTCCAACGATCAAGGCCCCTTTTAGTAGAGGAATGTCGGCAGGGAAGCGGATGGATAGGAGTGGGCACGATTGACGGGGAGAACTCGGTCGGGGATCTTGCGATTACGCGTCGTGACGATGAATTCATTGCCATCTTTGTGAATGCGTCTATTTGGCTCTGTTTGGCGAGTGCAGAGCGATGGATTGAAGATTCAGCGGAGAGATTGGTTGGAGAATGGTTCACAGTTAGCGCGATACAGCATAATTTCGTTGATTTGACTTCAAGGCCCCGAGTGAGATAGTGATGTCTCTCATGTCTTTAGGTTTCACTCGACAGCGATTGTGTACATTCTGACCAACGGTGGACGCGCAAGTCACCTGCGAAGATGATATTGTGATCATTTCTATTTTTCCCATTTGTGGCTATCTGCTCAACGTGAACACAACCCCATCGTGGCGCTTTCTCAGTCTCACGGTTGGATTCACGCGTGACAGAGAATTGGTATCTTGGTGATAATTGCATCGGGCCCACGCGTAGAGGCCCGCTTGCTAGAGGTACTCAAACAGTATTGAATAGCAGCAAAAGTGGCCACGCGAGGTCTCGCGTCATGGACCCAAATCTCAGGGACATCCACCTCATCTAGAAAACGTCGGGTTAAAGGGCAGTCCGGGCTCGTCCGTAACGAGCAGCATCTCATCCCCCTGATCATCGTCACCGTTCTCCGCATCGCCACCCTCCACAACAATCTCATCGCCCTCCTCGGCCTGTGCCCCGTTGTCGTCATCGTCATCGTCATCGTTACCGTCGTCGCCCTCGCCGCCTTCGCCATCCTCAAACGCTTGCGAAACGGACGAGTACTGTCGTGGTATGAGGTATTTGTCCATGGCGCCAACCTGCGGGTTCTTTGGGTGGTAGCCGTTCTGTATGTAAAAGTTTTTGATTACGTGCTGGGGGATGTTGGACTCGGGCTCCCATGTCGGGTTCATTGACGAGGGCCAGTTGCCCTTCCAGCGGACTCGAAAGAAGCGTGTGGTTTTCTTGCCGTGGGAGCGGGGGGAGACGCGGTCTTCTACGGCTTCGATGCGGAGGACCTCATAGACTTGCTCGTCTTCTTCGTCGGAAGCTTCTGTTGAGAGCTTGCCGCCTGTTTTTCGCGCGGTGTTGGGTTTGGCGGCGGGTTTGGATCGAACGGCTGCGCGTTTGCTGCCCGCTGTTGTGGCGGGGGGTGCTGAGAAGATTTGGGCCAAGGCTGCTTGTTGTGGTTCTCTTGATTTCGGGGTGGTTTTGGGTTTTGGGATTGATATCGGGTTGGTGAAGGAGGGTTGTTCTATTGATTGGACCGGCTGCGTGGGCGTCAGGTGGGAGTAGGCGGCCTTTGAGGCCGCGAGGGAGACCGTCCATGGGGTCGAGTTGTGGATTAGAGGCGTGAAGCCCGTTCTTGGTGTCGGAGTGTGAAGAAGCATCCCCGTACCGTTGCGTGGTGGGTTCAACGCCGGGGGCGCCGTGGCCGGCAGTGGTAACTTCCCGGCTTTGGGTGTAGGTGTTTGCACTTTTGGCGAGGACGAGTGCTGGGGCGTTGAAGGGGGGTCTCGTATCGAGAGGAGGGACCGCTTCGGCGGTTGTAGCGTCTTGATCCGCGGTGCCGTGGGTGTGGATGTGTGGTTCGCAGAGGCCGGGGGTATCGGCGGGAAGATGGTTTTCTCCCGCAGCCGGGTACTCTGAGAAAAAGACGCTTGCGGCGGTGGTAACGGCGGAAGTGCTGGCGAGCTCGTGGCTCCTCTGGACGAGTCGAAGGGCGTGCTCCGGCTGCTGTCCGTCTCGATGCCCGGCATCAACCGCGAGAGCGTCTGTCTCGGCGACCTCGTTCTCTGCTTTTTGTTGGGGGGTTCTAGGCCCGCCGGCAGACTGCTCTGTTCGCCAGAGTCGTACGAATCCTCCGTCAGCAGTAAGGGTTCCTCCCCATTCAGTTGCCGGAAGATGGCTTCGTCCTCGTCCGCTTCCTCCATCTCGAGGTCCCCTTCCATATCCAGTTCCTCAAAATCGTCCGCCAAGACACCCTTGGACGGCGTGGAAAGCGAAGGCGCATTCTTCCTCGGCCGACCTCGTTTCCTCTTCTCTCCGCCCGCGGCGGCGGGTGGTGGTGTTCTCAACTCCTCGGCCGCCCTCTGCTTCTTCCTCTTCTTCCTACCGCTCTTTGTCCCCTTGCTGGCCTTGTCGCCAAGCAGCACGATACCCTTCTCCCGCGCCTCAGCCTCCTCGACGGCGCGCACGTTCTCCGCCTGCTCTAGCTTGCGTTCCTCCTCGTCCTGCTCTTCGGCGCGCGCGGCGCACCACTCCTCGTACGCCATGGGCGAGACGTAGTCGCATATCCGCTCGGCATCGACCACGAGCCTCGCGGCCGGCAGGTCCGTCCATCCCACCACGTACTTCAGACGCTTCTTACCGTCCTCAGAGAGCGCGGGCGGGACGAAGAACTCGTCGCGGATGTAGGCCGTTGTGTCGCGGAGGGGCACGAAGGTTATCGGGGGCAGGCGGGGGCCGGTGCCGGGTTTGTAGCGGCGGTAGGTCGGTATATCTTCAAACACCACGGCGAGCCGGCGCGGTTCTGGTTCTCTTGGCGGCTTCCGGGTCGCGATTGAGGACGTGGCGGTGCCGCCGCCGCTACCGGGTAGGGTGGGGGGTTTCCCGAACCAGATGAGTTTCGAAGGCCGCGACATGGCTTCTTTCTCCTCGCGGAGGGAGTCACCATGCCACGCCTGATAGGAACGAGGCGGATTTATGCCACCGCGGTGCGGTCGTGGAAGGGAGGAAGGTTGTTCGCAGACGTCGTGTGTCGTAAGTCGAGGGGTCTATTGTCTGGGGATTAGCGTTCGTGTTCTTCTCGTGTCCGTGTCGCGTGCCCGCTAGGTCAAACCGATAATAACAGCCCGTTTGAACTCGACAGCACTGCGGGCTACAGACGTCGAAGAAAAAGAAAAAGACAGAGAGGAATTAGACGATGTCCCTCACACCATGGAAATTCGCACCTGATTTTTTGGGAGTGGTCTCCCCGATATGGGTGCTTTCTTCGGTGGGCGCGGTAATGCTTGAGGTGGGAAGAGGAAACTTAATTGCCTTAATTCTTTAGTTAGCGGTCTTCTCTACCAGCACAGCCACTACAAGTGTCAAAGCTGAGCAGACTGTATTCGATTTAAATCAGTGTATTACAAAAATTCATTAATTGGCTGTGTTCTTATTAACTTAGTTTGAAGTAAAGTTTGTAATTTGAAGTTTCTTATTTATTTATTTAAATGTGAAGCTATTGTTGAAGAAAATTATGTCTCTAAAACCCAAATTTGTAGTTATTCTTAAATAAAAAAAAAAAGCTGTAAATCTTGACCTACCATGGATCTTTCCTTCCATTGATCAGTCTCCGTATCCGATAAGCCCATTGCAGCAAATTGGTGCCGTTGGGATGATCTGGGGAAGCAGGGGCTGCAGGGGGGTCCGTGCAGAAGCTGCGGCTGGGCGTTTAGCGGCGCAGTCCAGCGTGAGGCGTTAAATCTTTGGTGGGCCGAGCTTGACCTCATCGCAAGGAGCACAAGCTCCATCCATCCCAGCTTCAGCAGTGGCCGTTTTCCATTTCTTTTCTCGCCAACCAGCCAAACCACAACAAAGGTCTCCCCTGCACCGCACACCGCAACGTCGATGCCCACGACTCACCAACACCATTAATAGCTATCGCAAAAGTCTCGCCACCATGCTGACGCCCACGAGCACCTTCGCCCTCCGCCTCGCCGGCCACGGCGCCGCCCGCGCATCGATTGCCTCTTCCATCGCCCGCACCACCGCATGCCCGTACTCGACCGCCTCCATGAAGCAGCACCAGGCCTCCGCCCGCCCAATCGGCCTCGCCTCGACGGGAGGCCCCATCGCGCGAACCAGCGCCGCCTTCGCCGCGTCTCCTTGGTCCTCGATCGTCGCCCGTGTCGTCCGCCAACCCTGCTCACAGCGCTGCAACGCTACCGCCGCCGCCGCCGCCGCCACCGCGGCGCAACAAAAGTCCGCCCCTGCGCCGGGGGATAGGCTGGACTGGGAGACGTTCTTCCAGCTGCGCAAGTCCCGCAGAAGGTGGCAGCTCGGCTTCAGCGTGATTTCCGGGCTGGGATCCTTCGTTGGTGGAGCTGGCATTCTGGCTACGGGCATTGCGGACCCGCTGGTGACACAGATTCCTCTGGATCCCTTTATCACGATGGGTCTTATGACGATGGGCTTCGGCGCTCTGGGATGGCTTATTGGACCCAGTGTTGGTTCTTTGGTGTTCTACACGCTGAACAAGAGGTGGAAGACCCAGATGACGGTGGTAAGTGACGCCTGCTGGATTCCAGGAGAGAGGCAAGTGCTAATTTGAATGTCTGCTGCAGAAGGAAAAGGAATTCTTCGCCCGCATCAAGAAAAACCGTGTTGACCCCTCCGTCTCCTCTGTTGGTAACCCTGGTAAGTAAACGTCCCAGAAACGGTTGAAACCACCAATGTGCTTATCTCTAGTAGTCCCCGACTTCTACGGCGAGAAAATCTCAAGCGTCAAGGGCTACCGCCAATGGCTCAAGGACCAGCGAGCGTTCAACAAGAAGCGTGTCAGCTTTGTGTAGGGTACCACCGACGACCCTTCACCACGGCTTGGCCAGGGACAGTTTCTTTAGCTTAATCACGATCATGGCTAGTGGGCGTAGACCGCCCTCCTCTCTTTGTAGCAATAGGGGTATCGCGTAGGAAAAGTATGTATCATGACGACACAGCCCCCCTCGTCAGAACAAATTCAACTTTTTATATCAAACTCCCTCCCGACTCTCAGATAAAAGGCAACGTGGGGTCCACCTGTTTCTTCCAAGCCCTCATGCCTCCCTCAATGTCGCCGATGAATCGTTTGCCATTATTATCCAGCGCCAAGTCTTTGAGTCGCCTCGCCGCCAGTTGTGAGTCGTTGCCGACCCTGCAGACCAGATAAATGGGCGAATCCTCTGGGAAATCCAATGGCAGCCACTCAGGTCGGGGGTTGACCCCGTCGCTTGACGGCTGCGTCTCCCTCATGAAATTGGCAATGGGGATGCTCAAAGCGCCGTCGAGGCTACAGATGTCAAAGTTCTCGCGCTCTCGAACATCCAACAGAAGATGCCGGCCGCCCTTCTCGTTTGAGACTTGTTTGTACTCGGTTGCAGATATGCGCTCCTCGGGCGCAAGAAGACTGACTGGCGCATTAACCCCGCAGAACGACACATAGTCGAGTGATCCCGATCGCAGAGTCTCGAGAGACAGCGTCGACGTCGCAGAACAAGCGAAGCAGTCCTTTCTTCGGCCCCGCATGCGGACAGACCTAAAGGGCCCGGACGGAGCCGCACCCGAAAAGATGAGAAGTGAAGGCGCAGCCGCCTTCTTACCCTTGACCTCAGGGTCGACCGCCCCAGCGGCAACGAGCTTGATTGCTTCGAGCGCTTGCAGGACACCCATGACGCCGACCACCGGCCCGAGGATGCCGCCCTCGCCGCAGCTGACCACGCTGTCGGGCGGCGGCGGCTTGGGGAATACGCAGCGGTAGCAAGGCCCGCCCTCTGGGCTGCCCTGTGGCGCGGCTGGCGAGTTGAGGATGATGAGCTGGCCGTCTGTGCGAAAGGCTGAGGCGGAGACGAGGGGCTTCTGAAGGAGGACGCAGATGTCGGAGATGAGGTAGCGGGAGGTCGGGTGGTCGGTGCAGTCGAGCACGAGGTCGTATTGCGATACAATTTCATCGGCGTTGTATGGCGTCAAATGTTGCGTGTGCGGACGATATGTCACTAGAGGGTTGAGACTGAGACGACGTGAGCTTGTTGGCGGCGTAATGAAGGGGAAGGGCTGCGTACCCCTTCAGGTATGTGATGGCGCTTTCGACCTTGGGAATTCCGACCCTGTCAGTCGAGTGGGCGACCTGACGGTGCAGGTTGGAGACCTCGACGACATCACCGTCGACGAGTCCAATGGTGCCGGCCCCCGCTCCGGCAATGTACGCCGCTGCGGGGCATCCCAGACCCCCGGCGCCGATGATTAAGATCTTGGACTTCTTTAGCCTGAGTTGACCTATTCGCATTCAGTGGTGGTTTCACAGCAGCCATAGGGGCTATAAGCGCCGACCTTTGACACCCACTTGAGGTATGATTAGCTGCCGTCCGTATCTCTCATAATCCTCGGGTTGCAGGGGCCATTTCCAGGGTTGAGCTGATGCTTCCTCCTGTGCCTCTTTCTCTGCGCTGGCCAGCTGTTCCTTAAGATTCTGAAGCTCGTGCTCAGCCCTTGCGACTTTGTGCCGCAGCTCTTCGATTCTGCTCATTTCGATATCACCATGTCGTGGGGTGTAAGTGAAATGGTGACTCCCAAGCGCGGAATTTGCGTGCGCTTGAATGCATGTCGGAGGTTCCGCCCCCGATCTCCGACCCCGCGATTTTAGATGACCCACCCTTCTCTTGCTTTTCGGCCCCACCACGAATTTTTGAAGCTTGCAGCATCCTCGAACTTCACCGGTCACTCGCATCGCACTCCGTCCAGGTCCGACTTTGAGCTCGTTTCCATCCAGCTACAAACTCTCAGGACTGTGAAGAGACAGGTTACTCAATATGGTAAGGCGAATTTGTCTCCCAGGTCTAAAAAGGCAATGTTAACCTCTCTCTCTCAGGCGCCCACAGCACCGACAAAGTCCCTCTCGACCCGCGAGAAGCGCATGGCCCGTATCCGCGGCGACATCCACCCCCTCGCGCCGCACAAGACCCTCCGCCCGGAAGCGCAGGTCGACGACGGCTTCCTGACCAACAAGAAGGATAAGCGGACCATGAAGCACAGCGCCTTTGTCAGCAAGGTCGCAAAGACGGCGCCCGGCCACTCCAAGACGCTCAAGCGCCGCCGCCCGAACAAGAAGCTCGTCGCCACCATGGAGTCGCTCGCCGACGCGCTGCCGGACCTGGATGAGGGCGCGCAGACGCTGGAGCAGCTGCGCGAGGGACAAGTCAGGCACAAGAGTCTCAAGAGCAGGCCTGGCGCGCTGAAGCGCAAGGAAAAGATTGTCAAGGCTGAGGTGCAGCGGTTCGGGGCTAGCATGGCGGCGTTGGCTTCCGTGCCTGCTGCTGCTGCTGCTGCTGCATCCGCGGGTGGTGCTGGTGCGATGGCGGTCGAGGAGACGACGGCGGACGGGGCCCAGGAGGCGACGTCGAATGCGACGGCGAACCGATGGGCTGCGTTGCGGAGGCACATTTCGAGCACCATGGAACAGAACCCTGCATTCAGCAAATAAGCCTTGCTAGTGGTTTTTATTCGACTTCAAATCGGCAGGGCCTGTTGTCCAGCAGTTGTCACAAGGGCAGCAGAGCAGGGCGCGCCAGACGACTGTGTTTGCGCCAACAAAGGGGACCCCAGACTTGCCGGCACTCTGCGTCACGTTTGCGGTTTATGTCCACGGCTAGCACACGCTTCTTTTGGAGGTATTTTGACTTCGGAATCGCCAGTTTGGACCGGAACTTGGTGCGGTATGCCGAGACGCATGAAACTCTCCGAGTGTGCATTTGTTGGACGACCCGTCAATGTGCGCAGCGCTGCACGGTAAATGCGCTAGAAGTCGCCAAATCTCTCGAAAGGGTTACTTCTCTGCTCAGGTATGAGCGGCGGCGAAATATCCGGCGCGTAAAGGTCCCCTCCTCATCGTCGAAATCAGGATGGCTCTGCAACATCATACAACCTGGGAGAGTCAACGCAGCCTGGTGGGGAGGATTCCAAGAGTTTTGGCGTATCTTGGCATCAGTCCATCAGATGTCTACAACAGTCAGGTCCTAGTCGCATTCCGGAATTCTCTTGGTGGTCGGCGCGGGGTTTGCTGGAGACCAGGATCAGGATGGCAACACCACTGAGTGTAGGAGCAGCTTTAGATGAGCTGGGCAGCAAGACCTCGGCGGAGCCAAGCATGGCACGAGGAAAACTCATCAGGCAAAGGCAGATCATTTTCGGAGCCTTCGTGTAGAGACTGTACATGTCTACAAGAAGAACCGCGCAGTATTCTCAGATCAAGAAGTGTGGTTTGAGAGGATCGAATTGCCGGCCGTCGCTCATCGTTTGGGACAACATTCTGATAGCCTATACTTGAAATAATTCATCGTCCTGTTGGCAGCACGTATCACCGTGATGTTGAGCTGCCTCGCGATTGTAGCCTACGAACATAGATTTGATGTGGTTCGTAAACGCGCCCCTTCAATCACATGCCAAGGAGCTTCCGTCTGCTTACTGTGCTGTTTACTGTAGCAGGGGTACTGTTCTAGCGCTTCAAGGGTAGGATATCGGCAAATATCTCTACGACGATCTTGTGAGCCGATGTCATTGCGTCGATCTTGAGGGTTGCAAACGCGTCGTAACATGATATATAGCGTAATGAGAACAAAAGGGGAAATCAACAAACAAAGTATCTGGCTAGGCCAGGTCAATGGATATGAGATTTGATGGATTGGTCACCTCCAACGGTCTGGAGTGGCCAACGGAGGGTTTTTGTGGACGTCTTGGCGAGCTTGACGGAGCGTTGATGTTAATTAGCTGAGGTTGCATAGGTACTGTACGAGTAGACGAGTTCAATACCAATCGACCAGGTTGTCTGATGGACGCACAAGGTAAGCACGTCAAGCAGCTTGCTCATCTGCACAAGATTGTAGCTACTGGGGAAGTGCATTTGTGAACTTCTTGATGATCTTGATTTGGGGTAGGTGCGCTTTTCCACCGTCATTTGTGGTCACCAACGGCGATCCACTGGAGAGGGGGAGGCTCGCTTGCCTGGAATTAACGTCACTTAGGGAAAGAACCGTGCAGCTGAGCAGGCAACAATCGCGCCTTCTCTTCATTAAGCCGCTCCTTCCTTTTGAAACTTGAAGCTCGTGGAGTTGATATAAAACTTGGAGAGCGTTGCCTTTCCCATCTCGATTTCCTCTCCCGCACCTACAACCAACTTCCTCCCACGGCCGCATTCCAAGCTCCCCCTACCACCACTTACAAAGACCTCAACCCAAAACCATCGACATGGCCGACACCAACCCCGGAAACTTTGCCAACCGGTATGACTTCGAGTGCTCCCTCCCAGGCCTCCAAGGCCTCTAAGGGTATGAACTGGCGTTTGAATGATTGCTGACCGTATAAAGACCCACAGAAGAGGTCCGCGAGATCGCGGCCAAGGGCGGCCATGCCAGCCACGGTGGCGGCATTGCACAGGAGGTCCAGACTGGCAACACTAACCCTGGTAACTTTGCGAACCGGTATGTCCTTCCTGATTTGCAACAAGAGCTTTGAGCATCGGGTGTCTGAAAATCCTCAATAGCCCCACGGAGGAGGTACGTGAGATTGCGGCCAAAGGAGGTCACGCCAGCCACGGCGGCGGCACCGAGGCCGAGACCCACTCGGGCACCGGCAACACCAACCCCGGCAACTTTGCCAACCGGTAGGCAGGCTTCACATGTTTCCCTACCATGCCCTGGCTCCCGGCTCCTTCACACCTGCAGCTCAGTCATAACTTAGCTCGCATGCGCGTCTCTGGTACATGAGCTTCACTGACGCTACTATAGGCCCAAGGAAGAGGTTCAAGAGATCGCAGCCAAGGGCGGCAAGGCGTCGTCCGGTTCATTCGAGCCCGGCTCTGAGAGGGCGCGCGAGGCAGGACGCAAGGGCGGTCTCGCAGGTGGACCCTACTGAGATGATATCGCAAGATAGACTTGGTGCTACTTTCGTAATCATTTCAACGCAGCAGTACGAAGTTGAGTGGACGAGAGGACGAAGCGCGATTGTACGATGGCTGGCACAAAAAGGATGGACATGAGATATGATGGATGGGCAGCAAAGACAGAATTGTCTCTAGGACGGACAGGGTTCCCCCGATGAAAACGACAGCAGAGATTCTAAATTCTGACCAAAGGCGTTGTTGTGTTGGCATTGCATTGCCCTGTCAGGCGTTTCGTCCCACTTCCGGGCCGTGAGCGGATGGCTCCGAGGCTTTGCGTGCTACGGCGCCTCCCCCTCCCTCCACCCCTCTCTCTCTCTCCCGGGGGAGCCCCCACCATATCCCCGGACCGTTCAATAAGGTGGGTCAAAGCGCACCATTTCCATAGCCAACTGTTTGAGAACGCTCGGCAGTTCCCAACGAGATTGAACCTTCCTGACCTTGTTCTGAGTTATTCGAAAGGGAGTGATATGTGCCCGGGTATTGATGGGATGCATTAAACTTGAACCCTCCTGGTTCAAACCGAATCGATTCTTTTGAATTTAACCCCAGTAGCAAGGCCCCATGTCGATGGCTGCCCTCCGTATCAACCCTCCAGCCCTGAGAGCGGGTGGGTTGGGGCTGATAGGATTTGGGCTGGCGTCTGGATCGGGGGCAAGCCACGTTCGGAGGGTGATCGGCGAGGGACTCAGTCTTGGTCGCTAAAGCCGGGGGCGTTTCCTCGTGACCAAAGTCTATGGAATTTTTTTTTTTTTACCAGCGCAAGTACTTTACCCAAGGTGAAATGTAGTGGCAGGCAAAGCATGGACCGCCGTAGTCCCAGACGGGAATAACCCGATGATTGGCCTCGTCCAGAAAGGGTTGCGGCGGAAAGTGCGCCAGGTGGGTGGTATCGCAGCCCGGTATCGTGATGCCGCAGCATGGTGACGTAGACGAGGTGAAACTGGGTACCTTTTTTTCCTTCATCGTCATTTACCAGTGCATCCTCGGTGCCTTACTTTCATTTTAGGACCACAAAGTAGCGTACTCACTCGGTCCCACGCAATCCCATCTCGCTCACGATTTGCTGTTTCCGTAGCGGAGAGGTGGGAAGGGGGAGGGAGGGCTCGTAAGTGAGACTTGACTGTGAGAGAAGGTTTTGTTAGAGGCTTAGCATGACATCCCACCCCCTCCTCCTCCTTCTCCTCCCTTCCCCGTCTCAGTCATTTGTCACAGGCAAACTGGTGTCCTTCGTGGGAATTGGTACCAGAATCGGACAGCGGCACTACGTACATAGGAGGTAGAGTTTTCCAGATCTTGCGCCTTTCTTTTTCCCTTTCCGTGCCTTGATTATCCGTAAGGTACGGTGATATTCCCCTCCCCCTGTCCTAGATTTCCCCATCGTCCACTGCAGAAGATCGGCCATCGAGACCAGCATCTTTCATTGGGTTCCCAATGGACCTCGTCGTCCCTATGTAAACTCGTGTGTCCCCCTCGCCCACTCGCCCAATTTTCCCCCACAGGCGCTGTCGTCTTTCGAAGCAAATTCTCCTTAGTTCCTTGCTGCTTTCTCCACGCGTATTTGATCCTCCCGTGGACCTTTTGCAGCTCACGGAGGAACCCTTCTGCGAGATATCTCAAACCAAGCCCCTGGGAACCCCCAGACCCTGACGGGCTTTCCTCCGTACCATGGCCGCGGCAGTCGACGTTCAAACAGCAGCAGGTGTCCCTCTCACGGGTATCAGCCGTCTGGGCAATCCAAGGTGTGTGTTTCTCTCTCTATTCTCTCGATCTGCTTATCCACATCCACCCATCATTGTCATCCCTTGGCTTCGTCAGCGCACTCGGTGGACCGGCACCTCAGTGGGTGCGCCAGAGAGACCAAGGAGTGGGGTCGCCTGCCAAATTGGGTTGGTAGAAGTGGTCCTAGCTCCCCGAGGTCCCCCACAAGTGTGGCTTGTCGAAACCTCGTCACCTCGCATTTTTCGTCTCCTTCCTTACCTCTTTCGCTGTGCTGCGCCACTCGTGGGCCACGTCTCCGCCCAACTCCAGCCCAGCCAGCCCCATTTTCCCTTCAACCTGCCTGCCTGCACATGCGGCACCCATCAGTGGGCTCCCCCCCGTTCATCGTCTTTCTCCCCGTTGGCTTCCCCCACCGTCGTCCATCGCTCCGCTCCGTCTGCGACCTGTGATCAGGAGCCTGAAGTTTCCCCCCGCCGAACAAGACACCCTCGTCGTTCCCCCCCGCCCCAAAATCCCCACCCACAAAAAAAAAACCCACACTCCCACCTCCCCCCCCCCCCCCCCCAACTACCCTCTTTTCCCTTCTACCACCCCCCCCCCTCCTACCCCTCCCCCCACCCCCCCCCCCCCCCCGCCCCCCCCGCCCAAAAATCCCGAGCCAAAAAAAAAAAAGCAAAAGAGCGGATTCGCAAAAGGGCCCTGGAATTTATTTTTTTTTGCTTTAGCTTTTCCCCCTCCATTATACCCTTCCCTTTCTCCCCCCAATTGTCCACATCCTCGGGACTTCTCACCTCTGTTCCTCGGCCACCAATCTTTCCTCTCCCGGTTCCTCGACTCCCCTACCACACCACAAAACAAACACGCTCCATCAAGCTACCTACTTCCCCTACCCCGGATACGTCCTGGTAAAGATCGGCGCTCTTCTCGACCGAACCAGTACCCTCTGACGCAACTCCGTGCCAAACAGCCGCTTCTTACCATTCCGCCCCTCTCGCAACCAACACTCATCGCCCCGCGTCACCAGCTCTTCCGGCCCCGGCTCGACCTCGACGACTCCCTCGATATCTTCTACAGCATCGGCTTCAGCAGCATCAGCAGCCTCCGTTCGACTCTCGCCCTCGACCTCCTCCTCGACAAGCAGCACCAAGTCCGACCCCAGGTCGGAGTCGCGCTTGAGCATGCCCTTCAGGAAGATGGCGCGTCACTTTGGTGACACTGTAAGATCCTCCTCTCCCGCTGCTCGCTCCTCTTCCCTTTTGGCCTTGATTTCCCTTCTCTCCGTACCGTACGCCGTACTGAGAAGTGAGACCTGATGAGGTCGCAACATCCCGTTTCCTGAACTCAAGTCGGACGACAGTTGCGGACAGGCAAGCATATGCCTCTCGTCTCGTCGCCTGTCCCAAGTGCGGCGGTGATGCTGGCAACGGCGGGGTATTTTTTTGGGGGTGTCGTCCTGTTTCAGCGCAACGCCAGTGAACTGACCCGAACTGCGTCCTAGCTCTCCCCGCAGCAACCTTACTTGTCGTGTAAGTCGCACTCCTTGCCCCAGTCCGCCGCAACTTCCGTAGTGATCACCTCCCGGCTGACAGCTTCCTTTTGCATGACGCAGATCATGATATCCTCCGTACGTACTCTTCCGATGACGAGGTGCCGGGACCGCGGGTTCCGGCCACTTAAACCTAAGACTGAGCTCACCGAGAGACGCTTGGCTTACTTCTGTCTTCGCAGTCACCTACGAAGACATCAAATCGCTCAAGAACGACTGGTTGACAGATAACGTACGACAATTCCCTCCTTGTGCCTGCTCCCAGCTAACCGGTATTTAGAACATTGCATTCTGGGAAGAGTGAGCCCTAACCATACCCAAATCCAACCAACCCCCCCTCTTGCGACTCCTCTAACATAACGACCGTAGATGGCTGGAACGCGAAGTCCTCCCAAAGTATCCGCAAGCCCGCATCATCCTTCTGCGGCCCTCGATGACCTTCCTCCTCATGAAGGAGCCCGACATGCGCCAGATCCGCTCCGCTCTCCCCGACTTCTCCAAAGTAACACACATCTTCCTCCCCATCAATGACGCGCGCAACGTCGCCCAGGCCGAGGGCGGCTCCCACTGGTCCCTGCTGCTCGTCAGCGCAATAGACGGCGTCGCCTTCCACTACGACTCGCTTGGCGGTGCAAACTACGCCGAGGGCCGCCTGGCCACCCACAAAATGTCCGAGATCCTCGGCCGCCCGCTCCGCTACCTGAACCTCGACGACTCTCCACAGCAGGAGAACGGCAGCGACTGCGGCGTCTTTGTCTGTATCCTGATGCGCCACCTCCTCATCAAGCGCCTGCTCAGCGCAAACGCCCGCGAAAAGGTCAGCATGAGTATGGCCAACAAGCTGATTGACAGCCACGGAGGACGCAAGGAGATGCTCAAGATCATTGAGAGCTTGCGCAAGGAGGGCGAGCGGAGGAGATCGTAAGCGCAAATCCCTCATACTTCATCCCCCCTTTACTGCTTAATTCTTTACTCCCTGCGGCTTGTGGATGATGTCAATGCCATCATCCTAATTCTGTACTCCTTGTTTTCGAAGCAGAAAATCGCTGTCTTGAAAGGGTTCCCTGACATCCCCTCTTTAAAAAAAGGAGAAGCGCATCACCGTATTCGTCAAAGACACCGCCCCGGATCGAGTAGTCAACAATAGGTCCCTCTCTCCCCTTGCATCACACATACCCGAGCACAAGGACGTAACTACGAGCTGTGCAAACCACACGTTTTACCGACGACTTATTTTAAATGTTTCGATATACGATATCCACGAACGCATGCACAGTGTATTTTAATCAACGACATAAGAAGGGGAGACATGGGGTGAATTGCATTTGGTAGGAGGAAGATGGAATGACGAGTCGACGCCCCTACCAATATCCAAGGATTTTTCAAACCATCGAGTCAAACGACAGCCGATTTAGGAGTCCGAACCCCCAATCAGTAGAGACAGCGTATACAGTAGGGACTGTGGAAGGCTGGCGGGTTCATGAGAAGATCGTGGTCGAAGAGTCCTTCACGCATGTGTCGGCACTAATGAAAATGCCAAGACTCAGCGAATCGCCATGAGATGGCAATTCAGCGGTCTCGGCGGTTTTAGTGGAGTGGGTGTCACAGAGCGTGGAAGAGGAGGACGAAGAGGGGGCGGACGAAGACAAGGCAAAGGCGAGGCGTTTGGCGTGCCAAGGCTGGTTGATTAGACATGAGAGACATTTGACTATATTCTCGTTGCTATCCAGGTTTTGATGGATTGTGATTGCCTGATTTACATGATGATTACTGACCTGTCTGGGTGCCATCCGCTCTCAACTGTGACTGTATCCATCCTGACAGTTTGAACTATCTGAATGGATTGTATGAGACAGATTCTCGAAATGCTGGGCTGTTGAATCGCCTCAGAGTGACAGGATTGGAGGCAATGACACCTATGAAGAGTATAGTGCCTGAGAAGATATGTATAGTTTACGGCATATTTACTCACTACATTGGCCTCCAGACCGTTTCCACTATCATAACCATCAGAACAAGCTACATTACGCACACATATCTCCACCCATGGGGAGAAAGGGAGACAGGGATTAGGCAATCTTGACATGTACGTTGAGGCTGCAATGCACGCTTCCTTCTGTATCTCGATAGCTACATCGACTTGACGTATTTCAACAGCATAGTGCGTTGACATAAACACGACCCCATGAGCATGGATCATTTGTAGACAACTTTGAGCATTCGAGGAAGTGGGCGGTCCGCCCCGTCTCTTTGAGGAGAACTGGGGCCGGACGACGACTAACTTTAATATCCAAGAATATGCATGTTTGTACGCCCCGGACCGAGGACTTTCTCCATGAGCTAGGCAGGGTGCCTGGACTCTTCGATGACGCCTGGGGCGGAGCATCGCCCATCACGGATAGATTATGATGGGGGGAATGATAAGATTGGGAGGCTTAGCGCACAAAAATTGACTGGGCTACTATTCCTCGCGGTTTATTCAAAGAAGTCCCTCTGGATACAGGCAGAGTGGACGATGATATAGACGCGCATATGGTTGCGAAGGAGCTCCTGAGCGAAACAGAAGCGCCGGACACGGTGGCTTCTCTAGAAAGCTCTTCAGAGACGAATTAAAAAACCAAGTCATGGATAGTACCAGAGAGCTTAGTGGGGAAAATCTTAGACGTGTGAGGCAAGGCCGGAGAGATGGAGGAAATAGGGAAGAAACCATGAGGTGTGGCGTGCTCCGCAAAGCTGGAAATACCTAGCGTGAAGACACTTTGGTATTCTCAAGTAGCAAAGCTATGCAGACACGGTATACCTTGTATGCTCGCAGGAGGGTGTCATGGAAGCCTGTGATCAAAATATCTAGAGGTTGAAGGGATAGGAACCTCCAAGAAAGACCCCAGTCCAACGCCCCCTCCACAGCAACCCATCCAGCGATCCCGCATGCCGCGCCCCGGTTATGTAAGCCAAATCTGACCCGCGCGCGTTCTCCGTCCACCGCTCCCTTCAATGACGCCCGCAGCGACCCTCCCACTATTCCACTAACACCAGGACGGGGACCTCCCTTATCCCCAAAGCGTCGTCATCCAAAGTCAAAGTCCAAACCCCAGACACTTATAGTCTCTCGCGCCCCCCCAGCTAACGAACCAGTCCCCCGGCTCACCGAAGCTTCGCAAATCTCCCGCTTCACACATCCCATCTCGTCACCTTTAGACTTTGGCATCATCCCAGCTTTGGATTCGCTCCCTTACGTTGAGCTCGTTCCCCTACAAGAGGAGATCCCGCGCCCGAATCCACACCAGCTCCATTACCCAACGCAGAAAACGACCGAGCTTCCCCAGCGACTCGTTCGCATCAACCAGCAAACACATATAAAAAAAACAAAAAGAAGGGCGGGAAAACATGGCGACCTCGCTCCCCCAAGAACCAATCTGCCTCCTCCGGCGCATCCAAGAACTCGCCTCCCTCTCCTCCGCTTCCTCCTCATCAAACCCCTCGAAAAGGTCCTACCCGCCCATCGCAAGCATCCCGCGGACCTCCCCCGCCCGCCTCGCCGCAGCCTCCCCAGACGCACCGCGCGACGACGCCGCAACCCAGCCGACGACGATCCTCTACCTCGCCTACGGCTCCAACCTCAGCGCAGAAACCTTCCTAGACGCCCGCGGCATCCGCCCGCTCTCCCAGGTCAACGTCTCGGCCCCGGGCCTCACCCTCGTCTTCGACCTCCCCGGCCTCCCCTACACCGAACCCTGCTTCGCCAACTCGGCGCCCCGGAAAGTGCCCAAACTCCCGGACCCGACCGATCCCCCCAAGTTCCCGCCGGTGCCTCCCCTGCCGCCTCCCGCCAGTCTCTCCGACAAGGCAAAGATGACGCCGAGGCCGACGACGGCCACCACACCGGACCTGGGCTGGGACAAGGGTCTCTTTGGCGTCGTCTACGAAGTCACGCCAGAAGACTACGCCACCATCCTCGCGACTGAGGGCGGCGGCTCCTCGTACAAGGACATTTTTACCCCCTGCATCCCGCTCCCGCCCCGCGTCTCCGTCCCCGAGAAGCCGCCCATTGAGATCCCGCGCCCGTTTCTCGCGCACACGCTCTACTCCCCCTCCATCCCGCTCGCCGACCCCGATACTTCCTCCTCCTCCTCCTCCTTCTCCTCCGTCTCTTCCTCCCTCCCAATCTACAACAATAACAACACCACCAACGACCACGACGACAACACCCCCAAAAAACCAAGCGACCCCCGCAAGAAATGGTACTGGCGCCTCCTCCAACCGTCCCGCCGCCCAGACCCAGCCTACGCCCAGCCCTCCCCGCGCTACCTAAAGCTCATCACCGACGGCGCGGCAGAACACGAGCTCCCCGACGACTACCAGTGCTGGCTCAATTCCCTCCAACCCTACACGGCGACCTCGCGCCGCCAAAGGGTCGCGCAGTGGCTTTTGTGGACGCTCTTTATCCCCGTCCTCCTGCTCTTTTTCGAAATCAACAAAAAGTTGGCCAACAAGGAGGGCAAAGTCCCCGTGTGGCTCGGTGTCACGCTCGCCGTGGTGTTTAATCTGCTCTGGATGGCGTATGATTCGGTGCTGAGGCCCGTTTTCGGAGACGGGGAGAGGACGCAGGAGGATGACGGTGATGAGGACAATAATAAGAGGTTTTTCCGAGCGAGGTCGTGGAGGAGACGTTACGCTGCTGGTGTTGATGAGGAAAAGATGGGATTGCTTGAGGATATGGACTGAAGAGTCGGTGGGGGACATACAAGGACGGACATGCATTTCACTCTATACTAGCGCGTAGGATACCACACATCATCAGATTGACCAGAACAATGTCGTCATTGCTTGACCTGTCTAAATCCATTCCTTCACACCATGCTACTGCGGTAAATGATCCAGGGATATCAACATTTGTCTTTCAAAAATCAAAAACCAAGACTCCAGCCCCTCTGCCCCACCAACACCAGGTGCCGTCGGATCACATTCCGTCACGATCAGTGCTGTGCCGTACTATCCACATGCTCTCTGATGCCACGATTCTTTTCCCTCTCCCTTGGCCTGCAACTTAGTTTTCTGAAGCAGAGACCAAGCTCGGAATATCGTCGACGCTGTAGCGTCCCTCGAGAATGCCGTGCACAGCGGTGAACAAAGGGTAGTGCTTCTCCTGGCCCCTCGCCTTGAGGAAGCTGTTGACCTCCTGCGCCGTGCTCGTACCCTGAAGCAGCTGACCGTTCAACTCCCGCTTCTCAATCTCTTGAACGCTCAAGCCCTCCGCCACAGCCATTTTGGCGCACTTGAAGTTTCTGCCACCACTGCACGACGTGATCAGATCCGCTACGCCGGCCGACTCCTCGGTAAACGTTCCCGTGTGCACCGTCTCACCGAAGAACTCCTTTCCAAAGTTGACCATCTCCAACAGGCCCACGCGCATGATGGCGGCCTTGGCGTTGTCACCCCAGCCGCGGCCGTCGACAAAGCCGGCGGCCAGCGCGACGATGTTCTTGAGGGCGCCGCCCAGTGAGACGCCGGCAACGTCAGAGACCATGCGGACGTGGAAGTAGGGGCGGTGGAAGAGGTGCTTGAAAATTTGGTGGTCCAGGGGCGGGTACTCGGCGGGCACGGCGGTGAGCTTCGTTTTGGAGGTGCGGCCGCGGGCGTCCTTGTGCTGCATATCGATGGTCGTCAAGGGCGCAATGCCGTTGCCGTTAGCGTTGGGGTTCGGAGAGGTGGCACGTGGGGTCGGCGCGCGCGAGTTATCCATGGGCGGGGGGTCGTAGGCGACAGTGGTCTCGGACCACTTCTCGGCGGCGATTTCGGACGCGATGTTGGCACCGGAGAGGGCGCCGCAGTAGATGCCGAGGCCGTCGCCGATCCACTCGGAAAAGAGGGAGACGCCGTCGTCAGAGACGTTGACGCCCTTGATGCAGGAGATGCCGCGGGCAAAGGGCAGGATATGGCCGTTGAGCTGCTTGCAGACATTGCCGATAAACTGATGGGGGAGGTTAAAGATGAGGATGGTGGAGTCCTTGACGGCGTCCTGCAGGGAGGGGTTTGCGATGATGTTGTGGGGGAGCTTGATGCCCGGCAGGTATTTTGTGTTTTCGTGGTATTTGTTGATGACGGTTGTCAACTTCTGGGGCTTCTCGCCGAGGGAGGCGTCGTAGTAGGGGGATGTCGAGTCCAGGGTGACGTCTTCCTCATACACCCACATGTGCACGTCTTCTTCAAAGAGGTCGGGAAATGCCTTTGTGTTTTCGGCCACGATCTTGGAGATGGTCGAGCCCCTGGGGTGTGTTAGTGTCTGGTGTCTGTCTGGTTGGTCGCGTAGACGAGTAGGGAGCTGTGGGAATTGCCATATGAAATATTGGTGTGAAAGAGAGGCGCTCACCAGTTACCGGAGCCCACGACCGTCACCTTGTGTTTCTTCTCTACACCGAGGGAAGCCATTGTGGTTGTGGAGTTGAATCGTCGTACGGGAAGGCTGCTTCTGACAATGGAAACAACAGGACGCAGTCTGAAAAGCATGAGGCACAGTGGAGCAAGAGGTAGGAAAAGAAAAGGAGGGGGTGAAGGTTATCTTATTATGTACTGGCCGGGAGGAAGTAAGGGTAGGTCAAGGTAGGCCAGGGAAGTGGAGGGTAATGTCGGAAAGGTCAGGTAAGACAGCTAAGGGAGGGTCCAAGTCCAGGTCTAGAAAGGTATCGGCATCGGCTCCTCTTTGGGTGTGTGTCGTGTCGTGTCTTGCTCCTGGGGGGTCACTTGGTCACGAACCGCAGCAGTAGCAGTTGATTAGTAGCGAGCAGCAGATGGCAGAAAAAAAAGGGTGCTGGGTGCATGTGGTTTTGCCCCTCCATCTTTCCTCCCCTGTCTGTCTCCAGCTGTGTCTTTGAATATTTCCGGGAACCAGCCAACGCCCACCGCTGCTGCTGCTGCTGCATTTTACTCCTGAGCACACAATCCGTAAATTACCAATGGGAGTCTGCACCACCACGACCACCGCCGCAATAAACCCCAGTTCCATCCCCGTCCAGTGAGGGAAGCTGCGACCAATGGCAGCCACACTTTGCAGTCAGCTCTACCACAGTGCCGCGGTCTTCCTGCCAGCAGCAGTGTTGAGAGCCAGCATGACGCACGTCCAGGCCGGGAGGGTCGCGGTAACTGACGTGACCGCTTTCCCTATTGGGTATAGTCGCTCAACGAAATGCCAGGGGTTGAGGCCGAGTCGGCGGGCCCCTTCCCTTTTTTTCGTTGTCGGTCCATTTGTGTCTGTTCTGACTTCTGACTTCTTGGGCAGGAAGGAACAAGCTGAGATGGCCCAGGCGGAGGAAGGTTCCTCATCCCCGGGGAGCCTCGGCCGGACTCTCCGCCTCCTCCGGCTCTGGCCGAGGCAAGTCGGACCTGGCATTTGCACGTTTGTATCGTGAAGATGTAAAGACTTCAACGGGTTACTTTCCGCCCCCAGTCTCCATGGTCTCCAGCGTGTCTCCCCATCGAGCCCAGAGCTCGGCTTGTCACAAGACAAAAAATGTCAACAAATTGCTTCCAACCCCACCGTCCCTATCAATTCTCCCCCCTTCCGCCTCCGCCTCCGCCTCCCCATGTTCAATTTTCGTGTGCAAAAGTGGGTTCCTCTCGGTGGGACCCCAGAGAGAAAACGACCCAAGATTAGATGCAATGCACCATTGGCACCAATCCCCCTGGCAGGATCCGTAGATGGGGAATCACATGCCAAACAGTCTGTCATTCTTTTCCTTTTGCTTCTTCACCTGTCGTGCCTGAATCCCGGCCGGGGGATAAGTTAGCCCACGATGCCGATCGTCGCATGGGGTTCAACGTCAACGACACCCATTTTCACGTTGTCTCTCCTGTTTCCTCATTGGCACAAGCACGCGATATCGCGGCAACGCGGGTGCAACGGGCTTGCGGCTGTGGCCGCGCCGCGCCAGACGCCAGACCTCTTCTCAATCTCTCCGAGGTGCGGATACGCTTACTGCCCCCTAACCTTACTCCCGTCTAAAGTACGGGCACTACATCCCGTTCGCCGCCACCACCCCCCGCCGCCGCGAGCCCTTGCGCCTTCGCTAAACTTTATTGCTCTTCTCCCCGAGGGACATCTGATTGCCGTCCTGCCTCAAAGTGGTATGGTGCTGCCGCTGTTGTCTCTCGAGCACCTGCGACGTAATGAAGATCCCCAGGATGACTGACATGTGTTGCATTGCGGCACATTCTAGTCTCTCTCGACAATCCCATTGTTAAACAGCCGCTCTCTGAAGCCACTTTGACATCCGCGGTTTAGTGTAGAGTAACCACACGTATCCAAGACTGCCTCCTTGTGTGCTAGCCTACCTACATTCCTCAAAGTAAGGTTGTACTAATGACCTTTATCTATCCCCTTGGCAATCATTGGTTTCCAGTCGAAGACATAGATTGAGCAGGAGATATCGAAATGCTGCCACTATGTATGAGTTCCTTGACTGTTTCGATTTCGCAGTAGAAGTATCAATTAAACTTGATTCCAGATAGCCCATGTCGCGATAGCCTCGAGCGCCCTTGGACTCGTCTCAGTCCGGTATGCTCAATCAAAGAAGGCAGTTCTATGCTGCATGAATCGCTGCATCTCGGGTGTCAATCTAACCACAGAGATTACTTGATGTGCATCTTTTGTGAGTGGTTTGTGCTCGATGTTCCAAGTGTTGAACGTGATGTTCGTAACCCCTAACCTTGGCTCGTTCGCTGACAGCCTGCACTTCACAGGGGTTTACTCATCGCGAAGATGGCTGTATTGGTGCAGGTGTAGTAAAAACGTAAGTGACAAAGTCGACATGCTGCCTGCGCTCCGAAATCGATCCTGGTTCCGAGGAAAGTCATGATATTGAGCAGCAAAAGCAAAGACAGTGATCATTATTCAGCTCGTCAATGAATGAAGAGTAAGGACAAAGGACAAAAGGCCAAAAACTTTCCCACCGACCCGAGTATTATATGAGAGGTTCCTAGATCTAGTATTCTGTACTGAGCACCGACATCAAGCCGTCGAGCATCATAGAGGTGCAGTTCGCTGAGCCCTTCGCCAACCATGATCGGGGTAGACTATGGGTGGTCGACGGTGACTTGATCTCGGGTGTAGCCTACCTTGGTCTTCTTGCGAACGTTAGTGAGATCAGAAAAATCTGTTTGGAGAGGGGGATTGAAACATACTGCAAGTATCATCAGCTCACGCTAGTCGACGACAGGTTCAATTCCGAGAGGATGTCAGTCAAATATCAATCCCTACGGACCTATATTATCGACTAGCAATTGGCTCAACATGGATATTAAAGACAATATCGTCGAGTGCTCAAGCTGTTCCTGAAAGATGGCGACCTAATGCTATTCAAGTAAATTATGCCTATGCGTGTAGTGAATGTCATCGGTTCATCCGCCATAGAAAACAGAACTGCTGCTACCGGTCACACTGTCCGGGTTTACTGATCACAAGGGCATATTGTGTATAGAGCATCGGAGGACTGTTCGGATCAAGACAAACGTCTACTCGTCATCAGAGAAGCTTGTCCGCTGCTACGGGATAACGCGAACACTCTTAGACGGTTGAAATTTGAGTAATCCCTCCTCTTTGAATCGGATTGATGAGTACGGCTCAATATTTCTTGGTGCAAGCTCCGCCTACAACATTGTATTCTTTTCCAGAGAGGTTTTGCGGCTGGATTTAACGACGAAGAGATGGGAGTCATTGTCATGAACTTGTT